AGACAAAAAGATTTGCTTATCATAGTTTTCTATAATATTTTTAATATTTCAATGCATTAATGGATGTAACAAATTTCTTTATAAATATATATCAAAAGAGCTTTTATGCTACAGACATGATTTTCTTTTAAGGTCTAATTTTTGGTTGAGTGTATTTAGGTTTAGATACATGTCATTACAACATTTGCTTATTATAATTTTCTAATATTAATATTAAAATGGCCTAATTCGCATGTCACAAATTTCTTTACAAGTATATAAATATATATTGATATATTTTCTTTTATCCATAAATATATGTGATGCGTTTTTGTTTTAAGGTTTCTTTTTCCGTTGAGTGTATTTAGCTTTAAATAAATGTCATTAAACTAAAAAGTGCAGCATTTGCTTATCATAGTTTTCATAATAATATTTTATTTTAATGCATTAATGGATGTAACAAATTTCTCTGTAAATATAGATAGAGCATTTTTTATCTTTTATGAAGAAGTATTTATAATGCATTTTTATTTTTTTGTTGAGTGTATTAAGCTTTAGATACATGTCATTAAACTGGGCGGCCTCAACACTGGCACAAGGCAAAGGGGTCCGAGTTGGCCGGGCTAAAAAGCCTTCTTGGGGCGCAGTGATCTCTAGATTTTCCCCTTTTCCCCACCCATGCCATGGCACATTTCCACATTTCTCTCGCTTTTTCGCTGTTCCTCCTTCTCTTTCCTCCCGTCCCCGTCCCCTTTCTCTTTTCTTTCTCTTCTGTCTTTTCGCCGGCGGGCGCATTATTCATGCCAATTTCTACAAGTTTTTTCACAATTGTTCTGCGTCTGTTATTTGTTCTCAGTATAAGTAGACAATGTGGATATATACATGGTTAGATACAGATACTAGCAGATACTTGGCTGCATTCAGCAGTACAACTACTCTTTTACTCTTTTACTTGTTTCAAACCTTCTCCAGTTTGTGATTTATGTAGGGTAGAAAGGCGGGGATTATTAACTGCGGGATGTACTTTTTTCTTTGCTAAGTTGGGAAATTCACTTGGGATCTAAGGGGAAACTTTTAAGAATACCGAAAATGGAGATGAAAGGTAACAAATCACTTAAGAATAAATTGCTTCAGAGGAATATTTTGGTGTTGAACTACTTTTAATTTGATTTGAGTAATGAATAAAATTTGTATTTAAATCCTGATGAATCAAAGAAAATCTTTGGCGAATGATTCAGAATGATTATTGCTAATATGTCTGACACAAACTTAGATGATTTTATATTTAATTTGGTAAATTGTTGATATAAACAATGATTTTTAAAAAGGTGTTTCAGCTGAGTGAATAATGAATGAAGTAACAAGTATAAAAAGAGTATTTACCTTGTCGCCTCGTTGAACTAGACTTGTTGCACGTTTTTTTGTGGGTCTCTCTTGCAACTGGCAGTGCAACTGCCACTGCTGCCACTGCAACAACTGTCTGCCACTGTGCATTCCTGGCTAACTGGGCCAACGTCTGCTTATGGCCAAATGCGAATGAACATGCCCCACATTCCCCACGCCGATGTGCACTTAACTTTTGTTTGTTTGCACTCCGCTGAACGTTCCGTTTCATTTCAGTTCGGTTCAGTTCATTTCATTAGATTGCAGTTGGGTTTCCCTCACACTTCTCCTTTCCCAAATCCCGAACAGCTGTGCGATGTTGTCATCCGGTTCAAACCATCCAACCATCCAACCATCCAACCATCCTACGACCCACATCCTACGCCTTAAACTCAATCTGCACATAAAACACACCAAAACAAGACATTTTCCACTGTGGTTCGAGGTCGTTGCTATAGCTTTTTTATTTCTACTTCTTCGGCCAGACAGGCAAACTGGTTAACCGAAAGTTACCCTAAAGTTGAGCCCACGTCTAACTGCAGGTTTTTAAAGAGTGCACTCAGCAAAAATGCTTCACTTCCTGTTGATAACCTACTTGAGAAAATATAAGTTAAAGAGCTTGATACTTTAAATAATAACCTCTGCAAGAATATAAATATTTATCTACTTAGAATAATATGTATAACTATTATGTTAGCATCATCTAAGCTCAAAAAAATATTCATTTTTGTATTTAAACAAATCAATCAGTATGTTAAGACACCTAGCTAACCCATATGGTAACAAATCTCTGACTAACATTGTTTCATCTCTTCATAATTAATGAAGATTTTATGATTTTATTTCATGATTTTATAGGTACCATTCTAAATCTTTTATTTGACCCATTTTGGCTTGTGGTGTGAAGATCCCCCGCGTAGAAAAGTTAAACGCACATGTTGCATGGGTGGTTGGTATCGAAATAGGTCTACTTGGATACACACATATATAATAGACAAGTCTGGGCGTCCAAATATGATTTTTGGCAAGAGATCGAGAGAGGAATAGATAGAATAGAAAGAGAAGCAGAAGGCGCGATGTTAGAGCGACGTCAGTTTTTAAATAAATGACAAAATCTGCAGAGACAGACGGCCCACATATACAGACCATACATATAGTGCGTCTCTAAATATACAAAACTGAAAATTACCGAAAGAAATTCGGTGACGCAAACTGTGACGGACAAATATTACACATATGGCCAACAAAAAGCCAAGAGGAAAAACTAAAAGCGGAAGTGACCAGCCACAATTGTCCTTCTGCGGTTCACTTAAAAAAAATGATAAGAATTCGAGGCTTGGCAACAAGAGAATCCCAGTATCTTCTGTCTATAGCTCGTCTGTCTGATAACGCATTTTAATAGGACAATCTATAAGCGAATGTGATTGACTCAGACCTCCGCCCACTTGAGTTTCCGATCTCAGATCCACAGATCGAACCAACTAGGGAAGTAAGGTAAGCCAAGACCTTAAGCAGCAAAGAAAAAACCGCTTGGTTTCAATTACCAAAATGGTCTTTAAAATGTCTTAAGGCGGCAACCAGTTAGCTGGTTTGCCATGTGCGTTTTGGCCTTAAAAGGTTCGTGCGGTTGAATTGCACTTGCTGCAAATGTAAATACACTCAGAAAAAAAGAAAAAATAAACTTTGATTAGCTCATAGTATCAACCATAAACTGCTGTTGATTTTGTGGCAATTTAGGCACTTGTAAATCTAATTCAACTGATTGCTGGATTGCTGGATGGCTGGCACTTTAGGTATTAGCATAACATCACGGAACTAGCCAATAAAATAGTCGCAACCATTTGAAATAACTCGCAGATAAGATATGCTTTTCAAAGGGCATTTCGTGTTCTTGTTGGTTGAATCTTTTCCGTCTCGTTTTGACTTGGCTAATTCCGTATGCGTGCCACATGTCGCGGCTCATTTGACAATCGCTCATAACGGGGCTTTGCCGTATGATCGAAAATACTTTGAAAGGAAACAACAAAACTGCCCTCGGAGGAAGTCGAATCGAAAACTTCCGACTCACTGGATATTATGTAATTACACAGGGAACAATATGTTATTCATTATTAAGTTTAAATAAATTTTAATTTAATTTTTATTCGTATGAAAACGTTGTAAATAAATCTATTGGCAACTGAACTCTAAAAACAAATATATCAAATTTGTTATTTTAACTTAATAGTAATATTTACTAGGGATCTTTATGTATAATACTACTATGAAAATATTACGAATAAAATCAATGAGTAATTTAACTCTAACAACAAATATTTTTAAAAATAAATAGGCAAACAAGTATAGTGATCTAAGCTATCTTTTTTTATATCTGAAGACTTTATAGGTTTTAATTTCCCTTTAATAGTCAGTCCCTTTTGCTAATTTCTTCCTGTGCATTTATTTAAATGAACACCTGAGAAACAACTGCAGATACCTATATACATTTATCTATCTGCTGAGTTTTGCGCAAAATTCAATTAGCCAACCTTGTTATCTACCGCTTTTTTGTGTTGGCCAGTTCAGATAGGACTGCTATGGCTTCAAATATTTGGCCAGAAACTGTTGAATCTCGGCAAATAGAGCATTTTTCGCTTATCGCCGGCTATCTCTCAGCACGTTGCGTATACGCACAGATGGCCGAGAGCAAATCGCTCTGGCTGGCTGAAACGTGGGCGCTGTTCTGTAATGACGATGACGAAAACTGTTACAAGGCCGCATTGTCAACGTGCTCCGAAGACCAAAGACTTCGTGAATACAAAATTCCAAGGCGCCCTGCCTCCCAGCAACATTTCCTGCCCCTTCATCTCTTCTCGCTTTTCTCGTTTTTTTTTTTGTTCTTTAATTGGTCGTCGAAAAGCCATTAACTGTGGCCCGGATAAGTGCCACAAATTGACCGACCGGAGGCAACAAAAAAAGAAAAAAAATAAAGTATAACATCGTTCTTAACCCAAATGCCGTTGACAGCGGCATTTTAACATTTTAACACACATTCAAGTGGATAAACTCTCACAAGGCAAGGCGATAAGCGAGATTGAGATTGCGGATCTCCGCATGTGCCAACAGATTTAGCTGGTTTTTCTATTTTCCGACACCACAAATCATGAACGAGCAAAAGGAAAACAACAACCAGCCGCCAACAATTGCCAAATAATTCTATTTTATTTCTACTCTTTGGGCCAAATACGTTTCTTTTGGAGGGGAACAAATGAATGATTTCAAGCCGAGTTTCAGTTGAATGCTGCCCACATTCCAAACATTTTCAATTCAAAATGCTGCCATTGACCGACCTTGTCTTGCCCACGCGAACCAAGTAAACTCGAAATTCATTCATAGATTGAACAGAAATGCAACTCGAACTACAAAACTGAGTGTCTATAAAAGCTGATTTACGGGTTCCCCTTTGTTGATTTTTTTAGAAACATAAGGTCTCAAAAGAAAGTATTATATGTTTTCTGAATTATTTTTAAATATTTCCCAAATTAAACTACAACAACTTACATAATTTTTCCTTTGTTTAAAATTAATTTTCAATTTATTCTTTAACCATACTCAACTATTTAATTTATTTATTTATTCTTATTTATTTATTCTTACAGATTCTGCAAAACTTGGGCAAAGTTGATCGCACCGCAGATGAAATCTTTGACGATCACCTGAACAACTTCAACCGCCAGCAGGCGAGTGCCAACAGATTACAAAAGGAGTTCAATAACTACATAAGATGTGTTCGCGGTAAGTCAGTCAAGATAACTCTGCTGAGCCCTTTTAATCTGGCATTAATCTAATATCTGATCTGATAGCTGCACAAACCGCCTCCAAGTCGCTGATGGATGCCGTTTGCGAGATCTACGAGCCACAATGGAGCGGCTACGATGCCCTGCAAGCCCAAACTGGCGCCTCGGAGAGCTTGTGGGCGGACTTTGCGCACAAATTGGGGGATCAGGTGCTCATACCACTGAACACATACACCGGACAGTTTCCCGAAATGAAGGTAAGACTCTCTTGTAATTACTTCTTTCAGTAAATGATATAAATTACTTCGATTTATTGCAGAAAAAAGTTGAGAAGCGCAACCGCAAGTTGATTGATTACGATGGCCAGCGTCACTCGTTCCAGAACCTGCAGGCCAATGCCAACAAGCGCAAAGATGATGTTAAAGTGAGTTTAACTAAGTTCTTTAAGCAAATATTTAATTGTTTTTAATTATAAACTTAGCTAACCAAAGGACGCGAACAGTTGGAGGAGGCCAGACGCACCTACGAAATCCTGAACACCGAACTGCATGACGAGCTGCCCGCTTTGTACGACTCTAGGATACTGTTCCTGGTCACAAACTTGCAGACGCTCTTCGCCACAGAACAAGTGTTCCACAACGAAACGGCTAAGGTGGGTTTTCTATTTCAAATTAATTAAATTAAATTAAAATTAAAGAAGATCCGAATATCAAAGAGAAAAATGTATTTTAAAGGATTTAACTTGTGTATAGTCTGTTAATGTATTTCATCATTATATCTTATCTATCATTAAATCTGATACTAAATTAATCTTTATTTATAATATTATAGTTTTGTCTAGATTTTAATACCATTTTTGAATCTTTTTGAGTGCAGATCTACTCTGAACTGGAGGCAATCGTCGACAAATTGGCCACAGAATCGCAGCGCGGTTCCAATACGCTACGCAAACAAACAAGTAAGTCTGGCCAGCCTGTAAATGAATACTCCATTCTGTAAATAAACTGACTTTTAATATCTGAACAGGCAATCCCATCAAGACATCGAGTCCAGTGCAGTCGCCAGTAAATAAGCTAAACAACGCCAACATCAACAGCAACTATCAGAATCAAATTACCACAAACGGTGGCTCCAGTTTGGCAAACAGCCGTAAGTCCGAATCAGGTTTTATACCCGATCTACTGCTATATCTTTCTATATATCTCTCCTGCGAGAACCCTAAGTATTTTCTGTTAATTATTGAATCTTTTGTTTCTTTTGCTTTTCCTTGACTTTCTACGTTTATTTAACGATCGATTAAACAAACAAAAAATAATGATTATAAATTGCTCAAAACTGTACAAACAATCAACAAACAATCTCATAAAAAAATCCATAAAAGTTTAAATATATATTTCCGATGTACTATATAAAAAAGAGCTCAATATAATACACAACATATAGAATATTTGTATAGACATATATTATATATTTGATATTTGCACTATATAATCTGCATATACAATATGAAAAACGCAAAGATGATCGCTCAAGTTTTTGGCAATTTATAAGAAATTTTTTGATTGATCTGTGACTTTTCGGCCACTAATTTTGTTAACTATTCGTTTTAAAAATTGAACTAAAACTAAAACCCTTGGCATTGCGAAAACATTCCATTTGTAGACAATTTAGTTTGTAAATAAAGACGAAATTGTTGGCGGCGGTCAGGCGATCTGGGCTAGCATTAATCTAATCTAAACTATTTAAGGGATTGTAAACTATTGAAACCCAGCATTCTACCCTTTAACCAAGTGAAAAAGTGAAAAATAAAGCCGAGATTGGAAGCCATGCAAATGAGTTATAGTAAATCCCAGGTTGCTATCGACTGACTGAACGGACAAATGGAATGTAGCATGTTCTTGTTGCTTTTTGATTGAGAAAGTTTCGATTGAGTTCAACCCTTTTGCCCTAACCTGCATGAACCGAGTTTTATTTGATTTGTTTTCTCTCTTTTTATTTACTCTTTTTGTTTGGAATGATGCTAACCACAAAACGTAATAAAAACAAAAAACAAAACTGAATGATATAACAAAACAAATGCATTCGACAATCAACCACATCACAACGTATAAAATAAATAAAATACAAATACAAATAAAAAACTCACACACGCGAAAAACGACACAACAATTAGCGACATCCACCAGCTCGTCGCTGCAAGAGCCGAGATTTGATTCAGTTTCTTCAACACCAGAACCGCCACACCAGGAGCCCCAATCCCCAGCAGCAGCAGCAGCAGCAGCAGCGACGCCCAGCAGTCCCGCGGAGAACGGGGTGACCACCAAACCGGAGCTGAGTGCTTTGAATGCGAGCGCCAAGGCAACCACAACCACACAGACGTCGCCCACGGAGGAGCAGTCAGCGGTGGTGGCGGTGGTCAGTGAAGTGAAGCCATCGGAAAGTGAAGGAGCAGTAGCAACAGAAGCAGCAGCAGCAACACCTGTCGCATCAGCAGTAGCAACAACACCTGTGGCCCAAGTCAACGGGAACAACAATGAGCCATCGGCTCAAAAGGAGAGTGTTGGAAAACATCCAAAGGAGCTGCCATCGACCACATCGAATGCTGAAGCTGCTGCCGAGGCGGCGGCCAACAATGGCAACTCGATCGAGGAGCACAAGCAGAAGAAACTAGGTAATGACACACGAGCATCCGAAACAGTCACCCAGCACTTAGTTACATCAACAGAAACAGATAAAGATACAGCTGATGCAGATAAAGTAGTTAGCAAATCAGATAAAGATACAGATACTAAGAGCAGCACAAGTCAAAGAGGTAGACCAGTACCACCAGTAGTTGTTAATAGGCACAGCGTAACTAATCCAAATCTAAATAAGAATCCGTTCGAGGATGACGACGAACGCATCTACGAGGTGCCCGCTGGTGAGTAAATCTCAAAGGACGAGTCCACTGGGTCCACTCCACTCGCTTTCTATCCTTCAATCACTCTGTGGCATCTCTTTGTATCTCTTGCTCACTGTATCTTCGCATCTTTCGAATCGGACCTCGTCTAACAATCTCTATTCTAAGCTTTAGTTTCCTGTGTGTGTGATTGTTGTCTAAACCGAAGTAGAAATAGAGGATCACTGTATTGTATTGTAAATTGATTATATTGATTATGTGGCATGCTGCGTGGAGCATCCACAATGGCTATCAGGATGTCAATCTCATTTCCCGGGCTGTGCATCTATCTCTGTTCCTCATTTAGTAGCTCTAGTCTGGACTAAGCCACTTCATGTTGTCTTAATTCGGGACTTCGACACGCAGGTGATCGTACAACTAAAGTATCTATGAAAATAATCACCCATCTATTGAACATTATTGCCTGCACGTTTGCTGCTTCAGTTGTTGAAGGCTGGCATTTTGGCCACCTTCTTCTTCTTCTTTCAACCCACTGAAAAACTAACAGCCCCCCAAAAAAAAAGCAAATAAAAAGCCTGAAAAAGAGCGCCACACTTACTAACAATTGTTTTGGACAGGATTGCGTTTTCGTTGTTCTTTGCGTGCGTTTGTCTACTAATCTCGGTTATGAAACTTTCGATGTAAAGTAAACTGTGTGACGTACGATTCTCTTGAGGGTTTTGGTACCCATTATTTAAAATTATTTAGATCCTAAGATGGTTACATTTTGTTTCTCCCAAACAGATGCCAACACTGCTGACTTGCCGGCCGGCGTTCTCTACCGGGTGAAGGCCACCTATGGCTACGTCAAGGAGGATGTGGACGAGCTGAGCTTCGAGATCGGCGACCTTATTCGCGTCATCGAGTACGACGATCCCGAGGATCAGGTAAAGTCGATTGGGTAAAACTGTTGGGAAGCCATATTATACCCTTGCAGATTGTTTATTTTTTTATTGTGAATTGTTAAGTTTGTCCGCTTTGAGAACTATGAGTATTATTTAGCACTCAACAACTCAACCTACGGTTCAGGAACCTTTAGAAAATAATCTCAGAGTATCCAAAAATAACGTAAACTTTAAAACATCTTGAAAGCATTTTGAATTTGCTTAATCTTTGTGCTTATAATAAATTATAAAAAATTATATCTGATTGTACTCCAATTCAATTTGGAGAAAAGCAAAAATAAACTTCAATATTTTACAATTTTTTAATGGAAAGACCAGTAAATTAAATGCAGTTTTAAATTATATTTATCTACTGATGAGCAGATATCTTTAATATAAACCAGAATTTTACCTATTGAACCTTAATAAATTTAAACCTAGAATTCTTGAGCAACTAGTTAAGGGATTTACGGACTTAAAAAGTAGAGGTATAATCTGCAAGGATATCTTTAACTTCGGATTTCGAAGCTTAACAATTCCTTGAGCTTTGCACGCGCTAGTTTCCCCCTCCGCGCCAAATGCAGATCTCGGCACTTCCTGTCTTTATTGAGTGCAGTTCTTCATTGCCAACTTGCAGGAGGAGGGCTGGCTGATGGGTCAGAAGGAGGGCACCAACGAGAAAGGACTCTTCCCCGCCAACTTCACGCGTCCCATCTGAAGTGGAAACTGAGTATTGGGATAGCGAAGAACCAACAGCAACTTCAGTTCTTTCACCACACAAAACACTTTTCGAACGGAGATCCCAATTCAAACTTTCGGCCAACTTTGTGAGCGCTGCATTCGTTTTTGTCCAGTTAATAAATTCTTGTTTTGTGAAATGTATTTGGGAATCACAATCCTTTGAATCCTTTGAAGGATGGTTCGAGCAGTGCTTCCACCATAATAAATTGTTATTGTTAACGAGAACCATACAACACACAAAGAAGAAGAAGAACGCAGATGAGGAGCGAAAGAGAGAGAGAGAATATTTTGAAAATGTTTCAAACATTATTTTTTAGTTCTAAGTTTCAACAAAATCTAAAGCATAAACCTACGTATACATATATTATTTGTTAATCCTATTATTGTGCTCATAATTAATGCGAACAAAAACGTATCTAATTTGTAATTTGTTAACGGCAAACCACAAACAAAATAATGTAACGCATATCACTCGAAAGCCAGAGTAATTGTTAAACAAATCAAAAGTCAGAGGAGATAGCCTGAACCTTTTGTATTTTGTGTATTTTGCAAATATGTAGTACGAGTTTTATATAGTCAATTGAGTGTAATTTTGGGGCGATGAAAAATAAGGCCAAATGAAATTCCTCTGTGGTCCCCGGAGTTTTGGAAATTGTTTTCAAGTAACAACATTAACTTTTAGCGATTACGTGTATCTTAATTTGTACTTTGTTTTTTAACTTTCGTCTGAGAGACTCGAACTATCTGCAGCTTTATAACACGAACACAATCCAATAGTCACTAACCGATCGATTCGATGTTTTTATTTTGTTCAACTCGATTGTAAATTACACGAAACCCGAAATAATTTTTTAAATTGTGCACACACTGTAAAGTTATTATTTAAATTTTATTTAATTAATTTAAATACCTATTTATCGCATGAACATATTGAACAAATGATAATAATTTACAGAAAGCAAATAAAACATAGATTAAATAAAAAGTTCCGTTTGTAATTTGGCGGGTAATGGCTTTTGCTTCCGGTGCTGGAAAATACCCACATGTTATGTTTTAGCCGCTGTTTTCGAATACTGGCAGAAGATTTGTACATCCTTGTAAAGGGGATTATAAGGAAAGAGTTGACAACGTATTTCCAGAGTTATTAAATGTTATTGAAAGTTTTTATGAACTCTACCACTTGGGTTATTTAAAAATTTGTTTGTCCATTTTAGCTAAATATGTCTTACTTTCGTGCGAATTCCAAATTGTTTTAATTTATGGGTATGTTTCATTTCCGGCTACAAGCTCATTAGAAATATTTTTCTCATTTTGACCACACAAAAATATACCAACCAGATCTGAAACTACATACTTTTTTGGAAGTTTAAAAATACTGAAGATGTTCGTTTACACTGCTTATAAGCAGTGCACTCCTAGTATCTTTACCACGAGTTCCGTATTTATTGGTATATTTAGCTGCGCGTCGGATGGTTTGTTGCGTCGTTCCCCGTGCGGTCACACTGTCCTTAAAAACTACGGTCGTGCGTCAACGTTAGCGAAAAATGCAAAATTAAATATGTTGTGAGTAGCGAGCGATGCCAAATCGAATATGTTGTGAGTTTCGAGCGAATTCCCCGTCACAAGGACGCCCCGCCAGCCAGCGGTCTCCATGAGGCGCTGCCTGGCAGCCCCCAAAAGAAAACCCCCCCCGAAAAAATTTTTACCAGCACCGAAAACGGTCCGAGAAAAGCCAGTGTAAAGTGCGTTTTTTCGCCAAATAGTGCAGTCGCCTAAGCAAGGCGTTCCATAATTGTTCAACAATTGGCGAATCGAATCGCGAAATCTTCAAATCGCATCGCTATCAAAATTTTTTCGTTTCGTTAACGCCCTCGCTTATATTTGTGTGTATTCGTTCGTGAAGCAGTGCAGAGCAAATCGCACTGCTTGCCCGAGGAAAACACTACAAATAGGAAAAAAAAAGTTAAGAATATTAACAAATTTGTGGTTGTTGTTTAGTTAATGTGGATTTTTTCGTCACCATGTCCGGATTTTTCCTAAATAGTTTAATAGGTTCACAAAGTTAACTGGTGAAAAGTAAATAGCTTGTGGCTTTCGGGCGGGTGGGCCAAAAAAGAGGGTTAGGGGTTGTGTGTGTTTACCTTAGCCAAGTATGATGATGATTTTCCGGAATGCATATTCCTATTTTTCCACCCATGCCACCCCCTCATTCTTCTCTTTGTCTCTCTCTTTCTTTTTACTTGCAGTTCCACTGCATACAGAAAAATAAACAAATACAAGAAGCATAAAGTATGCAGAAAATTAAATACAAAAGGAGCCACTAAGTGTTTCGTGTGAAATCAATTTGAAAGAGCGTTCGTCGTACATACTTTTCCGTTTCAATTACACTACAATGAATATATGTTGAAACTTCGTTGCATTTACAGACTGGTGTTTAAAAACAACAACAACAACAACAAGAGAAAACGACAAAAAACAACAAAAACAGCCCTCATACACACGGAAAAAATATATCTATAAATAGTATCATATTTACATTAAAAGCAAGCCGAGCAGACATAAACGTAACTTTTATAATACAAAGCACCAGTAAATTAAATTAACCAACTACACACGTTCCTTAAAAACAAATGTTTTCCAAACCGCAAACCAACTAAAAACGAAATGCTTTTCAAATTAGTTTAAGCTAACTAAAAATTAAAAACGGAAACCAACCAACAAACCGCAAAAAAAGCCGCGTGATTAAAAAAAATTTACAAAAGATAAAAGCAAACCGAAATTCGGCAGGGAACCAAAAAACACACGATAAACCCGGAAAAACTAAGATCGGCGCATGAAATCGAAATTACACATTTTTTGTATAAAATAGTGCTAGCAAAAACCAAACGAGAGGATAAATCGGAACATCTTTTTGGAGAATCTCGTCTGAATACCTTAAATCCCGTCTCTCCGTTAAAATAATAAGTAAGTAAAATGTAGTGAAATGAAAACCAAAAACTCAATATCCTGAAGTAATATTGAACTCGACCACTTGTTGCCTCGCATTCTTTGTGATTTCAAAAATAGTTTTGGGATTCTGCATAACAAAAATCTCTTGAGAACAATAACAACGAGTTGTGCATTATAGCAAGAGGATTTCTTTATATTTTGTTATATCAAAAGTACCAGACTGAAAGTTTAAGTAAAGTTTCGATAAGAGTTCAAATCTTGGAACCAGTGACTCATAAGCTGGAATTTCCGATCCTGAATTAAATTATAGACCCCTGCCTGAAAATAGAAACAGACGACTTTTGAAGAACAGTAGCCGTCTAAAGATTAAGGAGACAACTCAAGCGTTATCTCTGACTGGTTTATCATAAGCATATACATATGTAAGGCAGATAAGACCAGTTCTCGGTGGGTAGCTCTCCCTCCGATTTGGTGGCATGATATATCTGGCAAACTATTGTTAAAAAACGCTTCATTGCGCCAATTGCGTGCCCCTGCCCCTGAATTTTGCCGCTACTGCTAATTAGATTTTGTGGCTTTGCTCATCGAGAATGTTTTCCTCCGACTGCAGTCCACTAATCCTGGGTCTGTTCGGCTAGCCATGACTGCCCAGATCTCCACTGAGTCGCCATTCTCCCGCACCTGCCTCACAGTTCCTCTTATCAGACTTTTGTCAAAAATATTGGTAGATTTTCCATCGATATTTGTTGGTGTCCATGCTGAAAACCTTGCATGTCAATGTATTCGCCAAGAAAATTGGATTAGCAATCACTCGATATATTGGAACAGAGGGCAGGAAAAGATAGGAAATAGCACCAGTAGGCTATATATTCCATAGGCGTGCCCTACGCTGAACCCATGAATGAACGATATCTTTGGGTGGACACAAATGTTAGTTAAAAAGAAATAGTGATGCCAACCAAATTTGGGTTTCTTTAACCAAAAATAAGAAAATAGGTATACATTCTAGATTTTTAAACTAAACAATGATATCTGTATGATCATTTAATCATTTAATTTATAATATAGGTATTAATAAATGAAACAATCAGTTTGTGAGGTAAAAGTTTACTGGTGCTGTGACGGTTGGTAAGAGAGACTATTATTTCAGAAACTCTTAGTTCATTTGGTTAAAGATTTTTTGGCAATAGATTTTCCATTTACTTTCGATTCCCCCCTTTAAAGTAGGTTCATTTGGTTTAGGATTTGTTGGCAATAGATTTTCCATTCTCTTTCGATTCCCTACAAAGTAGTTCCATTTGGTTTAAGATTTATTGGCAATGGATTTACCATTCTCTTTAGATCCGCTACAAAGTAGATTTGAAATCGAGGTGGGTCCACCCACCTGGAGAACACTCTCGCTAACCTGTGGCCAGCGAAGCCATACATTTGCCAAAATCAGCTTTCTTGCAATGAACCTGGCTGTGAAATGGCTGCGGGGGCATTGGGCGAACGCTTCCTCAATCTAGATCCCTTGTCTGCGCAGAGAGAGAAAGAGAGTCGACCGTCGACCGTCGACCATAAACCAGACCTAGAACAGAGCCAAAGCCAATGCCATGGACAGAGGAAACCCGGGCTAGTAGCCATGGGCCATGGGCCATCTATATCCGACGTCGTCATCGACGTCGCCAGCTTGTGTGGGCCAGGCTAGCAAATATGAAATGTTAATTGCCAGCACGGGACACAACGCGGCGAACTCTCGTTGGGCTAACAACTCTGGTGGTCCGTGGAAGCCCTACTCTTAGTTATAGAGATCCTACCTTTCGGTTGCGCAACACCAGTACTAAATCAAAGCTTCGCCTCTTTGCAGATGTTCTTGGATCGTTCGATGTGGTCTGCGTCTATTTGTCACCATCACTCTCAGCCTTCGAGTCACCGGAATCTGGTCAAGGACTTAGCATAGACTTCTGTTTCTGTAAGTAGCGATAGCAATAGCCAAAGAGAGAGCCATCTGGATCTGCGGAGCGAGCAACGCCGAAGTACAAATGCATCAATCGAAACTGAAACTGAAACAGAATCTGTAACTGCAACTTGGAGCGGTCACCTTGGATGAGCACGCATCCAGGACACGTTGAGTTCAGCGCCCGTCACACAACCAATTAGCCAGGTGACTGTGGGTCTACACACAGGAGGGAGTCCAGCACAGCAGACCATCCCACCATCCACCAAACAGCCAACAGCTAACGGCAGCATACATTTTCTACACGGAACGGAACGGGTCGAGCGTAGTGGCAGCAGCACGCGAAAGCGTCCATAAATCTAGTTAGCATGGAGTGCTGTTTATCGGAGGAGGCCAAGGAACAAAAGCGCATCAATCAGGAAATCGAGAAGCAGCTGCGCCGGGACAAGAGAGATGCGCGCCGCGAGCTTAAACTGTTGCTGCTGGGTAAGTGGAACGTGGGATGTGGCCACATCATGGCACATTTTGATTGCACTTAGCTCTCCAAGGCTTAATGCAATTGAAGGCGGGCGGCTGGCTAATTGCATTGCATGCCCGCCACTTATGGCTATGTGTATTCTACAATCCTATATCCTCCCTTAGGCACGGGCGAGTCCGGCAAGTCAACGTTCATCAAACAGATGCGCATTATCCACGGCAGCGGCTACTCGGACGAGGATAAGCGTGGGTACATCAAGCTGGTGTTCCAGAACATATTCATGGCCATGCAGTCAATGATCAAGGCCATGGACATGCTGAAGATTTCCTATGGCCAAGGCGAGCATAGCGTAAGTGAAGTCTTCACCGATTCAAAGATTTGTTAATCACAAAAGATTTATTTACTCAACAGGAACTGGCCGATCTGGTGATGAGCATCGATTACGAGACCGTCACCACTTTCGAGGATCCATACTTGAATGCCATCAAAACGCTGTGGGACGATGCTGGCATCCAGGAGTGCTACGATCGTCGTAGGGAATATCAGCTGACTGATTCAGCCAAATAGTGAGTTACCCGTTGGCCTTTCAAGGGCAACGAATTACTCAATGCCCAGAAATACACACACACAATATAACTAACTAACTATTGAGACTGAAACTGACTCTGCAAACTAAATCAATTATCTTGTTTACGTATAGTTATCTGAAGGATCTCGATCGTGTGGCTCAACCTGCATATTTACCCACTGAGCAAGACATTTTAAGAGTTCGTGTGCCGACAACAGGGATAATTGAGTATCCCTTTGACTTAGAAGAAATCAGATTTAGGTACAAACCAAGTGCTTCTCCTGTTTGCATTGCATGTGTCTGATCTTTCCTTTGGTTATGGTTTGATTTGTCTATATGTTAACCTACTATTCTGTACAGTTTATCGGTGCATGTCTTTCTTTCTAAGCATATTCTATTATTGAGGGACTAACTATGGTTGGGGGGCCTTGTGAAAGTTTAGTGGACTGAGACGGATTGTAAAACTGGTGAAAACTGGGTTATGGTTCCGGTTCTTTGTTTACAAATCGTGTTAATTTATCTTATTCAGCTACTTGAGCGACCTTGCTCGAATTGAACAGGCTGATTACTTGCCAACCGAGCAGGATATTCTGCGTGCTCGAGTGCCGACCACCGGCATTCTCGAGTATCCATTCGATTTGGATGGCATTGTGTTTAGGTATCTATTTGAAATATAATCCGATCAATTATCGAGGCTAAAATGTAAATGGTTATAGCTAGATGAAGACTACTTGGTATTTATTTTAGTTAACTATAATATTGTTTGCGCTTTTAGAAACTAATGCTTTTATGTTTGGCTTTAAATGTAGTTTAAATTATTTGTAACTCTTTACTAATACAATATATTTCCCCAATGAACAGGATGGTGGACGTCGGCGGTCAGCGATCCGAGAGAAGAAAGTGGATTCATTGTTTTGAGAACGTGACATCAATTATATTTTTGGTAGCGCTATCGGAATACGATCAAATCTTGTTTGAATCTGATAATGAGGTAAGGCCATAAAACTCTTTTATTTGAATGTTTGCAAAGAATTAATCACGACGATTACTTACAGAATCGAATGGAGGAATCTAAAGCTTTATTTCGTACTATAATTACATACCCCTGGTTCCAAAATTCGTCAGTTATTCTTTTCCTGAACAAGAAGGACTTGTTGGAGGAGAAAATAATGTATTCGCATTTGGTAGACTATTTTCCTGAATACGATGGTAAGTGATACGAATGGTTGTGTTGACCATAATTATGTACGTTTTTGTGCGGCGATGAACCAGGTCCAAAGCAGGATCACGCTGCGGCCAAACAGTTTGTATTGAAAAAGTACTTGGCCGCCAATCCAGATCCCGAACGTCAATGCTATTCGCATTTCACAACGGCCACAGGTGGATTTTCACCTTCTGTACTTTATTTCTATGTAAATGCCTCAAAAAGCTGCACATCATCTGTAGATTATAATGCTAAATACACAGTAGTACCTCGCTAGACGTAACCATTTCTCTTGCCTTTTTATCGAAACAGGTCCACAGCGAGATGCAATAGCGGCCCGAGAATTCATACTGCGAATGTTTGTAGATTTAAATCCAGATTCCGAAAAAATTATCTATTCTCATTTCACCTGTGCTACAGGTAAGTTCATTGATTGCTTTGGTGTGTCTGTTCAAAAAGTGCGTGTGGATGTGATTGCAATTTTCAGCCCAAAAAATATGGTAATAAAGGTAAACTTTCATCTGTACAACATTTACATTTGCTTTTGCCGCTAGTTTAAAGTAAAGTATCGCTAGTCAAATTATAAAAAAGAATGAAACTGATTTCTAATTGAATGATGGTCTCCTGGTGAACAGATACCGAAAACATCAAACTTGTGTTCTGCGCTGTCAAAGATACAATTATGCAAAATGCACTAAAGGAATTCAATCTGGGCTAATCTGGCAACGAGGAATTCAGAGTTAATGGCAATGCAAATGAACAATTGATTTATAATGTACATGAAATGTTTTTCCAAGTCCCCTAATAAAAATTCATTTTAGTCTGTTAAAAACTTCGAATGGAATGTGTGTGGAATTTTACTCTTTAAATCCTACTATCTATAAAACCAACTAATTATTCTCATTTTCTTTGTTTAGATACGGAAAATATTAGGTTTGTGTTTGCAGCTGTTAAGGACACAATTCTGCAATCAAACCTTAAGGAATATAATTTGGTCTAAACTGGATTTGGATCGATAAACTATTTTTGTGATTTTTATACAAACACACATACACATTCATATAATTCCTTTTTCGCATATTTACTAAATATAAAAGAAGAATTGAGCAACAAGCGAATGTGGCCGTAAATTAGGCATTAATTAGACCCGAGAAAGTTTCTTACGTTTGTAACATCAGGAACCGAAAATTGTAGCATAAATAGAATACTAAACTGAGATGGTAAACCAGCATCAACAAAATGATGAAAATTATGTATACATTTTAATTTGAGAAAATAATAGCAGCAAATCCGATACGGGGTGACATACAATAATTAGAACTTTATGTTTTAGCTTTGCACTTTGATAATGGTTCGCAGAAATATAATATATATAGGGGAATGTTATTACCCTTTTAAACCGACTAAGTTTGTTTTTTTAGTAAACTGTGTGTTTTTTTAAACTGATTTGGAAAAGAAGACATTTGAAAGACAAAAACCAGAAACGAGAATAATCCAACAAAAAGGGTTTCTGATTCGATTCGAATAAATGCCAAGTTAATTTGGAATAAAGTTTACCTTTCCGCAAGGAAGTTTATGTCCTTTGAAAGTCTTGCGAAGAAATATAAGTTCGAATTATTTGTTGCCACCCCGTAATATTTAAATAAATTTATTACTATAGTAACTTTTGTAATAAAAACCGAAACAAAAAATATGAAACGTAAATTTAATCAAAAGCTTGATAAGGAACAACAAACTGAAACAACTTTGTCGTACTGAAGCATAATAAAGCAACATTTTACTAAAATACCTACAGAAGGAAAACAAAATTTTGCGTAAAGAATCCCCCGGAATATATATATTCAAAGAATTATATATGCTAGAAGTTTCTTATTAGAATTTCAGGGCATATAAGGCGTGTAAAAATAATAAACCAACAAAAATGATAAGCTGATAAAAAAATGAATGAAAACGAAATCACAGATAATACTGTATTTTTTATTAAGCTAAACCGTAAATATTAATACTATTGTTTACCGGAATATTTAACTATACATGCAAACAGATAATATAATAATTCATAAACGCATATGTAACAATTGATAAATTGATTAATTTGTATTGCAGCAGTCCCATTCATTGTAAATTACGATTCGTATTAACAACAACAACATGAAAACTAAAAACAAAAAAGAGAAAACAGAAAACACGCAAACCAAGGAAAAAGTTAGGAGATGAATCTGTAAGAGAAACGCCATTTACATGGAGCATCCATATAAATAAATAAGAAAGAACACGTGTTTGTAAAAATGTCGATAACCCCCCATTGTAACAAGAACAGCAGAATCCATGCGACTTATTGATATTTAATCAGACATCAGGTCAAATCCAATCAAATGCGATATACCACTGGTCGAGAAACATAACTTAAACTAACTATCAGAGGAAGGGAAAGTTTTGCTCTCACGTACTTTTGTTGCCATCAAAATTTCAGTCGAAACAAATTGTTATCAAATATAGATTGATTTTCGTACTTTTTACATTAACTTTGTTAGTTGTTTGCTTATTTTATAGAACTTACTGTATGCAACAGTGGACATATTTAGCGGCTATCCAATCAAATCGATCGAGTCTGCCAAGTTTGTCCAGTGTTTTGTTTTTGTTTTTATAATTTTAGTTTAATTTAATATACAAGGATAACTAAATGAGACGCACATAAAAAGAGAAACAAAAAAACAAAACCATCAACAACAAATTATTTATGTAAAAATCCAAATAAAAACAATTCTACTCTGCGCATATGTGGAAACAAAAAAATATATAAAATAAAAAAACCGAAACGTACATATATGTAAAATAAATATGAAGCAAAATGTTTTTCATAATTTATTAACCATTTTTTTTGTTTCGTTGTTCACCCACGAATTCCCACAACGCATCAGTTGGTGTTTAGTTTAGACGGGGCCACAGAAGAATTGACTCTTTGGCGAGACTCTTAGCAGAAGACACGACCCATGGAAGTGGAGAATTGAGAATCCTATAGCCGCGCATAACCAAAAACCTAGAAAAAAAAACAACTAATACGCATCTTAGTTTAAGTACGATTCAACAGTGTGTTGTATAAAGCTTTAATCCTCGTAACCACATCTAGTAAAAATAAAGTAATTAAACCATTTTTATGATTAACCAATGGATTAGCTTTTAAAAAGCTTCAATAAGTCAATGTGTATTTTAAAGATGTAGCAGAGCCTAGAGAGCCAATGAGTTTAGAGACCCGATCGGAATGGATATGGAAACGGCTTACAGTAGGTTCTCGATGCGAATACCGATTCGACTCGATTCGATTCTCATCCCCTTGGCTTCGCATCCGTTTCTATATATCCATGGCATTATAGACATTCACACACTGACATATATATAGTTTTCCGTCCAATGAATTGCATCAGCAGCGAGCAGACAAAGTCTCCCGTTTAATTTGATCTTGTTTCCGGTTTCGTTCAAATTCATCTGAAAGTTTTTACCATTTTCGGCGGTTTCACTGTGAGATATAGTATTTCCGTTTCTGCAGCCTCTCCTTACACCACACTTCAAATTGGTCGATTTTGGTTATGTTTCTTCTTAGCATTTTGTGCCTTTCACTATCACGAATCATGCAAAAAAATATATAGGACGGGCTCCAGTATGTCATTCTTATCTGGACAGTTTGGGACACTTAACTTATCCATTACTGGAGCCTGGCGAATACCCCAAACATTACATTATCTATCAGCATGTGTGTATTGCCAGATTGTTGTGTTTTGGGTTGAATCATTGGTTCCTTATTTTAATGATACGCACCGATAGTCAGACAGTTGTATGTAAATATTTGGCAAATTACTCGAGGGGTGGTAAATCGAGAACCCCCACGAGAAATCCCACATAATCGAGAGCATGTGTATGTAACTATACATTAAACTCAAAAAGAAACTATAATGAATGCAAATTTGATATAAATCATTAATGTATGTATTTTGTATTTTTATATACAATTTATAATTTTGATTACACTTACAATTGTTACGATTAATAACAAGAATTACATGATAAAACCAAAGTAATACAGATGAGTCTACTAGATATGTATTTCCAATATAGTGAAAGCAAGTACATAATACACAAATCCGATGATTGCTAAAGGAATTTCAAAATATTGTAAGGAACTAAGATTAATAACAAAGTAAACAAAGTAAAAATTTTCTAAGCAACAAACTCAACCAGAACTGCAAGCAAAAGGGACAACAATTTAAATGGGAAATTTATGTATTTGTGTAAATCTAAAGCGGATGATGAAGGAAGGATAATGATTATGATCCTTAGGGCCTGATACTCGATAAGTAGGGCCACGATTTTCAGATTATTGAAAACCATTTAGACGTGGCATTCGGTGGCTAGTTTTTACTTTAACTATGTATGTAAATGAAAGAATGACCACATTCCACATAAGAAAGCTTGAAAAGCGATGAACTATTGAACAAGAATCCCATTTAGTAATGAAAGTCTCCCTTGGCGTTGAACAAATGCTGTTTTTGTTCGACAGTAAGAATGTTCGATAGTAAGAATGTTTTTGGTTAAACAAACCCCATAAACTCAGCATCGGAATAGGCAGTAAGAATAATTAGTTGTGAGCTCGGCGACTCGCAATTGATTTGCCGATATTAAAGAGGAGCTCTGTTCGGGAATTGTTTCTCCATTGCACCACCAAGATCGGAAGCCAATGATGAAACAACCACTGGAACGGAACTGCATGCTACAGGGGCGGACGCAGGGGGGTGTCCGGGGGGTCCGGACCCCCCCAAAATCTCAGACTTTTTTAAATTTCCTTACAGCACACGGCTTTTCAACCATAAAAACTAAAATTTTTTTGGTCAGACCCCCCCAAAGGAACAAATTTTTTGATCGGACCCCCTCAAACGTAAAAATTTTTGATCGGACCCCCCCAAACAACAAAAATTTTTCGATCGGACCCCCCCCAAAATTTTTTCTGCGTCCGCCCCTGGCATGCTAAGCCTAGGATTAGGGCAAACCACACAGAACCCCCCCAAAAAAAAAAAAGGCGACAGTCCAGCATGTCCATGGACCGACTATTGATAACTGTAGCATTTGAATTGATTGATATTGGACGGACGGGGTTTTCCTGGGTGTCTATACATTTGTCATACAAATCATATTGAAGACGGAGATTGTATGCGGGGCAATTGTAACTAAACAAATTTTTTAGACAATTAAAAGTATCTATGTACACCTTAATATTAATGAAAAAACCAATATAATATAAATAAAAGTATATTGAAAAAACCTCACACGTGTTTTTGGACATTGGGTGTGTGGGATAAGAAGTCGAATTTTATGAGAAAAAAAAAGGATTTTTGATAGTAAAACTAATTCCAAAATTATATAAACGAAAGCGAGCTTCAAAGTTTGTTTGCATCAAAAAAAAAATTACGAACATTCTGCGATAATTTTTAAGGCAGCTAAGATAAAGATGTTCGTCTCCTGCGCTTCTCTACATTCGCAGCGTAAATAATGTTGGGAAAGTTTTAAAATGGTTTAAATTTAACTCAAAAATGTATATCGATTCGGCTGTACATAAATGTATATATGTACATATGCACTTAGATCGGTTGAAAACCATTATCTGAAATTAATGATACCATATGAAAGGGAATTCAAATCCCCTAGGTCCTAGGACATTTTTTCGGAATTGCTCTATTAGCCTATTATGCTTAATCAAGAGAACTATAAAATTATGAGAAACAAATCTCAGTAAGGCTTCTCTTAAAAACTGGAAAGCGATAAAAAAAATGGAGCCGCTGTTCCTCCGAAAACTTTCGCTCAGTTTATAGAAATGCTCGAAAGAGTGCGGACTCAAGTTTAAAACTCGCGTGTTTAGTTAAAAATGTCAATAAAAACCGATAAGACGAAAAAATTAACCAAAATTTGCTTAAAATTCTGGTAGAAAAATTTATTGAGCAAGCAAATCAATAAAATCTTTTTTATCTGCTAAAAAAAACAGTCAAATAATGTTGATAAACATATATAAATTATATAAGAAAATATAAATATAAAAAAAGGTTAAGTAAAAAAGTGAGTCACTTTTATTATTTATTTTACTCACTGGATTATGTTTATCGTTTCGGAATTAAAAAAAATTTAATAACGTGAATCATAGGTTGATTATGCAATTAATTGTAATGAATTACAATTAACTATGGATATAAAGAAATGTGTACTGTGAATAGCCAAATAAAACGTTAAAATAATCCAATATAAGATTAAGATTAAGATAAGATAAGCATCGTCCATTTTGGCATTCGATTCAAACACCAAATTTTTTTTTTTAAAAATTAAGACACACCAAAATAAGATAAATATTTTTTTGTTATTGCTTTTTTATGGGCGATGCCCAGTTTGAAGTTTGAGAAATGCATTCCCTAATTTTATTGGAAAACAACGCAGAACAAAATCACTTACGGTCGTTTGAAAAAGTTTATTTATTAATAGGTCTTCGGTATTAATCTCCGGGTCACCAAAATCTGATTCATAATACTTATAGCAACGGATTGTGAAGGTCGAAACTTCAAAATGGATTGCTGTTTATCGAGTAAAACCACAGAGGCAGACCTTATCAATATGGAAATCGAGAGGCAATTGCAGCTAGACAAGAAAAAGGCGCGACGGGAGGTTAAACTATTAATTCTGGGTAAATAAATCAGGAAATCTGTCATTGGGCATTTATGGCTATACTTTTTCCACTTCCATTTCCCCAGGTACGGGAGAGTCCGGCAAGTCAACGTTCATCAAACAGATGCGAATTATCCATGGCAACGGCTTCTCCGAAAGGGATAAGCGTGGTTACATCAAGCTAGTGTTCCAGAACATATTCATGGCCATGCAGTCAATGATCGGGGCAATGGACAAGCTAAATATTTCCTATGGCCAAAGCGAGCATAGAGTAGGTGATTCCTGGCCTGAACATGGATTGGTTATTCACAAGAACATTACTTCAACTACAGGAACTGGCCGCACTAGTAATGAGCATAGATTACTCCAAGGTATCTTTTTTAGAGGGTCCATACTTAAGTGCCATCAAAACCCTTTGGAAGGATGTTGGCATCCGGGAGTGCTACGATCGTCGCAGGGAATATCAGCTGACTGATTCAGCCGAATAGTGAGTTATGTTAACGGGTGCCTTCAAAAAGAACCCATAAAGTCACAGTTCAGAAAACTTAAAGACTTACTAGTGGATCAACTCCCCGGCTTAAGGTATAATTGGAAATCTTTTCAGCTACTTAAACGACATAACTCGAATCGAAAGGGCTGATTACTTGCCAACAGAGCAGGACATATTGCGTGCTCGAGTGCCGACGACTGGCATTCATGAATATCCATTCAATTTGGAAGGCTTTTTAATAAGGTATATTTTATATACATATATATTTTATAATATAATATATTTTTACCTAAACAACAGGATGGTGGACGTCGCAGGTCAACGTTCTGAGAGAAGAAAGTGGATTCATTGTTTTGAGAATGTGACCTCACTTATGTTTTTGGCGGCGATATCAGAATATGATCAAGTCTTGGCTGAAGCTGAAATTGATGTACGGTGATAAATTTGACATTAACATTAATCTCCATTAACAATATTTTGTAATATTTTCAGAATCGAATGGAGGAATCGAAAGCACTATTTTTTAATTTACTTTCATTCAAATGGTTCGACAGTTCTTCAATCATTCTTTTCTTGAATAAGGTAGATTTATTTGAGAAGAAAATAATGACTTCGCATTTGGTAGACTATTTTCCTGCATACGATGGTAAGAGTTCCTAACTTAAATTTTATTGAGCATCTAATATTTATTCATTAAAAAAACTAATTTGGACATAACTTTATTAAGACATATTATATATTTTTCTGATTTAAAAGGTCCAAAAAGAGATGCAGACGCTGCCCAAAAATTCATACTAAAAATGTTTTTGGACTCAAATATCCGTCCGGATATATACTCTCACTTTACATGTGCAACAGGTTAGTTTATTTGTGATTTTAATTTATTTTATTAAGCCCGCCTTTGTCCTTCTATGAGGCTTAACGTTTTTGTTAATATACCCGTGTTTTCTTTGCTTAGATACGGAACACATAAAGCTTGTGTTTGCAGTCGTGAAGAACAAAATTCTGCGACATAATCTTCTTGCAAACAATCTTCTCTAAACTAAAAACGACTTGTGGCATATGCGGCTCATATTGAAGTTGATGAATTTATATTTCTAAAGTTAATCGTCGAAATGGTTATAATAGTTACCTAAGTATTAATAAAAAAGGAATGGTTTGGACGATAAAAAACTGTTGTTTATTTCAAACTTATAGTTAACATACGCAATCGATTAAATTTAACATGTTTTACAAACTTTTTATATTTTATCTTGGGCGCAACATCTTCGAATCGCATGACTTCCGCCGAGCTTCATTACAAACAAACTATCACAATAAAATCATATTTCCGTCATACTTCGCATTGGCCATTGAACCTTATATTGAGGAACAAGCGAACTAAACATCACATTGATCAACAATTATAAACAAAACTCTCACGCACTTAATAAGCTAAATTTAATCATGGATTGGGGATTGTAGCAAATCGATTTTGGCACTTGGACGTTCACATGACCACAAAGTCGCTCAGATTGCGCTCTGGTTGGACCATACTCGGTGGCATAAGTTGCACCAGTTTGTTGAACAGGAAAGCTCGTTTGTTCTTAAGCTCACGAGGGCATTCCGTACGAGCTCTTTTGGTGCACGACGAGGAGCTTGGGCTGGAGGCGGTCTCCGAGATGCCGGATGAGATCAGGCTTTCGTTCGACTCCAGTGAAAGATTTTCTGCGGCGGGACCATCAGCCAATTCATCTGCAAATACACAAAACTTCACTCTCGACTCCAGAAAAAGCCTTTGAAAAATGAACCTTTAATTTTTGACGATACATCGGGATCCGTTTCGAGATCTTCAGCAATCAAAGCCGGTGTGGTACAATCTCTTTCGAGGCTATTATCATGGTTTTTAAATAGCAAAGAAGCCAGTTTGTGGAACTAAAAAGGGTAGAATTGTAATAAAAAAAGAAGAGGATAGAAAACAGTATACCTACATTATTCAATTGTTCCGCATCACTATGATCAATTACAGCGGCTATATGATGCCGCAAATACTGCATTGCCTTCAAGGGATCCTGGCGAGTCATTTCCTCATAGCGCAGTTTACGCACCAAAAACCGACAATGCTTCAGGATCTCCTCCCGTTTTGGTCTTTAACAAGGATAAACTTAGTATATAATACATTCAGTTAAATAAATATTTACTTTTCCAAGCGCAGAAGCCAAAAATCATCCAGCCTAAGCTGCTGCTGCTGGCAGATTCCCGGATTTCCTCCGAACAAATAGTGAGTATTTGCCAGGTCATCGTACACCAACTGGTGGGCATAACGGGGACACGGCTCTAGAGATCCATCCCCCTTGCTAGCACCCAAAATATTCATCCTGCTGATAGAGTTTGCATCTTGGCCACTATGGCGGCAGTAGTATATCCTCGACCACTTGTGGTCTCGCAGGGAATAGACCCAAAATGAGTTTGATGCATCTACATGCTGTATATCCCTACGATCCTTAACCTTGCTGAGGCTCTGGAAATACTCTAATAAGTTAGGGGTTCTGTAATGTTGTCTTGAAGGCTCACAGAAAATATATAAATCTCGTCGCGTTCACAATCAATGGTGGCGCGTAATGTATATCCGGAAGATGGTTCAAATTTGGCTTCGTTGCTGGCGGTGGTTCCATGATTCGGGTGCTCTTTGTTGAGCACGGATATAGCCTGGGTGTCTACATCGTAGCTGAGGAATTCGTCCAGATCCTCCTTGCCTCGTTGGCCCCCATAAATGTAGAGTTTTCGATGTTTCTAATATGAACATAAGGTTAAAAGCTGAGTTTTATAAAGTGTATAGAACCTACATTATGGAAAACCATGCAGTGTGTAATCCTGGACTTAATGGACATCACATCTGCCAGCGATGCGCTGGCGTGGTGACAGTCGACAAGTATCTGCGCCCAGGTATTCGTTGCTATATGATAGGAAAACAGACCCGAATACTCCGGCTCTATCGCTCCGGTGGCGTTGACACTTCGTGGCGTGAGTATTTTGCCACCAAATACGTAAATGGTCCGCTTATCGGCATCCATGCACATCTGGTGATCGTAGACAAGCTGTGGACCTCCCACTTGACTGGTGTCATCACAGATCTGCATCCAGTTTCCAGCTCTCGTGTCGTAAAGGTAGAAGTCGCTCTTTATGTAATCCGAAGTTCTTATAGAGTTATCCAGATAACGACCAAGCATGAACACGTTTTCGCTAATAGGATCAAAAACCATTTTGTGGCAGGATCGCGGAGTGGGTCCATTGGAAAGCTCAGATCTTTCGCATAGCAGTGACCACTGATCCTCATCGATGTTGAACACCCAAAGGTCACTGAGGTCCTGGTACCCATCCCAGCCACCGTACAGATATATCAGTCGTTTTTTGGCATCCACCACCAGCTGATGGCCTCCACGATAGCCTGAAGAGCTGAAATTAGCCGGTGCTTGGCATTGGGAATTTGTTAATACGAACCAGGCTTCATGTCGCTTTCGGTGTGCTTCATATGCCAACTGTGCTTGTAGTCCTGTTTGTGTAAATACTCATCCATTAGACCCTCGTCAATGCACTCGACTATAAAACGCTCAGCCTTTTCAAAGTCTCCTTGCAAAACCTTTAAAGGAAATAAAGTATTTTAAAAATCAAAACAAATAGATATTTAATTTCCCCTGCAGTTTTTCTACTTACCAAGCACTTGTGCAGTTCGCTAATAAGCGGGTGCTCCAGTTGAACATTCGTCTGCTCCTGGAGCGCCCCGAAGGCACTCATGTAGCCCTGCTGTCGGAAGTGCTTCAAGCACAACTTGATAATCTCCACCTCCCTCAGGGAGTTGTAATTCTTCATGCGGGCACTGGTGTACATTGGGTCGTCCTGCCCGTGCAGCTCCACGTACCAGATGCTAAAGTTGAATGACGGGCCCCAGGAGAGCAGTGGCACGATCTTTAGGTACAGTATTGGCAGATTCTCCGAACCGTCTTCGGTAAGGCAGCGCAGGTTGAATACTTCTGGTACGTTGTCGTTCTTTAGGCCACTATAGAAGAAACTCCAGTTTAATTGGCGTCTTTGGCGCACAGGAATCACTCACCCCTCTAGTAGCAAAACCATGTGCTCATCCTCTAAGCCGCCGTAAACGCGAAATTTCTTGATATTGCACACATGCGACTTCTCAAACTTGCCAAACTTGATTTTCTTCACAATGGCGGGACGGCGAAGCTTCAAGGTGAGAAATTGCGGTGGACTGTTGGTGTAGGCGGACCACCTGGAAGTCTGATCGTTGGGGCAGTCTACCAGGACGTTTCTGAAAATTGAATGGAAGGTAATTTATTAAGTTGCGCATTTCACAATTACGAAATCCCGGGCATCCATTTTTTTTCCTGCAAAAAAAAAACTTACTCGGGCAGATAATTAGGCGAGTAGCTGGAGTAACGGTAAATCTCGAAGTTCAGACGCTCGGAGAGGGAAAATGGCTTCTGGGCGTTGCTTTGGGTACTGGTATTCGTTCCGGAGGCCGGGTTTAAGGCTCCATTAAAAGAGGACAGTGCCACCGATCCGTGTGAGCTGTTGTCCGTGGGACTGGATGTCGAGGAAGAGGACATGGCTGGGTAGAAGTGCGGAGTTGGGGTTTCTGTTCCAATGATTCTTGCGGTTTAACGGAGTGCACGAAAGGCTTTTGTTACTGTTGTTCGTTATCCGCTTCTTCGCCTTTTCCACACCCAAAACAACAGCGTAACAGCTGATTGCCAGGTGCGCACGAGACATTTAATGAGGGGGTTGATCTCATATCTTTTCGTTAACCCATGATGGACTTTGCTACTTAAAATGAAGACAAAACAAAACAGCTTAGTTATTTTAAAATATTATTGCTTTTCGATAATATAAAATTTTTTTAGGATAAAATCTTTTTGATATTTTAAATACCATTGTACGGTCAATGAATTAAAAATAAATAACTTTTTATCAATATTATGTCAAAAGAAATTATGATTATGAACAGTTGCACAATCAATCCTTGCCAGTCTGTACCATTAACTAATTGGCATCGATGTTTGCCTTTCGTTGACTATCGGTTATTATATGCAAAACTGTTCAACCGTAAAAATAGAGCTTTTAATACAAATTAAGATATTAAAATGCCATTAGTGTTTATTTTTGATTGACTTTGAGCAGTCATTATTATTTGAGCCCAAGATGGGAAAGTGTGTTGATATTGCGCATATATATTTTGGAGTTTTATTATGGGTTTTGTATTTTTTTGTACTCTTAAATTATTCAGGCTTAACGATTTATTTTTCAGTCTTATTCCAACGGACTCTTTTACAAAATCAGGAAAATTGAATGTCTAGCCAATGAGGACTATTTTAATAATGTGTCTTGTGTTTTAAAACCAATAAGCTGGACCCGATCAGTATTAAACATGGATTGCGATATTAAGGACATACTACCTGATATTAAAGTGCGTGTAAGCTTAACATTTTATTTTAGTAATAGTGATAATTTTTAGATGGCGGTAGATGTTTTCTACAAGGATTCAACAAACCTTTACAAGCCATTTGCTGTAAAATTTCAATTTGACATATGCAAACTGTTAAACACAAAATCACAGCGAAATTTTATTGAAGAATACGCCTTGAAACATCTGTATACCTTAACCAACGTGAACCATAGTTGTCCCTATAAGGTAAGTTTTATAGTTTAAGCCCTTCAAACATTTTATTTAAATTTATTTTTTATAGGGTCACCTGTTTGCACGTGACTTTTTTTTGGATGAGGTGTCATTGCCTCCTCTTCCTCTTCAGGATTACAAAATTGGATTTAATTTTTCAGGTCTTAAGCCGAAAAAACGCTTAGGAGAGGTATTTATCTACTTCGAAGTGCTGGAGGATTACTACAAGAACAGAAGAACTAAGCCACGGCCAAAAACGATTGTTTTTGTTTAAAATACATTATTCATTATAAGTTAACTATAGTTTTAACTACAAAAATAATTTTATTTGTACAACTTTATTTTATTTTTAAAACTTTGCTGACAATTTTGTCGGCAGTGACCGATAATCGATAACTTGCCGAAAATAATGTTTTCGGCAAACGGTCACTTTGATTTCTGCGTCGTGGCTTCGTTTTGTGCAAAGAATTTTTTATATTTTAGTTTTAAAACAACCACTTAATAAATAACCATGGCTTTTGACGCGATTCCTAAAGATCTGCGAGGACTGCGGGCCTGCCTTGTTTGCTCCCTAGTGAAAGTAAGTTACTCTTTTTACTGGAGAACCGGCATAATCTGATAGCATCCTATATTTCGCCCGTAGAGTTTTGATCAATTTGAGACCGATGGCTGCGAAAATTGCGAAGAGTTCCTGCGAATGAAGAACAACAAAGACAATGTGTACGACCATACAAGCAACAACTTTGACGGGATCATTGCCTTAACTACGCCCACAGACTCCTGGGTGGCCAAATGGCAGCGATTGGGTAAAATTACCTTAACACTAGAATTTTCTATGGAACTCCACAATATAAAACTTAAATCTTTCTCAGCTCGATTCACCCGTGGTATCTATGCGATTTCCGTCTCTGGAACTCTGCCGCAGTCCACTTTAAGAGACATGAAAAACCGAGGAATCGTTTACAAATCCCGAGACAGAAGCCAGCGATGAACAAACCGATTGCCGTACAAAATACATGTATAAATCTTTATTTTTAAGTTATAACAAAACCACGAATACATACAATAGCAATACAAAACGGTGCGGTTTAGTCCTCTAGTGAAGTAACACGCAAGCCCTCGCCACCGGCAGTCGTCACATGGACACCAAAGCCCGCCGATTCGAGCTCCTCTTTGAGCTTCCAGTAGACCTCGTTGCACTCATAGTTTTCCGGTAGCAGAACGATCACATAGCCACCAGCACCAGCTCCAGTCAGCTTGGAAAAGAAGCCTCGCTTAAAGGCGATGGTAAATATCTGCTCCAGCTTCGGATGGGACACTCCAATGGCCTTAAGCAGATCGTTGTTTATCTGAAAGAGACGCTCCAACTGCTCAAACTTTGCGCTGTCGTCCTGGGCGTTGCCAAAGCTTTCATAAAGTGGGACGGCTGCGGTCACGAGCTCCTCGCAGGCCTGCCAAATGGCCTCGATGAGTTGCGGGAAGGCCTCACCCAAGTGACGCACCTTGGCCACAATGTCCGCGGTGCTGCGGCTCACCCGACTATCCACCAGCAGGATGTTCAAAGGCTTCTGAATTCGCAGCGACTGGAATCCTTGCCCCTTAACATAGCGTAACATCCCTCCATAGGTGCACACTGTGTTGTCCAGACCGGAGGGAGTGCCATGATTAACTCGTTCCGATTCGTAGGCCCAGGTTGATATCAAAGCCTGATTTTCCTCGGCCAGGTAACTGTCTCTATCAAAGTGCCCCGCCAAAATGAGAAAGGTGGTGGCCAAAGCGGCTCCAAAAGAGGCGGAACTTCCAAGTCCCGCGCCCACGCTCAACTGGCTGTCTACCTGCACCTGGAAACCGGTTTGCAGTGTCATTTTTGGATCGCCGGGTGAAGAGAGTACAGCGCCGGCCAGCAAATAGTAGATGGAGACAAAGGCCCGTTGTGTGTGCTGCTTGGGAGCACTGCCTCCGGATTTTTCCAGTTGTTTGGACACTTCTGCTCTCACTGCCTCCAGTAGTTTGGCTGTGCTGTCTGAAGAGTTTTTGCTCCGGAAGTCGGCCAAAAAGTCATTGAACTCCGGCAACTGGATCTCCAGGGTGCAGTTAAGTGCCTCTAACTGAAAACTGGCCACCTGACTGTTCTCCAACTGACGGAATCTCAGCGTAGTGCCCAGGCCTACAACGGCGGCGAGGGCGGGACGGTGATAGACTACGGCGTGCTCCCCATGGAGGATAACCTTGCCCGGAGAATGAACCTGGAACTTGAGCATTGTTTGTGGTGATCTCTGTGTTCTGTATGCGTGTTCGGTATTCCGAATGGTTCTGCTTTATCGGTTTATCAGCCTTTTTGAATTGTAATGCTAATGCTGTCTGAAGTGGGCGACCTCTGGCGAGTAGTTAAACGTTTATTGGTGTTTTTTTATGTAACCTATGCATTTAGCGGATCATTTGCGTTGTTTATTTGGTAACTCCCAAAAACAAAATGCCGATTCCTGTGTGCTTTCCCTTTCACTTTCTTTGTTCGACTGGCGTTTTTTCGGGTTTCGTTTCTTCGATCGACACAACTACCAAGAAAACGAGCAACAGGTTATTACGGCTTGTTGTTGTTTGTTGTTGCGTGTGTATATATGATGTGGTTTTTGATATTACTATTGGGCTTTCACTTTCTCCCACTCTTCGGGAGTGTACGATTTCTGGGAGAATGCATGGATTTCTTTCAGTTCTTCGGCTAAAGTTGAATTGACTAATCTATGTTTTTGCAGCAGGGTCTTGCCATTAAAGGATGGCGATACGACTACCGCACTAAACTTGCCGCCACAACCGTCTGATTCGTCCGTGACACTCACGTACGTGGCCTGCAGTTCTTTTTTGAGCTTGTCTTCCAAGTACTTTGAGTCGTATTTACTCATTTTGGATGGATTTATTCAAAAGAAAATGAGTTGCTTCGATTTGTGTGTGACCGTAAGCAGATTGCTGTCAGAGTTCCAGCTGTTCATTCGCCGGTAATGACCATTTTGTTGTTTGTGACTACTGGTCACATTTTATTTTAATTTAAATTTTAATGTTTATTTTTGTTATCAATTTGATTAATAATAAGCAGGAAGCATAATTTGCTTGTTTTTTCTAGACTAAACTTGTTCCCCAAAAAATAAAACAAAATATTGACAATTTTCTTATTGCTTAGCTTTTAAATATTATTTCCTTATGCTAAAGGTTGCTACTAAGAGAACATATTAAAGACAGATTAAATATAAGGTTTCCACTATGAGCTCTAAAATTTGTAAAGAACTTCGGGAAAGTACCTTCCGTCAGAGTTGCCACGCATGGCCAAGTGAACAATCGTTGCCAGACCGAATCTAGCGATACCTTTTTCTGTTTTGCCGCCACCTTCTTTGCCGCAGCCAACTTTGCCCATTCATCGTTTACACGCGATAGCACGCGCAGTTTTCCCACCATTCATTAGAAAAAAATCGCATGTAATTATTTACAATTTGTTTCAGCAAAACAAGCATTGTTTTGTGTAAATCGTGCAATTTCTTGGTGTTGAAAGAGTGACGAACAATTTAGGCAATAGTTTTCAGTAGAAACTCCGGAACATAAGTGAGAGGAACGCCACATTGCCGTGGGTGAAATTGACTGAAAAACTGAACTTAATTTGAGAGAAAGACGCCGGCATTGCAAAAATGTCTAAAACAGAAGCAGCCGCCGTAGAGGCAACCGAGGAAAACTCTGTAAGTTGTAGTACTTGCTAAACTCCAACCAGGGGTCCTTAAATTTTCCACCATCTTTTGCAGAATGAGACCACCTCAGATGCGGCCACCAGCTCATCCGGCGAGAAGGAGGCCGAGTTCGACAACAAAATCGAAGCCGATCGCAGTCGGCGCTTCGATTTTCTTCTCAAGCAGACAGAGATTTTTACCCACTTCATGACCAACAGCGCCAAGAGTCCCACAAAGCCCAAGGGAAGGCCAAAGAAGAACAAGGATAAGGAAAAGGATGTGGCTGAGTGAGTGCTGTTTTCCTAACAATATGTCCTGTCACGTAAAATAAATTAATCCTTTTTCCTTTTTTTACCAGTCATCGACATCGCAAAACTGAGCAGGAGGAGGATGAAGAGCTCTTGGCGGAGGATTCGGCTACCAAGGAGATCTTTCGCTTTGATGCTTCTCCTGCCTACATCAAAAGCGGGGAGATGCGTGACTATCAGATCCGTGGTCTTAACTGGATGATTTCGCTGTATGAGAATGGCATCAATGGTATCCTGGCCGATGAAATGGGTCTGGGGAAAACCTTGCAGACTATATCTTTGCTGGGTTACCTTAAGCATTTCAAGTGGGTTCTTTTTTAATTCAAATTATCTTCTTTTCTAAAGCTTAAAATTATAAAATCTTGCAGAAACCAAGCTGGGCCCCACATCGTCATTGTGCCCAAATCGACTTTACAGAATTGGGTGAATGAGTTCAAGAAGTGGTGCCCATCGCTCAGGGCTGTTTGTCTGATTGGTGACCAGGACACTCGTAACACCTTTATTCGAGATGTGCTCATGCCGGGCGAGTGGGATGTTTGCGTGACCTCCTATGAGATGTGTATCCGCGAGAAGTCAGTATTCAAGAAGTTCAACTGGCGTTATTTGGTCATTGACGAGGCTCATCGCATTAAGAACGAGAAGTCTAAGCTCTCGGAGATTCTGCGAGAGTTCAAAACCGCTAATCGTCTACTTATTACGGGAACTCCGCTGCAGAATAATCTCCATGAGCTCTGGGCACTACTCAATTTCCTGCTGCCCGACGTGTTTAACTCATCGGAGGACTTTGATGAGTGGTTCAACACAAACACTTGCTTGGGTGATGACGCTTTAATAACTCGCCTGCACGCTGTTCTAAAGCCTTTCCTGCTGCGTCGTTTAAAGGCCGAGGTGGAAAAGCGCTTGAAGCCCAAGAAGGAAATGAAGATTTTTGTGGGTCTGTCCAAGATGCAGCGCGACTGGTACACCAAAGTTCTGCTCAAGGACATCGATGTGGTGAATGGTGCCGGCAAGGTGGAGAAGATGCGGCTGCAGAACATCCTCATGCAGCTTCGCAAGTGTACCAACCACCCGTATCTGTTCGATGGCGCAGAGCCTGGACCGCCGTACACCACGGACACCCATTTGGTCTACAACTCCGGCAAGATGGCCATTCTAGACAAGCTGCTGCCCAAGCTGCAGGAGCAGGGATCGCGTGTGCTGATTTTCTCACAGATGACAAGAATGTTGGACATACTGGAGGATTATTGCCACTGGCGCAACTACAACTACTGCCGACTTGACGGTCAAACGCCACACGAGGATCGTAATAGGCAGATCCAGGAGTTCAACATGGACAACAGTGCCAAGTTCCTCTTTATGTTGTCCACTCGAGCTGGTGGTTTGGGCATCAACTTGGCAACTGCTGATGTGGTCATTATTTACGACTCGGACTGGAACCCGCAGATGGATTTGCAGGCTATGGATCGTGCTCATCGTATTGGTCAGAAGAAGCAAGTGCGCGTTTTCCGCTTGATCACCGAAAGTACCGTCGAGGAGAAGATCGTCGAGCGCGCTGAAGTTAAGCTGCGTCTGGACAAGATGGTCATCCAGGGTGGTCGGTTGGTTGACAATCGCTCCAACCAGTTGAACAAAGACGAGATGCTTAATATTATTCGTTTTGGAGCTAACCAAGTGTTCAGCTCGAAGGAGACTGACATAACCGACGAGGATATTGACGTGATTCTGGAGCGTGGTGAGGCTAAAACAGCCGAACAGAAGGCAACTCTGGACAGTCTCGGCGAGAGCTCGCTGCGTACATTTACCATGGACACAAACGGCGAGGCAGGCACATCCTCTGTTTATCAATTCGAGGGCGAGGATTGGCGAGAGAAGCAGAAGCTCAACGCCCTGGGCAACTGGATCGAGCCACCGAAGCGAGAACGCAAAGCCAACTATGCCGTGGACGCCTATTTCCGGGAGGCACTTCGCGTTTCTGAGCCGAAGGCCCCGAAGGCTCCCCGCCCACCCAAGCAGCCCATCGTCCAGGACTTCCAGTTCTTCCCGCCCCGTCTTTTTGAGCTGCTCGACCAGGAGATCTACTACTTCCGCAAGACCGTCGGTTACAAGGTGCCCAAGAACACGGAGCTGGGCTCGGAGGCCACCAAGGTGCAGCGCGAGGAGCAGCGCAAGATCGATGAGGCGGAGCCGCTCACCGATGAGGAGATCCTGGAGAAGGAGAACCTGCTTTCCCAGGGTTTCACAGCCTGGACCAAGCGCGACTTCAATCAGTTCATCAAGGCCAACGAGAAGTACGGTCGCGATGACATCGACAACATTGCCAAGGACGTAGAGGGAAAGACACCCGAGGAGGTCATCGAGTACAACGCAGTGTTTTGGGAGCGTTGCACTGAATTGCAGGACATTGAGCGAATCATGGGTCAGATTGAGCGCGGAGAGGGAAAGATTCAGCGGCGACTTTCTATTAAAAAGGCTTTGGATCAAAAGGTTTGTATTTCATTGCAATTCTCGTTCTGCAATTATATTTTTTTATTATGTTTTCTTTACAGATGTCGCGTTATCGCGCTCCCTTTCATCAGTTGCGTCTGCAATATGGCAATAACAAGGGCAAGAATTACACTGAAATTGAGGATCGTTTTCTGGTTTGCATGCTGCATAAGTTAGGTTTTGACAAGGAGAATGTCTACGAGGAGCTGAGGGCGGCCATTAGGTAAAATGCAATATATCCTTGCTCGGAATGACAACCCGATTAATCAATAAATCCCCTTACAGAGCTTCTCCCCAGTTCCGTTTCGATTGGTTCATCAAATCTCGCACAGCTTTGGAGTTGCAGCGTCGTTGTAATACTTTAATTACTCTCATTGAGCGTGAGAACATCGAGTTGGAGGAGAAGGAGCGCGCTGAGAAGAAGAAGAAGGCTCCCAAGGGCAGCGTGTCTGCTGGCAGTGGAAGTGCCAGCTCCAATACCCCAGCACCTGCGCCGCAACCGAAGGCCAATCAGAAGCGGAAGAGCGAGGTGGTGGCCACCAGTTCCAACTCGAAAAAGAAGAAGAAGTAGAGGGCAAAAGGGCGAGGATAATCACTTGAGATTCGGATCCACACTCAGCATTAGGCAGTTACATAGTTAAGACAAGCGATTACTTAAACATATTTCACTCGACATAGATACATAGTTCGTAATTCAGACCGGAAGCAATTGCCCCTCAGCCCTGAGAAGATCTTTTTAAACACACCCGCCTACACATCCAACTATATTATTACTGCTCGCCGCTGTATTCTATTCCAAGTAATTGTATTTTGTTTTAAGATCATAACCATTATATTTATATATTGCTACACAGAGATAACAGTTTTGTTTCTTTTTATTTGATGGAAATCCCGTGAAGAAAATACTGGCATGTTTTCTTTTCATACTGTTCTCTTTATGGTTTGGAATGCTGAGCAACTTAAAATAATAACATTTATAAATTCTATGAATTGCAGTTTAGTTTGTGTAACAGGGCACTTAAACTTAATATCATCTTGTTCATGCAGTCAACGGCATCGGCGATATGTATTCCGTGCCGGCAGACCATGTTCAACATGGCCGTAAGTTGGGTCTGATCTGTATTTGTGGGCTTTGCCTGCTTTTTGAACTCTCACACTCGTCCATCGTTTCGCTGGAGCTACCTGCATCTGGAGTAATACTACGTCTCTGGTTGAACGTCTACGCAATTTATTCTTCGCCGCTGTACATATCGATAATTTCGTTGATGCTCGCCACAGCTCCGGCAATCAAGGCCAGGATGGAGAACAGCCCCAGGAAGATGTTCTTTACCAGCTTCCACTTGCAGACGCCCAGCTGATTGGGCCACAGGTAGACGGTCTCCACGAAGCTGGGCACAAAGATGCCCAGCAGCGAGAAGAACACGGCACCCACCAAACTGATGAAGGGTTCCAGATTGGGAATGGCAGCAGCCACGCCGCCGCTCAGCAGGATGATGCCACTGCGCAGCAGGATCTGTGTGATGTTGTGCTTCTCGGGACTGAACTTGTGACCGATCTTGCGCCACAGGATCTCGTTGGGCACATAGAACTGCAGGCCGAAGGTGAAGAGGATGGCGACGGCCATCAGCAGCTTGGCTGTGTCTCCCAGCCAGGCTCCGTCCGGCAGATTAAGCGTGATGCTGCCGCGCACTTGGTCTCCAAATCTCACATAGCCGAAGAATCCAATGATGGCGTACAGCGAGACCACTGTGATCATGGCTGTGTTGAGGACACCCGGGCATCCCAGGAAGTGCTGGGGTTTCTTCATCGAGTTCTCCACGGGCATCACAACACCGATTCCCTCCATGGCGAAGATCACGGTGGCGAAGAAGAGCGGGATGTGGGAGGCCTTGGCGATCAGTGGCTTATCGGAGTAGACCAGCGGCTCATCGAACATATAATACAGAGTGATGGCGAAGGTCACAACAATGAAGATGTTGGCCATCATGGAGAACGGCACCAGCCACTTGAGGTCGCGGATTTGGCCGATCAGCAGGCAGGGGATCACGGTTAGTGCGATGTAAATTCGCACATCCCAGTTGATTCCGCAATCGTAGTTGATGACATCGTGGAAAGATGTCGCAATAAATACGATGTACACACATGCCGCCGCGTAATACGTGGCCATCAGTCCGATATCCACGAATTGCCTGGACAAAGTAGATCATTATTGTCAAGGATCATCAACTGGGGTTTCATTACTCACTTGGCGAAGTTGGAGTAGGGACGCATTCCCTTTGGTCCGTACTCGAAGACCTTTTCCGCCGTCTCAGCGAATCCCAAAGCCGAAACCTTGGCATCCTTGCAAATGTTATGCGAAGTTTTTACCTGTAAGAAAGGTTCACAACAATTGTGAAAAAATCTTTCAAGATAATAATAAATTTAATAAAAAAACAACCTATAACAATAGAAATATAAATTCTAGTCAAAGCATAATGCGTTACAAAATGCATTTAAACAGGCTACGTTTGCTTGGAAATTGGTTTTCTATGAATTAACTGAATAGTTCTTTTGTAGAAAAACCACATTCTTATCTAATTGATTGTACTTCCCGGTAAAACTAATTTTAACTAGTAAGTAGTACATCGTTTTTGCTGTTAAAGTGAAAACTGCTCTTACTAACATTTTATTGTAAGTGGAGTCGATTATTCCACCTCAAAATAGCTAAGATAAGAACTTGTATTATAGTCATTCAACTATTCCCACCGCAAATGGTAAATCTAATTGATCGTAGTGATAGTAGCACTTAAAAAGGCGCTCGTGAAAAGTCCAAAAATGACTGTCCAAATCCTGACGCCATAAATCTGCTGAGTCGAGTGGCTTATTATATTATATATACGACTGCTGTTTATATGACCGATAGATGATCGCTGGCTTGACCGTTTAAGAAAACGACTGGATGATTTATGCAATACGTATTAAGGAACGCGGATGTCTGGAGATTGGAGAAGGCTAATTCTGGGAATTTACGTGTTACTGGATTCGCGAGAATCGGAAATACTAGATCGTAAATGGAAGCAATAAAACTGTATCAGCCGCACATTGTAGTATCTCCGTCGATAAGGACGAGTGGCGACTAGTCTGCGATTTCGGACGCGTGCAACGATTGGACTCTCCGCTGCAGGGCTTATCTGTTCAGCAAGACTTTCCTATTGGCCATCGATTCGGCACCTTGAACTACTTAACAACCCGGGGAGCTACGTCAGGTGCGGCTTTCGCGGCTTATGCGGCTAACCTGGTCTGACTGCTGTCTATCGTCGTAATTGATTGAGTCAACAGCCACAACCAGGTGCTAAAATCTAAACCGTTTCGCTTACCAAAATGTGTACGCAGTGCGTGCAGAGGAAGCCGACGATCAGCGTCATGGCCATTCCGAAAGCCAAGCCGGCATTGTGGAAGGCCATCGGCATCGCCAGGATTCCCGTGCCCAGCGAACTCTTGAGCAAGTGCGCCAAGGCGCCTCCTGCACTCGCTCCATTGGGATCGCGGTGCTCGAAGGGATGGTACGGGTCCTCCGACAGCGACAGCTGGTTCTTCTCCGTCAAGTTGGATCTTATGAAAGTAGAAAAAAGTTATGCATTTTGTTATAAACTTTTTTATTAAAAATTAAATAATAGTAATTAAGTAACTACTGAAATTCAAATGTTCGAAAAGTTTGTGGTTCGACTTTTGCACAAATGCAAACAATAAAATTTAAAACTGTATTAATATTCTAATCAATTAGTTTATTAATAAGTATTATTATTATTAATTAGTTTCTATCAGAAATGTAGTTAATTATTACTAAAATGAATGCTATGTATTGTTTTTAAAATTAATAAACAAATTAACTATTTAGATTTGCATTGTTGCAGATTTTACCGAATATTCAGAAACAAGACTGCAAAAATGCAATGAAGATAAATATAATTAAAAATGTAAATCAAATAATTCAATAAATACCAGAAGATTATTTAGCTAGAGATATATTTTGAAACCTTTAAAGGAGGTGATTTAAGAGCTAAACTACTATCAACCCATTTAAATGTTGATTTAAAGGATTGCATTTTAAGTAGCAAGTTTTTCATTTCCCTAAAGGAATTAGCGATACTTACTTCGAGTTGAAGTCATTTAGAGTAGCAACTGAGCTGGCGTAGGAAGGCGGGTTCTCGGCTTTCGAAGATGCCTGTCCATCTGGAGTGAATCCCGCGTTGTCTGCCATCTGAAAGCGAAAACAAAAGCGGGATCGATTGTTATTAAATGGAATTACCACTTATAATTGATTGACCGCACACGAACGCGGTTTTATCGGTGAAAGGAAGCACGAGATTCGCTTTCGTTGGCCATTTAAGGCTTGGGTTAATCCGCTCAAGGGTTGCTAGGCACAAGCCGGGCATATCTTATCGACTTTTGCGAACGTTCGAGCATTAGCATTGCCTTACCAAAAAGATTTCTGATACTGGCCGATCGTTATCGTTATGGAACTGGCTAAGAACCGAACTGGGGGTGGGGTCTTGCGAGTAAACAACAATCGCACTCCGTTCATAAAATTCAGCTTTATGGTGCCCTAAAAACGCTTGTAATTCCTTTGACTGCGGCCGTAAAAACGGACCCTAAATCAGCGTCCATATAGTGGTCACCACCTATTTTTCCTATGAAGTTGATTCATTCATTCTCGTGATATTTAAAGTGTTTGCGGCAGCCGTTCCACTTATCCTTGCAATTCGAAAACGTTCTTTGAACTCCGATTAGCGTAACCGCTATAAAGAATTGTTTACGACTTGCCCCCTCTTTTATTAAAATTTATGGATCTATTAGTGTATTTTTTATAACGGGAAAATTTGTAGAGTTTTAGATTTCAATAAACTTCTTGGCTTTAAACAGATCTAATTAAAGTCGTAAATTAAAAGATCTCATGTTGGATAAACGGTTTTGATATTGTTAAATTGTTTAACATATATGTAAGTAAGCAAGGTTAATAAAATATAAATGTTCGTTACAATTTCTGTGTACTAAAGCAAACAAATCTAGGTCTTTCAAAAATAATTTGGAGCGGGATTTGGTTTGTATCTTGTTTTCAGTTTGTGACTTCACATCTAATGCCTTTCCATGGCATACATAATTTCGATCGATCATAAAGTGGTAAAGCCATGGAAAATTTTTGAAACTGTGCCTGCATTTACCCTCAAAGTTTTATCACCATTGTTTTCGTTTTTTCCGAAGTTTCGACGTTATTAAGTTCAACTTCAACTTTTAAAAATTTTGCATTCGGAATCAAAATTAATTGTAACTTAGTCATGCCGTTTTGCTGAAATGCTTACTGAAGCGTGCAGTGTAATTGAACAACAGGTTATTTTTGCAGGCGCAAGGAACTCGTAATCCGTCGTTTTATTTTGGGGGCGCGGTATAAATACACGTAACATGAGATTTCCGGTTACTTACTCTTCAGATAGAACAATACGATCCTTAAAATTGTCGAGCAAGGAAGGAGGACCGATCGCGCCCTCTGGCCAAAACCAACTGAATGATCGGGGGACTAACCAAATAGGCGTCAGTTCTGGGTTCGGGGGCTACGGCGCCAAAAAGTGTCGGAAAACGTTGAAAAAATAATGTCCAGAAATGATAACGACTTAAGGCAAGACAGGCTACAACAATCAATAAACAACAAATACACGCAGTATACACAGCTTATAAAAATAAAATGCTCAAAGCTACCTTTAAAATCAATTATAAAATGATAACACTATCGGCCCGAACCGAACCAAATATAACAACCGATCGGATGAACGAAGACTAGTCGGCAATCCACTTAACTGATTTATAGCGAAAACTTAAACAAGAGTACCCAGCAGGGATACTATATAGTGTTCTGATCTATCAATTCAATAAATTTCGAATACGTAATCACTTTCATTGGAATTATAAGATTCTTGACGGAATACAACAATCAACAAAATTAAATAATTGCGTTAATTGGCAGTTAATTTTGTCAGAGCGTATTATTCTTTATCAATACTGTCTTTGGACTTGATTAGATTAGTGGTCAGCAATACTCACTGTACTATTGCTCTGCTTTCTTACATAAAGACACTAAATCGTTACACTGTGGCATTGAAATCCCTTCATATCTTAAAATCGGACAGTATTACTTGTTTACCCAACGCGATTGGCTTATATTTGGGGCACACAAATCGATAAATCGAGCTGGTAAATCTTTATGATCGCCTTCTAATTGGGTTCCAGCAACTGGGGGGCCCCGAGTTTTATGCGATATCACGCGCCCGAACATTGCTCACTCTGTATTAAATCATAACGCGGCATTTGGACATTGATTAGCTATCCATCCTATCAAATACGATTGACTGAAACTAGAATCCTATTCGATTTATGGTCAATTACACTAATTAGTTACGCCATTTGGTTTATAATTAAATTAATGGCTAAGTGCGTCACCAAAAGATGTAGTCTTCGATCCGAGGTTTATGGTCGTGCTATTTGGTTATTGACACAGCGACTGACTTCTAAACTTTTGGGGATTTCCATTAATGAGTGAAACGGAACACGAAAGATTCCCATTGAAATGTTTACCCAAACAATTATATACTGATTTATAAAATCTTAATTGACAGGCAAACCAATAAAGTACTACGTAAGATGCAAAAAGTGATGGGAAGGTGTGGTTGCTCGGATGTTGACCTGGATTCACTGGAGGATGTTTCAAAAACGCTGTTAATCAAATAAGTTGCCTTGTCGATTCTTTATCCACGAAATTATATGGCTTACAAAACACGCTCTTTATCTCCAGCACTGTCTTATCGAAGCCATATACTCCAGTATTAACTGTTTTACACCCTGACCTGCTTCCATAAGTCCCCCGATCCCCGCGATCGGCCTTCCCAGCTATTGCATAAAACTGTCTTTCAAAACTTTAATGGAGCGTACGAGTGTATTTTTTGCACTCAGGAATTTCTCCCTGCCAATTCTCGAGCACCGCCTTAAGTACCTTTAATTGGTTGCCGATTTTTTGAATGGTATTTCGAGTAGGATCTCTTTTGGGTCAACGCATTCCATTGAAGCCAAAACAGCTTTTGGCTGACTTTTTGTTACCAGTTTTCTGTTTTGTTTTGCTTTGCTTTTGCTTTGGCTTTGTTTAACTTTTTGCTGCTTTTGTTTTGCTTGTGCGTTCGCTTCACGTGCCGCCAGAAGACGAGAAATGAAAACTCGTTGACCGTCCTGCCAGTCTGTCAATACCATTAATTAAGCTCCATTACAGAGAAAAATGGATTTAAGGTTCCATTGAAAAAGACCACCTTTAAATTTGTAAAAACTCTTTAAACAAGGTAGTACTTTTAACAAAATAATAAAGCAATTGCAATGGAATATCATGTTTTTAAAATTGATTGTAATTGTAACAAATTGAAATAAACTCCGTTAATAAAAAACAGTAAAAGTAAAAACATTTTAAAACCATTCATCCAAAGAAGTTTTGAACTTTTCCAATTAAAACAACAATTAGATTTGATTTTTCATTTCTTATAAAAAAAAAAAACAGTTTGGATTTGATCACTTTCAATGGTATACCTAATTAAATATTAGTAATTTGATATGGTATATTTAATACTTGAATGTTACAAATTTTTTGCATATGAGTGATAAGTTTTTCTCTCCCTGCAAGTGAAGTTGCGGAGTCGAAAAGGAACTCAGTGTCAGCCGATCTCGCGCAGTAAGGCGGATCGGTTCGCTATAGCTATAGCTGGATCGCGACCTTATCGCACACACTTTCGATATGCAAAACGATGAGCCTGAGCGGCATAATTGATCGGACAGCTTGACAGCTTGTAGTATTGAACTTGCAGTTATCTCATTGTTTTGGCCCACTGCTTTCGGGCAATAGCAATTATTACCGTGATGCGATAACAGCCCACCTTGCCAGCTCTGAGTGACAGCTGTGTGTGGGCGGATATGGCATTTATTTTGTATTTTAAGAATCTGAACTAAACATCAGGTTTATTGGCCCGTGTGTGGTGGAACCGTAAGGTAGCTGTCAAGATAAAACTGAGCCAATAATCTTTTATGGCATCCAATTTGGAGCTTATCACCGCAACAAAAAAAAGGGGGAAGCAATGATTTTTGCCTCATTTTGTTTTTTTTTTTTTTACCCATGACTGGCTAATTGCACGCCAACAGGTCTGAGATCGAAGATTTTCCAGTTTTAGGCAATATGTTGTGTCACATGCATCTGATAAACGCCTGATAACTCATTTGATGTGCGGGAATTAATTATAAATAATTAGTGCACTTATAAAATAGGCGATGATAAACACGAAAACAAAACAAATAATTGCCTGAGAGCAATAATTACCTTTGGCGCGATTTTATTTGTGTGAACTTTTGTGAAAATTATAGAGAAATTATTATAATGGCTTTATCCAAACGTTTGCCCTCGACATTGACGACAAAAAATTGTCTTTTTCACACCGTCGCGTTAATGATATATTTATGCTCGATGGTGCGAGTTTAAGGCCAGAATTTGCAGAAGCGATTTAATACGCTTGAACACTGTTTATATATTTGACAACCACTTCTTGTTGGATGGTTTAAATTTTCACACCTGCGCGATGTTGCAAGGATTTACGAAATTCGCGCGCGCGTTTTCTCGAAGGGTGTTTGTTTGGAGTTTTATTAGATTTTTTGTCGACCCCCGCTGGCGATTTGTTGTTAACTGTCGGACGATCGCTTAGTGACTGATATTAAGCCAATGTTTGTGCCTTAATTTGTTGCTGCGACGGCGTCGCCAGAGCGGCTATAAACCCGGCCAGACACACAGATATATATTCCCACTCCCAACTGAACTGAAAACTGAAAACTCGGCGGCGGAGACGAAGTCGGTTCGGTTCGGGCAATTAGCGCGATGGACAATAAACGTTACCGTGACGCAGGTGGGGCGAAGTCGGCCTCTCTCTCGACATATGTAAGTATATATGGTATATATATACGTATATATCCATTGTGCGTATGGGTGCTTTCTACAGATCACTCAGCTTTGGGCATTCGGCGGCCAGACAAGTCTGCCTTCGCCCCATTACTCATACGCCATGTGGCCGCGAAGGAGTATCGGTGGCATCGGAGGAGGTTCAGGATAACCGGGTGACCTGAGATCGGGTAAGCCATTGTTGTTAGGTGCGGCTGTTATCTAAATTCCAGGGACGCCACTCTGTCGAATTGGATTAGTTAGGCCTAAGAACTCATTTGCTTATCAGATTGCATTTCTCTTAGTAAATTTCCCAATTTAAGGGATTTGGTATACTTTTAGGAGCAGTCTGCGGTGGCAGGTTCTTCATTTTGAGTTGCACTTTGAATTATGAACAAATCACCCTGTATTCTCCACCGACACAATGTCTGCCATCATCCAACCGCCTAACTAACTAGAGCTATCAATTAACTATCAATCATCTATTACAGTTAACAAGCGTTGCAGTTGCACTGCCCATAATTTAGCAGTCTTACTTACGTTTTTGAGAAACCATTTACATAGTACTATTATAATTAATATATGCCTTTTAAAAAGTGATGGAAAAAGGACAGAATAAATACAAATAAAATAAAATCATAAAATGAAGTGAACTAGAAGTAACATTTTTATTTTTAATATTTTTTATTTAGCATAATTTTCAAATCGAATATGAGTTTTGTAATCCTGATGTATTTCACAGTGTATCTTAGCATTAAATGGAGTGTATGGTGCAGACTGGCAGCTCGAGAATTTGTGAGGCAGTTCGGAGATCTTTGGAGCTCCCAACCATCCCGCCATCTTTGAAGCCCCTGCAACAATTACTTAGTGCTGCCTTGGGCGCTTCTCTTTTAGACTGGCAGGCAGACCATGGAGTTTAGTGATTGACTTGTTTCAAGTGGCCAGCTCCCCTTGTTAGCTGGTTTTGTTGTCTAACCATAAAATATGAAAAAACGATCGGTTTTGTTTGCCTTTGCCCGTGTGGTTAGTTAGTTTGTCGACTCAGTGGGACAGTGGAAAATTTTTAGCGGCACGGCAAAAGCTGTCAACCAAATGCATTTTTCACGTGATGTGCATTTTGAATTCGTCGAGTTCAACTAGAGTTGCACCAAATGGATTGTGATTTGTCATTGATTTATGAGGGCATTAAATGTGCTCGCAATTTAAGGGCCAAACGTGTAATTAAATATCGGTTAGACAACTGAGTTCTGATTTAACAAAAACATCTCATGAGTTGATTGGATTTAGTTTGCCTCGTTAATGGATAGAAAACAGTGTACTTTTAATTGCGGAGTACAGATAAAATACGATATACACGAGCCGTGTTTTGTTGTTTAACAAGGTTTTTTATTGACGCAAGACAAATGCACGTTGCGTATACGACATGTGGAAGCCTTGAAAGGCTGAAAGATTGATAAGCTGAAAGGTTCAGCGATGAACGAGACCAGGAGCCCTTTTCAAGCGGGTCAAGAACTTATTCTTTAGCCGCGGCAATATTGACACTATGATTTCTTATCGATAAAGAATTTGGAAAACATTTACTACTGTCGCTGTCCCATATTGACAATCTCAGTTGAGCCTGATAAAGTTGTACCGCCTTAATAGAGAATTATCGATTACGAAAGCCTTCTGGATAGGTGCTCTTATGTGCTTAAGATATGATCGGGTTTCGGGGGGGATTTCCCACTCATCTGATATACATTTCGCAACCTTGAGAATACGTCTCATCAATCTAATTGATTTTCAAGCGGCCGCTCAAATACCTGGAAAAAAGTTAATTCGAAAAATCCCCTCCCTTAAAAAAGATACTTAAGGCCCCATGTCACTGACTTCGTTTCCCTGCCTCATTAAAATGCACATCGCACCGTTTTCGTATTTCTGTATTTCTGACCAACTGATCGAGCTTAGCAAATGGAAATTTAAAATGCTCGCCGAGAAATTCGCATCCAAAGCGTAATGTGTACATTATCGTTCATAATACCGAGTCAAGACAATAAATAATTGATTTGCTTCCGCAATCGGCTTCCGGATCTGCCTTCTCGCCATGTTTTGGGGTCAACGCGGTTCGACTTGGACGCATCGAGCACTGAGTAATTAATTAATTGATTAATTAATATTCACACTGCGCATCGATTCGGCTTTAAAGATTGTCGCTTGAGATTTGGATTCTAACATTTCGGATATACAGCCTCTGCCAACGACACTGACCTTGCCCGATGTCAAACACCCGCGTCGCATTTTTAATTTACTGCTGCGACTTCGATCATGAATGGAGGTGAGAGACTGACGCTGTTTAGATCCGCAACAAAAATCTGGGCTAGTGGGGGTGGTCCGAGTCACCTGGGTGACAACTTCCTTGAATTGCCGCCAGCAAACCGGTTAAATCTTCAACGGCGGCTCATTAAAGTGATTTTATTTAGCGCCTGTTTTGTTTCGTGTTGCCCCAGGTGAACTCCTTTGTTTAAGCGGGCCCCAAAAATACAATAAGCGTGGAAGAGCACGCCCTGAAATATAAATATTTGCAATATGCAAATTACTTGCTGTACAAGTGACAAATGAAGGCACAGTCATTTGACACTAAAGCTGGCACTTGTAGGCTGATCCGCCATGCAATCACACTCACATCGCATGACAATAGGAACTTTCTAACTCACGGCTTCCCAAGAAATTCCGATTTCCGCATAGTTCAACGACAGCGCCATCAAGGTGAATTTTGCATCTAATTTTCAGTTCTATGCTGTCTGAGAACATGCAATGCAAATGGGAGTGTTTATCGATCGGTGGTATTTAATGGCTGTAATTAACATTTTCCTGGCTAAATAGAGATGCGTCATCGCAGCTTTTAAAAAATTGTTTAACTACAATTACCGTAATTATCGGTATTTGGCAGCCCGATTTTATCGAATGCTTTTTATAAAAACAATTGAACTTGGCTTTGCAGCTCGAGTGTTTCTACAACAGTAACAGGTAAAATTATAAATGCAATTTTCAGCTTAACGTTAGAAGGAGTGGTATATTTTCCAATTTACTCTCCCTTGTAGACAGGCTTGCGTTTCTCGGCGAACGCGGCGAGTCCCTCTAGGCGATCCTTGGTGGGAATCACCTGCGAGTAGCAAATCTCTTCGATGGAATAGCCAGTGGCCAAGTCCACCTGCATGCCCTTATCGATGGCTAGTTTGGCCATACGCACGCCCACTGGTCCATTGGGCAGGATTTCCTCGGCCAATTTGAGGGCCTGCTGGTAGGCGGCATCCTTAGTTTCGTTCTGCTGCACCACATGGTTGACCAGACCCAGCTCCTTGGCCTCTGTCCCGTCAAAAACTCGCGCCGTGAAGATCAGTTCTTTGGCTAGCGCGGGGGACAGGATGCGAGGCAGTCTTTGGGTGCCACCTGCTCCTGGGATGATGGCCAATCTTGTTTCCACTAGACCCATTTTGGTATTGCTGGCAGCTGTGCGGATGTCACAGGCCAGAGCCATCTCCAGGCCTCCACCCAGAGCAGCCCCATCCAATGCGGCAATCACTGGCATGGGCAGTTGCTCAATTGCGATAAGCAGACTCCTGAGCTCCTTTACGAATTCGGTGGCCTCCTCTTGGCTCATACCTGGTATACAAATTATATAATTCAACCTTCATCTGAATCAAACGATCTGTTATTCTCACCTTTGCGTTCTTTTAAATCAGCGCCGGCACAAAATATTCCCGGTGTAAGACTTCTCAGTACGACCACCCTCGACTCATTATCCTTCTTGATTTCATCCAGGACATCGGTAAAGGTCTCCACCATTGCCCGGCTGAAGGAATTTTTAGCCGCTGGTCTATTAAGGCCAATAACCGAGATTCCGTGGCGGGGCCCCTCCAACCGCTCCACCAGTACTTCATTTCCATCTCCGTAAGGCGCCGTCGAGGCAAAATTGCGGAGTGCGACCATTGGGCGGGCACATTGGCGGGCTAGTCTTGATACTCCTTGCATTAAAATGGACATTTTGTCGTTTAAAACAGAAAAAAACAAATGCGAATGTGGTCAATAAAGTGATTATAAAACGACCGGCAGAAAACAGCTGTTTCTTTGGAAGCTGACAAAAGCTCAAAGCTACTATCGGTTGGCGACTCGATAACGCAGTGGCGGTAATTAACCTGTTCGCACTGGTTCGGCCAACCACAATTAAATTTTTTTTGTATATGTTTTCACTACACTGTCTTTTGTTGCATAGAATTAATTATAAACTAAACAACAATTCGATTGTTTTTAAATCTAAAACTTTATATACAGCTAAATATATCCAGATGCGAATTTTATATGAAACCACAGATTTGGTTTGCTCTCATATCGATATCACCAAATATGCTTTGCAATGAAAACATCCTATTATAATGTTTTGTGTGACCAAACGGCATCGGCAAGAAACGAAAACCACAACAACTAATAAAGCACAGGCGAAAAGCGCCAGCCGGTGATGGTTAAATTTTCAGTATAAAAAATTCGAGAATGCCAATTTAAGGTATAATTTTCAAGAACTTCTTTGGGTTTGTGCCCCCAGGACCGAGAGGGGCGATCCATAAAGTCAATCGATCATTAATAGCAACGCCCGCAATTCGTATTCTTCGCGTTCTATTGTCCCCGCATGACGTAGTTTTGCGCTAAAAGTGAAACCACGGAGCACCCGTTAACAATCGAAAACAACTGATCGGTATCTATAGTCTGCTAGTGACGCAGCGCGCCGTGTTAGTAACACAACATACGTATATGGTATAATACAACCTAAACTTTCACCCCTCTCGATTGCAGGATGCTGTTGCGCGGCGTGCAGATCCTGCATCGACGACACCAGCAGCTTGGGAAGGCCTTCAGCCAGTGCTCCTTGCGCCCGGATGCCGGCAAACACTGGAGTCGGAATGACGGCGAGTCTCCCAAATTGCATGCCTGGAAGCGACCCGGCTTGCTTCTTCAGTATCGCTACACTGCCGATGGCAGCGATTCTAAGAAGAAGGAGCAGCCGGCTGTGGAGGACATCACCGCTGGTCCAGTGGCCCAGCCAAAGGACAAGCAAGTGAAAACCTTTGCCGTCAAGACGCCTAAGGCCATTCTGTCCATTAGTACCACCATCGAGGACTCTAAGATCAACGAGATAGTCTTTGAGAAGTCCGACTTGCCTCCGGTGACCAAGCTGAAAGAGCCGGCTCTAGCTGCAGCAGCCATCAATCTGCGGCCCAGCCCAACAGCAGCAGGATTGCCGGGAGGTTCCTTTGTAAACCCTCCGGACACGATCCCATCGCCACCAATTCCACCAACAACTGGTTTGGTTGGAGCAACGCTAGCAGAAAAGGCAGGAGTAGTTGCTTCCCCCTTGCTACCTGCAGAGGTGCCGACTTCCCTGCCAAAACGGCCACGATTTGATTACCGTGCTTCGCTGGAGCGTAATTTTGTTACGCCCAATCGAGCCATAAGCGACTTCTTGCTGACCGCTTCCGATCTAGAAAGCCTGCCCAAGATCAAGCGTCGATCACCGTACGAACAGGAGCCACCTATGACCGTATACTGGCGGCGAGATGTGGAGGCTAAGGCTGTCGAAGTTTGGGGCTCGAAGGAGAACCTTTTGCGGGAGCGACTTAAGCGGGAGGTGGAGCGTAAGCAGTACCAGCAGAGTGAGTACCTGTGTCCCCTGGGTCCGTTCAACCTTTAATGTGGGTGCTAAAGTCTATGACCCCGCAGACCTTTTCACTGTGAAGCGCCGACTACGCGACTACCGCAGGGAGATGGGATCCCGCACCAAGGTGATGCTCGATAACCGCAAGGAGTCGGAAAAGTCCGGTCAAGTGGTGGCCACTGCTATTGCCATGTGAGTTTCGTAACTCAACCGACAAAAATGCTCTATGAAAATGTTATACTTCTTTTAGAAATGCGGCTAATTTGCTGTTCAAAGCTGGAGGCTGGGTGTACAGCGGTTCCCACAGCATGTTTGCAGAAGTTATCCACTCACTGGCGGACTTAATAAATCAGCTCATCCTCGCTTTTGGCATCTACAAGTCCTCTCAGAGTCCGGATATTGATCACCCCTACGGATACATGAATATGCGCTATGTTTCCTCACTGATCTCGGGCGTGGGCATCTTTTGTGTTGGCTGTGGATTGTCCATCTACCACGGTATTGAGGGTATTCTCCATCCAGAACCCATTACAGATTTGTTTTGGGTATACTGCATTCTTATGGGATCGCTGGTTTCGGAGGGAGCCACCCTGGTGGTGGCCATCAACGAGCTAAAGCGAGCAGCCAAAGAGAACAACATGACCTTCAAAGACTATGGTAAGTTTAATATGGCAGAAAAATGAAAGTTATAAACAAAATTTCTTCTCAGTTATTTCTGGTAAGGATCCGTGCGTGAATGTGGTGCTCTGTGAGGATGCTGCTGCTGTAACTGGCGTCATGGTTGCTGGAGCTTGTATGGGTCTAAGCAGCTACACCGGATCTCCTATTTTTGATGCCGCTGGATCCTTAGTTATTGGAGCTCTCCTGGGTGCCGTTGCTTCCTTTATCATTTACACAAACGCCAATGCTTTGGTGGGCATTTCTATCGCTTCTGAGCGCTTAGAAAAGATCAACTCTGCTTTGGAGGCTGATGTGATGATAAGGGCAATTTACGACGTCAAGGGCATCGATATTGGCAACGCTCGTGTCCGCTACAAGGTAAGAGCTCACTGTCGAAGTCCCTTCATACGACTAAAATGTTATTTTCACAGGCTGAGCTCGACTTTGACGGTCGCGAGTTGACGCGTTCGTATCTGGACAAACAGGATCTCGCTAAGCTGCTTACGGTGCGTTGTACTGACCCATTTCTGGGCCTGTCATTAACCGGTTTTTTGTTTACCTCCCACAGACGGTTCGAGGCTTTCAAAAGGTTGAGGATCTGGAGAGCTTTCTGCTGGATCAAGGCGAAAACATTGTGGACCTGATGGGCGGTGAAATCGATCGCATAGAGATGAATTTGCGGGCAAGTTTTGCGTAATTGTTATCATAAATAATATTTAACAAGTACTCTTAATTATATGGCAGACCCAATTCCCGGAAATACGACACGTGGACCTGGAAATACTCTAAACGCCCTCCGATCGACTGGGGGCATGTTAAATACATAAAGCATTGGGTGATTTGGTTGCTTCTATGAGAAATTTATGCCTGTATAGCTTATATTTATTTCCCATTGTAAACTTGTAAGATGTAACTTTAAAGCTAAGCATTAAAAGTGTATTGCTGAGGGCTTGTCAGAAGCCTTTCGGTTCAAAAGAAATTTTTTTGGAACATACATATACTTATAAATGTTTACAAGTTAGACTGTTGAGCGTTTGTAGAGTGTTTTCCATAGAATGTCCTTCGCCTGATTTAGATTCTGTTAATATAAATATTGTGATTAGTATGCATGCAGTGGTTTCCATTTTCGGTGGCGTGGGTCGGAGGTCAACGAAAGCAAGAGTTTTCGCTTTGTATGCACTTACAACCGATACGGCTCTCTGCGCCTCTTGTTGTCTGTTTGTATAGATTTCGATCTTTAACAGCGTTTTGCTTTCACTGTTAAAGGTCTGCGGCTCTGTCGCGGTTTCGGATTTTTTTTCAGTCTGACTCGGCGCGTGAATTAAAACGGTTGGTGGTTTGAAATATCGGAGAGACGGGAATACATAAAGTCTCAAAATCCTATCTCTAGTCATCCCTAAATTTAGCACAGCTTATATATACAATATTTTAGTTTATCAAAAGTAGAAAACCTAATTCGCAAAATAAATTCGTGTATAAATGTCACGGGAGCAAATCTTAACAAGATTACGAATTAAATAAATATTGCCTGCGGTTTGTTTACCTACCTTATGTATTCCCAATTTGAGAGAAGTAAACAAAACAAAAAATTAAAAGCTGAGGGCGCGAACTTTACTAACCGAAACACAATAATGATTTACACAATAGTGATTTCGCATAACCGATTTTCTTTTGAAATTCATTAGGGGTTAGTGACCTGGACAAACAATAGATTCTTTGTTAGAACAACAAAAATATTCTACAAAAAAAAAATTAAAAGTCATAGTGGACTTATCACTTTAGTTCATACATACATATGTATATCAACACAAATAAAATTTAAATTGTTCTATTTGGAAATACACCTCCTAAATAAATCAGTCATTGTGAAAAATTAAGAAACCAATCACTGTCAAAAGAAATTGAAATATAAATAAAACTAAATTAAAAAAAAATATATTGAAAAACTGCTACTAAAATCAATTAAATCACTGAAGAACTTATCAAATGCAATAAATAAACAACTCTTAATTATGAATATGATTATGAATAACCATAATCAAAATTATTTTAATCTACTTGTTGATGAGTAAACGATTAAGTTTCAGTTTCTCAAGAATACATAAGTATTACTTTCTTGTTATAATAGAGCATTGGCAGGTCGATCTTTTCGATAAGGTTCCCTGAATCTAATTTGGTTTTTTAATTTGAGCTTTCTGATTACTGAGTGGCACTTGTTGACCCATTAACGGTACACCCGGCGACAAACGCAATTTACATGCTAATTAGATGGAACATGAAATGGCTTTGAGCAATGACCGAACGAGCTTATTAGTATCCCACCACATAAATTCTTTAGGGTATCCCAGTGAGCAATAGATTTAATTTCGTAAGCACGCTCATTGTTGCAAATCAATTATGCAAATAAGTTATGCTCGGCTACAGGTGAAGTGTGGCCCATCGAAATTGAGGTTGCATCGAGTGCAATTGGTGATTCAGTTCCATTTACACAAACAAATGAATTTCAACCCAGACGACGATCAATGCCACGATGCAAAAATGTGGGTGATCAATCAATTGAAGCCAGCTTGCTCTCGTAATTGCAATCTCTGCAATACGTAATATAGTTGGCTAATTTTGTTTGTTGTGTGGTACGATGTTTATATCTCAGATATTTCTGAATTCGTTTTAATGAAATCTTTTCCTTAATTAAACTATTTTTATACCACTTTTAAAATTTTACAGATAAAAAATGCTGCTCTCCCTGCTTTTGCTTATTGTGCTGCCAAATCTTATCACAAGTGAGGATGAAAACCTTCCAGCAAAGCCCAACATAATATTTATTTTAGCCGATGATCTGGTAGGATTTTGATTTTATAACATTATTTTATATATTAAAGTTGTCTTATATTTAACAGGGCTTCAATGATGTGGGATTTCATGGCTCGGCAGAGATTCCCACGCCCAATATCGACGCCTTGGCCTATTCGGGGATCATACTGAACCGGTACTATGTTGCACCCATTTGTACTCCTTCGAGGTCTGCGCTTATGACCGGAAAATACCCGATACATACGGGTATGTATTTCCTCTTTTTACCTAATATAATATTTATATAATTTGAACGTTTTTTTACAAAGGAATGCAGCACACAGTTCTTTATGCTGCTGAACCACGGGGTTTGCCTCTGGAAGAGAAGATACTTCCTCAGTATTTTAATGATTTGGGGTAAGTTAAAGTTATAGTTCGGTTTAAAGCCACATTTAAGTAACACAATTTCCACATGCAGCTACACCTCCCACATAGCTGGCAAATGGCATCTGGGCCATTGGAAACTGAAATACACGCCTCTTTATCGGGGATTTAGTAGCCATGTGGGATTCTGGTCGGGTCATCAGGACTACAACGATCACACAGCCGTGGAGAACAATCTGTGGGGTCTGGACATGCGGAATGGCACGGAAGTGGCTTACGATCTCCATGGACAGTACACCACGGACGTGATAACGGATCAGTCGGTCAAGGTGATTGCCAACCATAACTCCACCAATGGTCCCTTATTTCTTTACGTGGCCCATGCAGCCTGCCACTCGAGTAATCCGTACAATCCGCTGCCAGTGCCAGATAGCGATGTGATGAGGATGGGACACATTGCCCACTATAAACGTCGAAAGTTCGCAGGTAAGATGGTTTACTTTACTAATAAACAAATTTAAGGCGAGAATGATCTCTGAATGGTAAGGAGTGAAAATTAGGATGTTTATAACGGTTCTGTCTTCTCAATTTGCATTCTGTTGTTCATTTACCGTTGCTTAGAGCACCATTGTTTACCGTTACTTTTGGAGTAAAAGGGTATCCTATATTTATTGAAAAGTATGAAATAGTTCGAAGGAAGCACTTGCTGTCCCAAAAAGTGTGTATATTATTGATCAGGATCTTTAGTCGATTCGATTTATAGCTTTCTGACTGCCCGTTTGTCCGTTCGTATGAACGTCGAGATCTCAGGAAGTACCATATAAGAACTATAATCTTGGTATTAAAAAGTACAGTAAATGTGTTTATCTTAACTTTCTTTATTATTAATCCTAAAATGTTCTTTCCCAGCTATGGTATCTAAAATGGACGACTCTGTGGGAAGAATCGTAGACCAGCTGCGCCAATCCAATATGCTGGAAAACTCAGTCATAGTGTTCTCATCGGACAACGGAGGTCCGGCCCAGGGATTCAACCTGAACTTCGCCTCCAACTACCCGCTGAAGGGTGTGAAGAACACCTTGTGGGAGGGAGGGGTGAGAGCAGCGGGTCTCATATGGTCGCCCCTCTTAAAGAAGAGCCAGAGGGTTTCTAACCAGACCATGCACATCGTCGACTGGCTGCCCACTCTCCTCGAAGCAGCCGGTGGCCAGGCGGCGTTGGCCAATCTAAGCCAAGGAATCGATGGGCAGAGCATCTGGCGGTCTCTTGTCCAGGACAGACCTTCACCACGGTTGAATGTGCTCCATAATATAGATGACATTTGGGGCAGTGCCGCTATAAGTGTGGGGGATTGGAAGCTGGTCAAGGGCACCAATTACCGGGGCAGCTGGGATGGATGGTATGGACCAGCTGGGGAACGGAATCCCTATCGCTACGACTGGCAATCGGTGGTGAAAAGCCAAGCGGGCAGAGCTCTGGAGGATCTCAAGATGCTTCCCAGTCGCGCGGAACAGCAGAGATTGCGAGCAGCGGCCACGGTCACTTGTCAGGGAAGATTCGCTCAAGGAACCAGCTGCAAGGCAACCGCCTTCTCGGCTCCCTGTCTGTTCCACATTCGCGACGATCCCTGCGAGCAGTTCAACCTTGCAAAGCAGTGAGTTCCATAATTTTGCCACAGTTAAGTGCCTTGTAATCCAGCCGAAAATGTTATAGGTATCCTGATGTTGTGATTGCTTTGTTGGCGGAGCTGGAGCGCTTTAATTCCACTGCAGTGCCTCCCTCGAATAAGCCTGCCGATCCTCGAGCCGATCCCAAATACTGGAACTATACTTGGACGAACTTTGGGGACTATCAGAATGAAGATAACGAATATGCTATTGGGGATCTAAGATCGACTTTGGCAACAGCAAAGACTGTGTAAAGAAAGGCAGTTATGTATTAGATTAAATACATTCCTGGTTTCTAGAGCATGCAAGGATATTTTATTTGGGGTTGTATTTACAAAGGGTACAGTCAATAGTCTCCTGGCATGGATAATTTCTGAGGAGATTTTTAAACAGTGCAGTTAATCTGGACCGTTCTCATAAAGATCTTACGCAAGTTGATCACTCCGAAAACAAGTTTAAAAATCAACATGCCAAAACATTCGAGTGAACTTAATGATTACTTACTTAATTACTTATGGAGTAAAGAAGTTAGCTGACATTCTGAAATTGAAATTTTGAACTAGAAAAAAGTTACAAAGTTGACAAAAGCTATAACATGGCTTGTGAACTAAAAACATAATATTATATTTTGTGCATATCCTTTTGTTGGCCGTCCGATCCTGTTCCAAATTATCTGTATATAGATAGATTTAAAACTGGGAGACTATTTGCTGTACACTTAATACATACATTGCATAAACTCCTTCTTAAGCTTTATTCAGAGCTTTTATTTTAATCTTTTTTTCCGTACTTTTCGGAACAATGCTATTTGCGGTTGTTTAAATATGCTTAACCGTATATAGAGGAACAATAACTTCATCATTTGATATCCAAAGAACTTTGTTTACTAACAAAACAGCGAAGCAAGTAAAACCTCAAATGCTATATTGTTTATTTTAAAAAACAATGTTTAATTTAAGAAGTACAAAGGAACTTTCCATTGTCATCTCCAATTATAGATCCCACACAAAAGTCAGGCTCCATCTTGTATCCCAGAGTATAGAATACAGTGCCCTAGTGTTTGGTTATTCTAATACAAATACGAGATCCTCGACACATGGCAATCTAGAGCAAACACAGATTTAGAAAGAAGACTAAATCATCGCCGGGCTCACCTATAAAAACGCGAACCGAATCTAGATCATCATCAGTTCTTCACTGTAGAGAGAAGCAGACAGAGCCTAAGGATGCGATCCCAGTTTGTCATCGTCTTTGGTCTTGTGGCCATTTTGGCGGCTGCTTATGCCGCTTCCACTCCAGCGTCCTCGACTCCAACGTCTTCGACTCCAACGTCTTCGACTCCAACGTCTTCGACTCCAACGTCTTCGACTCCAACGTCCTCGACTCCAACGTCCTCGACTCCAACGTCTTCGACTCCTTCGTCCTCGACTCCAACGTCTTCGACTCCTTCGTCCTCGACTCCATCTACGAGCACCCCTTCCACTTCCACTTCTCCTTCAAGCTCCAGCACAAGTCCCTCCTCTTCCACTTCCACTTCCCCTTCTTCTACGTCTACATCGACGAGCCCAACCTCTTCCACCGACACCGACACATCCTCGACATCAGACACCAGCGAAGCCGAGGAGATAAAGGAGCTCAAACACAGAGTTAAGCGGCTGGAGAACGACGATAGGAAGTTGAAAAGGCAAGTAAATCGAGTTGCAAGGCAAGAGCGAAGGCAAGAGCGAAGGGGAAACCGAGGTGGACAAAGAGTGCGGCGATCAAATGTCCGAGGAACGAGGCGTCGTCGTGCAGGAAGGGGCCGCCGTCTCCGCGGTTAGGGACTAAAACCCAAATACCCCAGAGGTCAAACCAATCTAACGAAAACCCAGGTCAAACCATTCAAATTAAACCCCAGAGATAAAACCATTCAAATAAAATTTTAATTATGAAAATGTAAAAAGTGATTTTCCATTTTGAGGGGTGGATAAAAAGAAATATTCTAAAAATTTAAGAATAAGAAACAACTCACTTCAATAACACTGAATAAGTTCCTAATAAACAAGAGAGATCGCTGGATTCGAGAACTCCTACTATCAGCTCAGCAATTAGCAATTGTTATAATCTAAAAAATGTCGTAGTGATAGAACGAGTAAAGCTGTTCTTTAAAAATAATTATAAAAAGCCCTTCGCAAAGAGCCTGAAAGTATACATTGATTCATGAGGCCGGTAGAAGAAAATATCTGATCACGAATGAAAAGAATACATTTGGTCACTGTATTCTTTATTGATTAAAATAAGTCTAGCAGTTTATAGCAGTAGTTGAATACGTTTTCAACAAATCAATTCACTTAAAGGTCATTTACACAATCTCTGACACCAAAAGTTCAGTCTGGAGTGGGCACTTGGATACATGATGGTATCATATTGTAAGCTCTGCTTGTTCTTTAACCGAATTATTAAGAGTTCTCCCACCAAAATAAAATATTTGATAAAAAAGAACAAATGTAAATTTAAAAGTTTGTATAAAATATGCAAATAGTATCGTGAAAAAGACTGGTTCAATTACAAAAGCTGTTCATATTAGTCACAAAGTCCGGGCATCGATTACGTGTCTTAGCGCACATCTTTGCCGTATGGTTGTTTCTGCTTTTGTCTGAGCACACACCCAGTTCCCAGATACTTCTGCTCCAGCCGAAGGTCCTGTTCCCTTCGAGCAGCCCGCTCCTCGGCCGCATGTGCCATGTACCGCTGATGCCAGTCGCGATTGTGGATCTGAAACAAGGCCAAAGGAGCTAGGATTAGACTGGAGATGATTAAGTTGACGTCACCTCACCCGGGCGCACCGCTTCTGCATGAGCTCCTCGTGAATCTGTCGATCTTCGAGTACGTTGTATCCCAGATCTTCTCGAATATTGGCCTGCGATTGTTTGGCTTCGATCTCGAGGTTCCTTTTGATCTGATCCTGTAGGTCAGTGAGTTGCTGGCGACGTTTGTCCTTCGCCTTCTTGAGGTCTTGTTGTTTCTTTAGAATATCCAATTCGGCAGCGAGTTCTAGACTGAAAAGAAGAGTTTCGTAACTTGACAAGTAGGTACGATAACTAAGACCCTACATAATAATTGAACTAACTAGTGATCTTAAACACTAAATAAACATATATCATTAGCTTAAACTTATCAGATTTTTTACAAATAACTGAGCACTTAAACTAATTTACTTTCATATCAAAATTGAGATCTAACTGCAAAGTCTTAGGTGCCGAAACCGGGTCAACAAATTTTAAAAGGTGATGAATGATAAAAATAGTATTAATAAACTGTTGTTGGCAACCAAGTTTTAGTTTGTTTTCTTTGCGTCTGACGCTTGGTTCAATGTACTTTGCTAGGAGATTTAAGGGTAACGGACTGATTAAAATCTATTCATTGTTAGTTACTATTAATGGATATAGAAACAAATTCAAGGTGTTTACGCCTGGGAGCATTCCCGTTGATCAGCCATCACTTCCTTGGCGAACTGGGCTTTCATCTCCCGATCTCTGTCCAAGTTCTGAGCCTGGCACCTGCCCTCCACCAGGTTTCGCAGCTTCTGTTCATATTGCTCCTGCTGCGCCTTGCTTTCGTCCAATCGCTGCCACACCCGCTGCCAAAGGATCTCCACACAAGCCTGTCGGCGCTTTAAAGCCTTTTTCTCCTCGATTTGATGGAGCTGGGCGTTTTTGGATTCGAGAAGGATCTCCTTCGATTGCATGTGACGGTGTGCCTCGCTGTTTTCACTGAAAAAGGAGTTCTTGAATATACCTTTCATAAATAGTTTGGTATATTCCACATCTCTCTTTGCTGGGTTTTAACTTTGACCAGCTCCCTCTCGGCCTCCTCCCGCTTCAATCGCTCCATTTCGATCCACTCCCGTCGCCTTCGATCCATTTCATCCGCTTGCTTCTGGAGCAATTCGGCGATCATCTCGTCCTGCTGCAGGGCTTCTCTTTGGAGCAGCATACTAAGACTCCAACGGCGCCTGTCCACATCCTCCTGCCACTCCCGCATCTTTCGCGCCACCTGAAATCCTATTTGCGACTTGAGGTTGCGGCGGTCGGTCCGATTTAAAAATTCTAAAACTTCCATTATTGGGTTGTCTGTTTCTTAGAACTGAATATAATATAACTTTTTCTTTGGTTAAATGGTTTCTATGGTTAGTTTGAATGGAACTCCGCAGTTTGTTACTGAGGTTAGCTGCACAAATTCAATAATTGCTATGGTAACTACATAGTTCATTTTACTTGAACCCATGCAAAACTTTTTGTACAAAGATAAATAATACATACATTTTATTAGTTAAAATTTAGTTTTTAGAAATACAAGATATCTTGTTATTATTAAGAGCACCTCAAATGAATAATTCTAAAAGCTTCAGATATATTTTACCCTACTTTAAAGTTTTGTCGTTCCACCATTTTATTTATCTTTTCATCTCTGGAGCCAAGTGTTTTGGTAACTGTGTTTGCCTACAAGCTAACAATAAACGAGAGAAAACAGAAATCAAAATAATAAAGACTTTTTTAGAGATCTTTACACTTGTTTAAGGAACGGCCTTCTGTGCCACGCGTGGTATTTGTGTACCAGAAGCAAGCGGAGATTCGGCAGCTGGACCACATTTGCGAAATTGGTATAAAAAGTGGAGTTGAATCCAGAGGCTGTACAGTTCATCTGAGCAGTAAGAAATAGACAGAGCTAAAGATGCGATCCCAATTCGTCCTGGTCTTCGGTCTTGTAGCCATCTTGGCTGCTGCCCTCGCCGCTACAACTCCATCTTCGAGCTCCACGTCGTCCACCTCGTCTACACCTTCAACTTCTTCCACGTCTTCGAGCTCTACTCCTTCGACGTCCTCCACTTCATCCACACCTTCAACCTCGTCGACTTCGTCTTCCACTCCTTCCAGTACGACCTCCACGAGTCCTTCCTCGTCTTCCTCATCTACGCCCAGCTCATCATCATCCACTCCCTCTACCTCAACCACGTCCACTTCCTCCACCCCTTCCACTTCCAGTGACACGGACAGTGACACGGATAGTGACACGGATAGTGACACGGACAGTGACACATCCCCCACTTCCTCCACTACCTCCACTTCCTCCACTTCCCCCAGTTCCTCTACTTCCACCGACGCCAAAGAGGCTAAGAAGCTGAGGAAGAGGGTTAACCAGCTGAAGAGGAAGGAGAAGCGAATGGAAAGGCGAGAGAGGAAGCAGAGACGCAGGGAGAGGCGCCAAGCAAACCGCCAGTCGAGTCGTCGTGGAAGAAGGAACCGTCGCGGTTAGAGACTGGAAAACTGTCCTTGGAAAATAATTAAACCAACTTTGATAAAATGCTACAAAAATGTCTACTTAAGATCAGCTTGTCTTAAAAATAAAATACTAAAATTTAAAAGCGTAAATTCAATAATCTTTTAATTGCATTACCCTTTCAGAAGGCAAAATAATAAAAGTTAGTATATAGGTATGTATATTCTTGATCATCTTTATAATCTTATTGAATCCAAAAATATTCGCTGCCCCTCTGACGTTTTCATTGCAAACTAGTCTCTTAGGTTTAAGGGTATGATAAAAAAAAAAAATATTACTTAAAGCCGTGCAATTATTGCAAATAGTTGCCATTTGAAAGCTCTAATAAATAATACAAAGAAATTATACAACCGATGTGTTTTAACACCATATGATATTCGGGATCTAATACTATCTTACAACCATTTGGAGGGCTTTTTCATATAGATATAAAGAAAAACAATTTTATTGGAAAATGTATTTAAGCATTCAAGCAAAATTGTTGCGGTAAGAAGAATTTAAAAAAAAACGAAATCGGAGATGAATAATTCAGATTAATTCGATCTATTCCAGTGGCGGATCCAGAGACGATTCTTGGGGGGGGATTGAACTTATTCTTCGATTTGGGGTTCAAACTTATTATTGCGAGAGAAATACAGTACAAATTATAAAACAAAAATTATCCATCCCAATTTTTTAGTATACAAAGTGGTTATATTTGAAAAGTCAACCATAGCAAACAAGTAAAATTTTCAGGTTCTCTGGTTCCAAGGGGGGGGGAAATTTCCCTAATTTCCCGCATATATATAATATAGTGTAAAGTTCTGCTTATATTTTATACACTTTTATGGATATGTATATTTTACACTACTATTTCTGGATAACTGCATTTTAATCCAAAAAATACAAGCAAAGACATTTAAATAAGTTCAAGGTTTCATCTTAGAGAGTTTGATTTATATTTTTTCCTATTTGTTATTTTTCGTTTAGTCTAGAAGCAGTTAATATTTTTCTATATTCATTACCTTATTTTGTATCTGTTTCAGTACCTGTGTTTACCGACTTGCTAACAATAAACGAGTGAAAACAAAAATCAAAAACCTACAATTGTTAACTAAGACAAAATAAAGACTTTCTTCGGAGATCTTTACACTTGTCTTAGGCCTTCTATTCCACGCGCGGTATTTGTGTACCAAAAGCAAGCAGAGATTCGGCAGCTGGACCACATCTGCGAAACTGCTATAAAAACTGGAGTCGAACCCAGAGGCTGTACAGTTCATCTGTGCAGTGAGAGATAGACAGAGCTAAAGATGCGATCCCAACTCGTCCTGGTCTTCGGTCTCGTAGCCATCTTGGCTGCTGCCCTCGCCGCTACAACTCCATCTACGAGCTCCACGTCGTCCACCTCGTCTACACCTTCAACTTCTTCCACGTCTTCGAGCTCTACTCCTTCGACGTCCTCCACTTCATCCACACCTTCAACCTCGTCGACTTCTTCAACACCTTCAACATCGTCGACTTCTTCAACACCTTCAACTTCCAGCACCTCTTCCACTAACTCGACCTCCACGAGTCCTTCCAGCACTACTTCTACCCCGTCTTCCTCTTCTTCTACAACTACGCCTACCTCTTCATCATCCACGCCCTCTACCTCAACCACCTCTACTTCCTCTACACCTTCGACTTCCAGTGACACATCCTCGACTTCCTCGACTTCCAGCGAGGTGAAGAGGCTGAGAAAGGAGGTTAAGCAGCTGAAGAAGAAGGAGAAGCGAATGGAAAGGCGAGAGAGGAAGCTAAGACGCAGGGAGAGGCGCCAAGCCAATCGCCAGTCGAGCCGTCGTGGAAGGAGGAATCGTCGCGGTTAGAGAATGGAAAATTGTTCCTGGAAAACAACGGATTTAAAATTTGATTTAAATAAATTACTATTATGAAATGCAACCAAAAAAGTCTACTTAAATGAAGTTATAATATTTTAGAGCCTTATTGGTTAAATACAGGGGCGCACAGAAGTAGTCTGGGGCCCGGGGCAAAAAACTGCGGGGGCCTTCAATTTTGGGAGATTGTCAATCCTTATATCATATCGCGGCCCCATAAACGCTGGCCCGGGGCAAATTTCCCCCTTTGTCCCCCTTTAAAAAGTATCGCGAATTTTGTGTTTTTTCAAAAATTATTTATTTATTCATGAATGTCTATTTGTCCCCTTCAAAGCAATCCCCATGAGATATTATGCACTTGTGCCAACGGTTTTTCCAATCTTCGAAGCACTTCAAAAAATCATTTTTTTTTATCGTCGTCCTTTCATGGGCCTCTTCAGTTTAGGAAACAAGAAAAAGTCACAGGGGGCCAGATCTTGGGAAAGACGCAAGGAGAGACGCCAAGCCAACCGCCAGTCGAACCGTCGTAGAAGGAGGAATCGTCGCGGTTAGAGACTGGAAAAAAAACCAACTTTTAATGTATACCTAAGATCAGATCGCCTTAAAAATAAAACAACACAATTTAAAAGCGTAATTTTGATATTGTTTATAATATTGTACCCTTGCAGAGTTTTCAACTCGTTGAAAAATATACTTTTCATTCCACAAGGTATAATCTTAATAAGCTTCACCATCAGATTGGATCCAGACATGTTCATCTGCCCGTCTGTCGTTTTTTGCGCAATCTAGTCTCTATATTATATATATCATAGGAAAGATCGAAAAATATAAATTAAAGTTATTAAAAGAAAATAATAAAGTTGTTTTTACAATTCAGGAATAATGTTTTGCATATATATATTTGTTAATGTTTTTTATTATTTATAGTTATTGCTTAACTTTCATGCATGCACAATTTTATTTGATTTTAGATATTCCAATTAATTTTTATTAAGACCGGTTGACTATATCATAACAATAAGAATATTTAACAAGATTAAAAGAACTTATAGGGACGTCTAAAACTTAGAAACTATAAGAGCAAGAAAAGTGGTAAAAACACGCAGATTTGTACTGCTAATATGCGTTAAATTACAACTAATGTTAAATATAAGAACTTAAAAAACAAAATTAAATTTGTGATAAAGAATTTAGATTGATTCAATCTAGGCAATGGCAATTCGTTTTCAAGTCGAGATCATTAAGTCTGCACTCAAAACGTATGTATGTATATATGAAATATTGAAATTATAGCAACATATTTTGTCATATCTAATAAAGGGTAGCAGGTTTTTCAAAACTAGTTTTAAACTTATAATTGCTACTGAAGCAAACCAACCTCAGCCTCACTTATCCACATCCTTAAAAAGATAAATAACAGGCACAAATATTTTTAATTCTTTTTATGTTTTACTATTTATCAAGTATTGGATAAATGCTTTGCTACCTACAGATATGCACTAAGTCAAAGAAAATATATATTTGTTTGCTTGCCCTAGAAGAATTATTAATTTTTTTGATGTACATATGTAGTATATATTTCTATTTATATTTTATGCATTTTTTTGTGTATGTATATTTAACACTTCAATTTCATGTTAATTTCATTTTAATACAAAAAATATAGCCAAGCAACAAGTTCAACGTTTAATCTTGAAAGTTTTAATTTATTTACGTTATATTTGTTTTTTTGTTTAATCTGGAAACAGTTGATTTCTTTTCTGCATTCATTTCTTTATTGTTTTATATGTTTCAGACCTGTGTTTGCCTACTTGCGAACAATAAATGAGAGAAAAGAAAAATCAAATACCGACAATTGTTAACTTAGACAGAATAAAGACTTTCTTCGGGGATCTTTACACTTGTCTAAGGCCTTCTATTCCACGCGCGGTATTTGTGTACCAAAAGCAAGCAGAGATTCGGCAGCTGGGCCACATCTGCGAAATTGCTATAAAAAGTGGAGTTGAACCCAGAGGCTGTACAGTTCATCTGTGCAGTGAGAGATAGACAGAGCTAAAGATGCGATCCCAACTCGTCCTGGTCTTCGGTCTTGTGGCCATCTTGGCTGCTGCCCTCGCCGCTACAACTCCATCTACGAGCTCCACGTCGTCCACCTCGTCTACACCTTCAACTTCTTCCACGTCTTCGAGCTCTACTCCTTCGACGTCCTCCACTTCATCCACACCTTCAACCTCGTCGACTTCTTCCGACTCTTCAACTTCGTCGACTTCTTCAACACCTTCAACTTCCAGCACCTCTTCCACTAACTCGACCTCCACGAGTCCTTCCAGCACTACTTCTACCCCGTCCTCTTCTTCTACAACTACGCCCACCTCTTCATCATCCACACCGTCTACCTCAACCACCTCTACTTCCTCTACACCTTCGACTTCCAGTGACACATCCTCGACTTCCTCGACTTCCAGCGAGGTGAAGAGGCTGAGAAAGGAGGTTAAGCAGCTGAAGAAGAAGGAGAAGCGAATGGAAAGGCGAGAGAGGAAGCTAAGACGCAGGGAGAGGCGCCAAGCCAACCGCCAGTCGAGCCGTCGTGGAAGGAGGAATCGTCGCGGGTAGAGAATGGAAAATTGTTCCTGGAAAACAACGGATTTAAAATTTAATTTAAATAAATTACTTTTATGAAATGCAACCAAAAAAAGTCTACTTAAATGAAGTTATATTATTTTAGATCCTTATTTGTTAAATAATTCTTCTTCCCTTGCAAGAAGCATACCAATTTCAGCCAGATTTTCCAACGCCAGTCTCCTTTTTCTAAGCAAACAAGATTTTTGCAAGTGGTAAAAATGTTAGATCTGGTGCGTTCGTATAGCTGATATCGGAAACATAGAAAATCCTAAATAAAATGTAGTGAAGTAAAATAAAATAGAATTTTATTTTTTTGGGTTATAGTTTTTTTAATGGGTTTTGAATATAATAAGAATGGAAAACCATATATTATTACCATATTATTTGATATTAAATTTAGTACCTGCGTAAACATAGCAAACAAGAAATTTAAACATTAATGAAAAACCGACAAAACTTCCGTTTTTAATACATCATATGTAATTTAGGATGTACTTTATAGCAAAAATTTGCAAAATGTTGTTTAATAAGTTTAAAATAATCTTTTTTGTATCAGACTTGCTTATAAATAATAAATGGGTCCGTCTGTCAGTCCTTTCGCATGGAAATTACATTATGGTCGGTGACCCAGCAGGTAGAGCGCTGGTTTCCGAACCCAGAAGACCTGGGTTCGATTTCCAGGCTCCCCGAGAAAAATAAACGGTCTCTTTTTCCAAACTCCGTCATTTTCCGCTCACTTAACAATAACAACACAAACTCGGCTCCCCGGACCGCACACCCCCTCGCCCACGTTACTGTGGACAATAAAAACTTTCTCCACTCCTAGATGGCGCTAGGTGGCAACCCCACCAGTTCGATCGAAAATACCAAAAAGATTATTGGATCCACTACAAGTTGTGAGGCCCTATGTTGGAGTGATAAAGGATTTTTTTTATATATTAGCTAGATAAGCAGGATAGACTATGTATGTTAATTATTTCACCCCTTTTGATTGCTTTTAGAGCAATCCAATTTTCTCATTCGCCAGCCGAGCTTCACTATAAAATAAAAGCATCTAATTTAGCGACACCCATAATACATACCAAAAATACTAAAAAGTTAAACATTTGATCTAGAAACTTTTGATTTCTTTTTTCTTTTTTATCATTGTATCGTTTTATTTATTTTGTGATCTCTGTTGCTACCAAGCCGTATGTTTCAGTACCCGTGTTTGCCTACTAGCTATTAATAAATTAGAGCAAACAAATTCATGAGTCGTCTATTGTTAACTTAGAGAACAAAAAACTTTCCACAGACATCTATCGAGTTGTTCAAAGAAACCCTCCTGGGCCACGCGCGCTGATATTTAACGATTAAAAAGAGATCACCGATTTTGAAATTAGAACGAAAAATTTGCACTGATGCTATAAATACTCGAATCGAAGCCAAAACCTATGCAGTTTATCTGAACAGTGACTAAAAGTAAGAGCTAAGGATGCGATCCCAGTTAGTCCTTGTCTTTGGTTTGGTGGCCCTTGTGGCAGCTGTCCATGCCGCCTCCACTCCATCTTTAACGACCCCCACGACGTCCAGCACACCGACTTCGACCAGTTCGGCCACCCCTTCGACGTCCTCCACTCCTTCAACCTCGACTTCCACAAGTCCTTCCACCACCACCTCCATTTCCCCTTCTAGTTCTACCTCCACCTCTCCCTCCTCCACAACCTCCTCCTCCAAAACTCCCTCCAGCACTGCTTCGACTTCGCCAACATCCTCCACTTCCTCATCATCTCCTAGCAAAACATCCTCCACCGACGAGGGCTCCACAACCGCGACGTCCTCGAGCGCCATCGATTCCGCCGAGGAAGCCGAGCTCAAGCATAAGCTGGAAGAGCTAAGGAACAAGAACAGGCGATTGGAGGAGCGGGAGAGGAGCCAGGAAAGGGAGCAAAGAAGGGAACAGGAAAGAAACCGGGAAAGGCGCCAGGAAAGACCCCGGGAAAGACAAGAGGGAAGGCACCGCGAAGCGAGGGAGGGACGTCAAGGTAGGAGGCGTGGACATCGTGGTTAGATTTTGAAAATGGAATTGGAAAACAAACACAAATCGATAATTATCGATGCTGGTATCGAAAACCCCCCAATGAAAAAGTTAATTAATTAAGCTAGTTATATTTTGTATTTCTCTAAATTGTTTAAAATTTTAAAAACTTTTTAACTAATAGATTTGTATAAAGATTTGAGATTTGTATACTAAAATTAAAAACCACAAAAGAAAAGCAAAACCCAAACCAATATATAGGTTTCAATGGGCGTGGTCAATATTTAAAACCAATGTCTGAGTATTCAGCACTAGAATCTGAGTTTTTATACCCTTGCTGAGCAAAAGGGTATTATTATTTTGGCCAGAAGTTTGCAACGCAGTGAAGGAGACACCTCAGACCCCATAATGTGTATATATTCTTGATCAGCATCACGATCTGAATCGAAATACGTCTATACGTCTGTCCGTCTGTCCGTTTCTGCGCAAACTGGTCTCTCAGTTTTAATGTTATCTTGCTGAAACTTTCCCAAAAGTTGTGTAGTTATTGCACGCAGTATATACATAAGTCGGAATGAGCCGAATCGGCCGACTTATATCGGCAAGCCGAAGCTTATATACCCTTGCAGTCATTAAAAATGTCGAACAAAATACATAAAGGCTAAACAACATCGAAGCTATGACGATTTTTCTATTAATTTTCCATATTTTCGTATTGTTCATGTGGCAGCTATATGATATAGTTGTCCGATTTTTATAAAATTTAATTCGTAACTCAAGAGTCGTTAGAAAACTCTATATTTCTAAAATGGTGTTTGTCTGATGAAAAACAGCGATGTTAGAATTTTATATCCGTTATTTCTATTTCTATTATTTTCCATATTTCCTATGGCAGCTATATGATAACGTTGTCGGATTTTATTGATATTTTTTTCTCGATTCAAGGGTTATTATAAAACTCAATATTTTGAAAATCATGCTCTTGGGATTAAAAACAACGACGTTATAATTTTTTTTCCATTATTTATATTATATATATATTATAATACCCTTTGCTCCGCAAGGGTACAATGAATGCTGATAACCGATTATGTCGTATTTGGGACTCCACAACAAATGCGATAGGACTTTTCTATACCCTTGCAGATTGTATAAAATTTTATTCAGAAACTTGAATATTGTTTACAAGTATCGTCAGGCCTGTCCATAAAGCCTCAATAAAAAACTCACCTAATTATTTGCTGTTAAACATTTTTGCATACAGTTTGAGACCTATTAATTATATTTTTGTTTTACCACTTACCATATAATAAATACAAAAAAGCTGTTTCACAGGATGTATAATATTATTAGAATATTAAATACGATTTACAGATTTCAGTTTTAATTGCAAGGGTGTAGAATCTTCTGCACTGCACAGCTAGCTTGTACAGATTTAGTATTCTATTAGTATAGAATATGAATGTATTATGTATTATATGTATTATTTAGTATACAGTCATGAGATGGAGGGCGAGCTGACTGGTTTGTTGCTGGTGTTTCTGATGCCTCTAATCAGCATCTGCGGTGCCCAGAAAGTGTGCGACGTGGATATCTGGTCTTCCAATAAAACGCTTTACGCCGGCGGTGCCCACGATGTGTTCTGCAGGTGCAACCACCCGGATGTGCGACCCGAGGATCTGCACCTGAGGTCAGACGATTTTGAACTTGTCATGGAGATTGTCGATAACTTTACCGCCAAGTGCCGAGCACATGCGACCAAAAAGAAATACAGTAGAATCCTGTTATAACGACTCCGCTTATAGTGTCCGTCCGGGTTGTGCGTCGAAAACTCGATGGTTTGGTTGGTCCCCATACAAAGTTATATGAAAGGGCCTCCGCTTAAAACGTTTCCGCTTTTAGCGACAAACCGCTTATAAGAATGAAATTTCTCAAGAAAATTGGAAAATTTAACCGGATATTGCGTCGTACCGGAAAAAATACAGTGCCATAGTTCCAAATTTAAGCATCAAAACACGCTGTTAGAAATGTATGTATTTGTCAGTGATCGGCACCCTTGCTTGTGTGCGTAGCAGCGACACGAAGGATCTTGCACTGGCACAACTCTCTGTTAGTTTTAGCTGTCGCCTTAACAACGCTGCTGCGAGAGACAGACAGTCGAAGTGCAATGCCGACGTCACACTGTGTGTGCAGACCTCATAGTCTATTCCATGAGATGTCCCGTTATATTTCTAGTTTTTTCTGCTTTTTTCCGAGTAAAACTGAATGTTTTAATTTGCCAAATGCAATATGTGCAAAAATAAACTCATATAGTTTTCAGTATTTAGAAAAACCTATGTTTTTGAATTTAATTTATTAAATTTTTCGTTTTAATTAAAAAATTAATTTGATTTATTTTAAAAACCTATTACAAACACAGCAACCATTAAATAATCAAAAAAAAATTTTTTGTTCCTCCTTTTGCTTAGTGCGTCTTCCGGTTATAACGACGAAAAATGGTCGGTCCCTTGAAAGTCGTTATAACCGGATTCTACTGTATATTGATTCGTACTACTGCTACTGGAAGTATACACTGTTGGCGTCGAGAACGTTTTCGGTGCTGCCCTTGCTCGAAGTCTCCGATTTAAAGTGCCACCGTCAGGAGCGTTCAAGGAATGTGACCTGTGGCTTCAGTAGGATCGGAGATCCCAGGTTCTGGAAAGATCACAGATATTCTGTGAGTGTAAATGGCGAACAGGCAGTCGGGTGTCGGGAAACACCGGAAAACAAAACATGGATGCAGTGCCTGGATATCGATCTCCACTACGCAGATTATTTTGTGCAAAGCCACAACTTGAGCCTTCAATTAGAGGGTAACGGTAAAACACAGCTGCAGCAATTTCAAATCAACCTTAACCAAATAACGGTACCGGCTTGGCCAACGGAATCACCGATTCTTGAAACGACAGAGGAAAAAATATGCCTACATTGGGAGAATTGGGTTGACACTGGACGTGATATGAAATGTTTGATCCAGCTTCTACTCCGGAAACGAAGGATCGATCCACAGTGGCCTAAGGTTGAAAGCCAAGCCAAAAATCGGTGGAGTCTATGTTTCGACACTCCTTCCCTTAGCAACCAGATCTACGACGCGAGGGTGTGGTGTCGCTTTGATAAACCCATTGGACCCTTTACGGATGATCACTATCCGTTTACGTTTACAACTCCGGCTAGTCCTCCCAAGCATGCGCCAAAGATAGTTCCCAACGGATTCTTCCACGATGCGGATGAGGAGAAGCTCTACGTATTTTGGATTCCTCTAACGGAACTGCAGTTCAACGGACCAAACTTTACATACATCGTCCAGACGCAATCGGGGTAGGTCAACATAAAGTTTAAGGGCGATCAATTCCAAACTAACCATATATTTTCAGTAAGACGGCGTTCCTCTTAAGCAACAACACTGCGGTTTTCCAAGATTGGGATGCCACACATTCATCGATCGTCTACGTTTGGAGCCAGAATTCTAGGGGACCCTCAGCAAACAAGAGCCAACTCGAGGTGCCCGTTTTGACGCATGAGAGGAGTCGTCAGCCGCAGGAGCTAGTTTACCATGCGGATAACCTAACCATCACATGGCAGCCTCCAGAGTATCAGAATGATCTTATCGGGTACATAGTCACCTGGTGCTCCGCTTCGGCAAACAGTTCGCAGATCTGCGACGACCTAAGACCCATCAATTATCGGGTGCTAGAAGGATCCCAAAATTGTTTCCACTTCAATAGCTCTGTGGTGTTCTCTAATGTTGCAGTGGCAGCGAGATACAAAGACAACTCCGGAGGTGGCATGCAATGGAAGGATCCAAAAGAAAACTCCTTCAGACGGAGATGGGGTTACTATCTTGGAAGTGTGCTTTTCCTATTAACGCTCTTCCTGGTACTCATATCTATTCATAATTTTCGAAAAATGTCAGACACTGCGGTGTCCGTCCAACAGTCCAATCCTCCAGCTGAAACCGCAGTGCCGGGTAGCGGGGCTATAAAAACAATTGTGGAGCCTTCCTCTAATGTAGAATTCGGCTAGCACATCATATTCAAAACATACATAAAGACACTTTAACAAATCACTAAGAGTAATAAGAGTATAAAAAATAATAATAAAAATAACAAAATAAAATCCAACAAACATATAAGTTTTCATCAAGTTTTGAAAACCGACAAGTATCATTATTTTAATGTTAATGATAACCATTCGTTTAACTTATTAAAATACGTTCCTTCAGTACGTATTTTTAGATTCAAAAACTCAGATGTTTCTTTCAATACCCTTGCGTAGCAATCCCTTTCGCAGTCTTCAATTGAAGCACTTCATTTTGCAAAAAGAGCATTATCATTTCCATTTTTTTTTTAAGAAAAAGGAAAGTTCGCCGAAAGCGATTCGAGTGTCATATTATGAGACCCCTTAGAGGGGCAAAAGTATCGTTTATTGTTTGTTTGTAAAGTTGGTTTACAGCTTAAGTTGCTTAGCGCATAATGAATTACAAATCCTTTAACGATTACGAAAAAAACACTAAATGCGACAGATTTGAGTCCGAGTGCGTACATTCAATGAGTTACGTGGTACGGTGCATACATTAGTTACATGGGCTTATATCAAAATTCTACTATACTCGTACGTTTATTACCAAAAAACTGGCTAATCATGCTCACGAAAAGTGCCTCAATACATCGTTTAGCTCGGCTGAACACGTCAATTTTGATTAGAGTTGCGCTGCTTGGTCGGCTCTTCTATTCTGAGATTCCTAATCCTACACATCTACTGAGGAAAGTGGAAAGTGGGAGAAATTTTTTGATTTTGATTTTGATTAGCGCCGCACGGAGTAGTCTAGGTGTACGAGGAGGATTTAATTTGGCATATGTATAAAGGGTTACAAAGGGTTCTTCGATTGGAGATGCAGAAGCGTGTTCTCTGTGCGTTAAGCCTGGCGAAAGGACATCATCGCCAGTCCGTTCTCCCCAGTCCAGTCGCCGAGGTCCGGGATCCTCGGATACACCATCTGCGGCTCGCCTTCCCTCCTCCTGCCCTTGGACCGGATCCGGCTTCGAGTCCGAGTCCCTTGGCGGAGACTTCGGCTCTAAATGCGCTCCGTGACGTAAACCTTCGCGGAGGCGGGAGCATTCGACCGCCGCACGGCGAAGGTCACGATGATGCCGATGAAGATCAGGGTGACGCCGATGGCACTGGTGATGTAGTGCTCCACCAGCTTGTTCTCCTGGCTGTAAAACAAAACAAAACAAAATTATTAGCTGCTGATAAAGCAAAAACAAATCAAGGCAAAAATCTGCGACAATTCCTGCACTTAAAACTGATATTTGTAAGAACACTTTTCTAGGATTTCTTTACTAAATACAGGCGATCGATATCTATAAACTTTAAGTATTATATTCACAGAGATTTATTTGGATGTTTGGGGATCAGGTTTAATAGCACTGAAGCATCACAGCTAATTATCGCTATGGGAAAGCTCTGAACAATATACTGATTACAACTGTATTGGATATTATGGATTATGAATCAATATGGATATTTTTAAAGCTTCAGAAATTACACATTAATAATATACATATATTGTATTTATATATTGGTATAGATTTATTTATATAGAGGAAGTATATATTTTATATTTTATCTTATTCTCGTAAGCATTGTAAGCTCCAGAGTAAACCCAAGGTATTTTAACAAATTTTTATAATTTCATAAAATTTAATTTGTAACATCTAAACACTTCAAAAACAGACCGAGCTAAAGTTGTGGATCTCGATAGTGAGATTTGTTTATATAAACGTATATACTCTATTATAAAGAACCATATTCAAATTATTCCCTTAAAGAACGAAAAGTATGTAACAAGAACTAAAGATAAGTAATTTTTCAGAAAACCAATCATCTTCTTATAATCAGTATTGAGAGGCTTGGCTAACTTGCGACATTCAAAATGAGCGAATGAATCAGTTTTTTGATCAATAAGCGAACCTTTATCTTAAAACCAGATGCCATGGTTTAATCAATCTCACCTCACGCCCGCCTCGTTGACGGTCTCGCGCTCCTTCTCGATCAGTCCGGTGACGGATGTGGCAATGGCCAGCCAGAAGTTGGCCAGGCCCAGGCTGGCGTGGATGGGCACCATGGCGGAGCGGCAGCTGTAGGTCTTGTTCTCACAGCAGAGCATCACCAGAAAGCTAATGAAGACAGAGGGCACCCATTAATATGCAAGATTGGTACACAAATCTCAAATGGAGACTCACCTGAAGAAGCCGATGACGAACTGGAGCACGAACATGCCCATTGTGATGAATCCCAGCCACGAGTGGAGGCTGTAGAAGTTGACCTTTTGCAACGCCTCGTGGGAATCGAAGACGGACAGGAAGCCCAGCGCGATGCACGGAATGGCCACGGCGTGGAAGAACATGTGGATCAGCTTCACATAGATGTGCTTCACGCAGCGGCACAGTCGATAGATTAAGATGGCTAAATTGGATCGGATTAAATGGGATGAGATTATAATAGATCAAAGATAATGGCATTGCTTCTTACAGAATCCAGACAGTGTGACAAAGCCAGCGATCATCAGAATGGGATGCAGGTTGAACTGCTGCTTGGGACTCTCCGACCAGGCGAATCCCTCCCTGTAGAACATCACCCAGAAGAGGGTGAGGACCAGGACCCCCACCAGCAGGATGGTGGAGAGGATGACAATCAGCAGATACTCGCACCAGGAGCAGCAGTTCCAGGCGTTGTCCGGATCCTCCTCATAGCGCCTGAAAAGAGATCAGAGCAGGAAAAACCCATCAATATAAATATAAAACCTATTAGATAATTTACTTTTTACTGCGACTTTTCATGATTTTGGGTCGATGGAAGATCAAGCGGTTGAGTTCATCGATCAAAGGTCCGTCAATTGGTTTCATACTCATTTTACCAGCTCTAATACCATACCAATTGTTCTTTTCTTAGATTAACAAGGGATTTAGATTTCGGAAATACTGAGATGAAAGCACAATGTGGGTAATCCCTCCTTAAATAGAATTTCCGGGGCTGCCTTCGAATTATGGAGATTCTGTCACAGATTCTCAAGAGATTGCGACGCACTAATTGCGGGCTGAATGTGCTGCTAATCGGCTTAATTGATGGACAAGTGGATCTAGGGAAAAATAGCAATTATCTAATTTGCCTAGCGAACTTTCCATTTTTCCCTTTTAGAATGGAGTAGCTGCTCACTTGCTGACCAACAAACTGCTCCACTTATCCAAGAATTTCAGTGGTTTAGTGTGGTTTACTGGTGTGGGAGTGCTCTCCATCGGGTTGATTATCCTCCAAACTAAAAGCAAAAACCTGACAGCTGGGGAAAAGGCAACGCCAATGGAGTGAGTGGTATACCATGTGGTATTGTTTCCATCCAATTGCTGGCTGTCTGTCATATTAATTTCATCACTTGTCGCGCGATCGCATGACACGGAGTAAAATTTCGATCTGCGCAATGATCTCACCAGCCCACAAGATCCGATCCACCAGATCCATCAGCATAATGCAGTGGGACAGAGTATTATTATTTTTTTCTTTTTTTTTGGGGCTGGGAGAAGTCCCACAATCAGACAATGGAAAGCAGAAGCCATCTGTTGATCTGTCGAAAGTAAACAGCCTGCGGATAGAAACTGGAGTGGAAACTGCAAAACTTGTTGCATTGTGGGTAATTAGGCGCATTGCTGGCCTCCAACGAGCCATCTAATCATCGCCAAGTGCAACAAAAAAGCAAAGAGCTCCTCGATTTCGTACGAAACGCATTGAAACGCGTCGAAAGTAAACAGAGCTATTATTTAAATTAATAGTGCGAGCCCCATGCTGTGATAATGAAAGCAAAGCCGAATCGAATTACCGGCCATTACCAGACCATCCATTCGAGGCACTCTCGCTTTCACGACACTTGCATCACCGCAAAGACTCTGACTCCGACTCTGACTCCGACTCTGACTCAGACTATGGCTACGATAATGCCATGGGGTGCTCCGATTTCCCGCCGAAGAGTACTGATCTCTGGCACTCAAAAAAAATTCAGTCTTATCCGGGAGTCGTATGAAATTAATACTATAACTATAATGCATTGTTGGAAAAGAGATGGTATTGTATTAAAGTATGTTAACTTATGTTCTAGCCCCTAGAAACTTGTATTTACATTTAGATCGACCCAAGAATAATAAAAAATAAAGTATTTATATATATTTTTGTGTACTAATTTAATGAAAATGCACCTATAAAAACGGTTTCGATAAAGTTTTTATATCCGTTATTATTATGTTTTGATTTCCATTTGACTTTGTCTGGAGATATATTTTGTTTAACAAAAAGAGAATAAAAATAACTACTAAATATCCAATATTATGATGTATGAATCTCATTGTAATTATTATTATTTTTTAAAATTCTTTATCCTGTTTTTTCGAAAACAAAGTGATATGTATACAAATTTATTCGGATATTATTCATGTGCTATTTGATCTGTTGATATCTTAACGTTGTTTTGGTTATTTGAGTTATTGTGCACCGCAGGAGTCATTCACTTACTGAACTACAGTTAATAAAAAATAATATCGAATGTCTGAAATTCAGTAGTAATCAGAATTTTTTTGTTTTTTGTGTCCATGTCTTTGTTGAATTAAATTATAATCTAAGCCCACATTAATTGGATTTTCGATGAAAAATATTCAATCATATGATTTTAAAATTTGAGTGAAATCAATGTTTTTGGAGATAAAGTAATCGAGTGGTTTAGATGTGTATTTCCACTTAAAAAAAAAGTAAGGTCGATAATTAAACTTGATATTTCTTTTATATTATTTCTGTAAAAACTTATTGGAGAAGAACAGAAAAAAGATGACGTTGAACTATAAGTTGAAGATGGGACCCATAAATCTTAAGGAGTGAAAAGGCTTTGCAAAACTACGATCAATTGATCCAATTTCTTTCTGTGCAGCCGATGGCGGTGTCAATGAACGAGTGTCTGCCACAATTTACGCCCGTGGATGTTGATGTTCATGTGGATGCATCTGAGTATGTGGATGCATATGTGGCTGCATCTGTGGCCGCAGCTGCGTCTGGGTTTGGGTATGGGTGGGGGTATGGGTATGGGATTGGGTGTGGGACTGGGATTGCTTGGATTGGGTGCTGCTGCTGGTTGGGGCAGGCATTTGAATATCAGCACTTTTCAGGGGACGGGGCGAAGGGGCGGCCACTGGTGAGCTGCTTTAGCACACATTTCACTTGCCGCAGATTGTTGGAAAACAAGCCGACACCAATGGGTGCCTATTTGGTTGTGCCTGTATCTTTGGCAGCAAATTTGTATCTCTTTCACTTTTCATTTGCGGGCTGCGCTGAGAAATTTTCACTGAAAGCTTTTCGTTTTATGGAAAACTCGTTTGTTGTGGTTTGTTGCTCGTTGGCCGCCACCTGTTCGGTGTATTTAAACCTGAACCTGAACCTCAATCTCGGTCGCAGTCTGAGCCGGAGTTTTAGAGCTTAGAGCCCAGTTGCAGCCAGTCATGGCTAATGGGTTATCGTGGATAAAAGGCTATTGACACCGCCATGTGGCAGTGGCAGTGGCAGTGGCACCCACTGCAAATGAGCAAATGGGAGGCAAATAAACAGAGAAAGCGCATCCAACTTGCAGCGTAATCTGCCATTTAACAGTTGCAAATTAATCAAATTGTTTGTACAAATGTAAGCTGCACAAAATGTCATGACTCATCAATCACTATTTATATATTGAAGTTTGTATCATGCAAAACAATCATAAGATAAAGTGCAATATGTATAGAGATATGCTATAAAAATTATTTGTATTAAGTGAAAGATAGATAAAATTAAGATTAAGATACACACAAGGAAAATCTTTTAAAAGAGGTATTTGGAAATGTGATAATCTAATAATCTTGACATAGTGTCTAAGATATGCAAAATGTATTTACTATCTGCAAATATAATATTTAAAATGCTCTTATCATGGAAAATGCCTTGAGTTGAATTATGTCTAAGCATCCATCACACTAAAATTAAGTTGCTTATCTTTATTCTACAAAACTTAAGTAAATTAAGGAACAATCTTATCGCAATCATGTGATGGAGATTATGATGACCATGGCACTTGGATGTCCAACAGAGATTGAGATACACAAAAACCCTGTTATTAGATAAAAAAGGGAAACCAGAACTCAACTGAAGGTTGTCTTAAAACCAGGCTAATTATGGCAGTAACTTGGTTGACTTGGATTCCCAAAGTGGAGCAATGCTAACCAGTGGAGAGAAGGGAATGGGGAATGGGGAATGGGAGTTGCAGGAAGCCAGGGCACAATTCAATTAAGGAAGCCATCAGATGTGGCAAGCAACGAGCTGCACAATTAAAAGTCTGCGGATCGCGGCGAATGAAATTATTTTCAGTGGCACGCATGGCTGGGAATCACTCAGAAACACTCGACACACACTTCTGGGTATCCTGCGGGTTAATGATGACGAAGTACGAGTACGTCATGTCGCAGATACTGGTCTGATCTGGAATGGATCCCATGCAGCGAGGGGTTACTGTACAATGCCCGGCAATTGTTTAGAGACGCCGTCGATGTCGCGTCGCCTTCAATTGAGGCGATCTTTCGAGGGAGTGCGGGTCCAATCAAATAATCCGACCCGAAATACACACACACACACACACGCACACAGGTTGCTTGAAATTGTATCTTGTAGATACAATCGCGTTCGCAGTACGACAACCTGACACAACATTCTAGCGTAGCTTTGCGATCGAAGTACTTTTTCTCCATAAGCCGCAATTGTTTAAATTCAATTAATACGAAATTTGTTTATTTTGGCTCCAAAGTCTGGCCTTGTTGGGTGGTTTTGGGTGGTATTGGTTCTTATGTGGTGACACTTACGCAGTTGTCGTTCCTCCACGCGGCATTTTGGCCAAGTGACGATCACGCATTTAGCCAAGTGTTGCTATTTGGGCCGAAATTCGGTGCGGTTTTTCCGCTTATTTAGTCACCGCCACCCACTAAATGTTGAATCGCTGGGCGGTGCGTCACAGATCGGCGCGCTATAGCTATATATAATACATATATAGGACGGCCCAGCTAAAGGTCGTCTGTTTTCCGAGCAATTCGGCTCTATATTGATTCTGTAAAATGCCACACAATCGAGAGACAATTGAAAACCGACGTCTCGCTTTGGGATCGCAATTCGCTAATCGCTAATAGAACTTTTCCAGATCGGATACAGATGCTAATCGAGTTGAATGCGTTAATTTGTCAATCACAAGGGGCTGAAAAGCGATCCCAGAACGGTGACGGATTCGATTCGTTATCTATTCATTCATGTGTTCATTTGGGGCCGTAAGTTCACATCGAATTTAATTTCAACTTGGGTTTCTATTGATGCAAATTTCGATTCTTGTTCAAGAGCGGCGAACAACTCTCGGTTTCTCGATCAAAGAAAGTCGCTGATCCGCAAGATGCGTGTAATAAGCATCCGAAAAACGTTTGAAAACTGGCACACAAATTCAATATAAACAAGGCACTTTAACCGAAAGAGTGTTTTTCTTTTTTTATGCTTTTGTTTATATTGCTCCTTTTGTTAACAGTCGCACCAACACAAACAACCGCACGAAAATCCTCAATTGAATTCACCGTATTCGATTATCGAGTGAAGCACAATAACGTTCAGATCGCGACGATCTACCAGATACAACTGAAAATTTATTTCGATTTTCAGGCCGGAGCTTTCTGGATCTAAGTCTTCGAGTTGCTTTTTAGATCGCTTATTTATATCTTGCAACGGCATTTTAGCGGAGACAACAACCCGCTGGATGTAGTTTAATCTAGGCACTCAACCAAACAGCAAAATTCCCTGCTAGGGAAATTAACCATTTAGGGATCTAAATATCTATGACATAAACCAGTTCTATAGCTGTGTAGCGAACCATTAAGGGAGTCAGGAATTTAAAATGTGTTAATTATTTGCCCAACGTCTTTTGATTAGTGAGATTAATGAGTTAGTATCTTCTCGCCTAGGCCTTGGGTTATGCAATTTTTGGTCTAAAAGGTTGTTAGTCAAGCTGTAAGATTAAGAGTGTAAATAAAGATAAAGATAAAACTGATCATCAGCTCACTTGAACGTGTTGGCATCAAAAAGATCTACACATTAAAAAAATCAAAAACGTTCTTGCGATAATTTAATTAATTAAAAACAAGCTAAAAAAATAAATTAAAAATGAACAAAAACAAGTTTTTATGAATACATTGGTATATTTTTAAAAACTGATTTTGAACTCTAATCAGTAAATTTAATAAAATAAAGCAGAAATTGAATTTTAGGAGGTTGTACTAAATATAATTTGAAATTTGTAGAATAATACTTCATAAGTAATTTTACATTAATTAATAAAGTGACTTCTGTTAAAAATAAGATTTTTTTATCAAAGTAAGCTGAATAAAATTAGTACATAAGAGGACAGAAATAGTTCCCATATTCCAGCTAATATCTAATTAACGGGCCACCTGTTTGCAAACAACACTTTGTGACCATAAATAAATAAGTAAATACGAGTATCAATCAAAACACCTGCCAGCAGCGCTCTGAATCAATCAAGTATTTATGGAAGCGGGGCTTCCACTGATTCCCAAAGAAATACTGGGTCACCAATAGTTCGTAGAGCGGGTTAGGGATACCCACTGCCACATTCATAAACCTTTTGACCATTCCAAATCCCACTCCCACTCCCCGTCGGAGGCAACAAACACACCCTGGGACTTTGGGTCATTATTCCAGCTCCTTGGAGCCCATAAGCCAGTGGGTTTTTGGGTGGACAACGCGCCCAAAAATTACTTGAAATCAAATGAAAACCAAATGAAAATGAAATGAAAACGAGGCGGCGAAAAGGTTGAGTCCGCCGGACAAGAAGGAAAAATACCCGTAATTACTTGAAGCTTACCGAGCTTCGTGCCAGAAATTGGACAAGGACAGGGACAGGGCAAAAAGGACGAAGGGGGAGAAAGGATTCCGGGCGGAATGTTTACGGCCACCCAGTGCACGCGATCAACTGTTGAATTTGTGGGTGCACGGGTGTTCCAGGAAGGATGTGCCCGCGCTTTGTGTGATTTGCGACGAGGTCGCATTAAAATAAAATTTACGGCTTTCGAAGATACGCGAATTAGGAAATTGGCGCGTAAAAATAACCTCGAAACGGGCCACCCCACCCATTGTACCTGTCCTTTTCCCAGTGCTCCTCTCACAGGGTGTGTAGGCGTCGACATTTGCCGCTCTCCGTCACTGTTAATTAGTCTTTTGGGGTAATTCCTAACGTGCTCGGCTCCTATTCCATGTAAATATTACACATACGCCGCGTGGTGCCACTAAAATCGATTAAAGGCCAACTACGGCTGAGCGGACAAGAGTCTGTTTCTGTTTTGTTTTCCATAGAAGAGAGATTGAAACCAAGTAGGAGGAACGACTGGCAGATGAGCAGCGGAGATGCGGATATGCACAAGGCCAATTGCCGGCTAGACAAGAGCTCCAAATTGGCCTCCGGGGAACTCGGTCTGCCGATCTTCTGGCTGTGTGTGTCTCTGCCTCGAATTTGATATGCATAAGTGACACAATTCACTTAAATATTGATAAACAAATGTGTTGGCAAATCTAACGACTAAATTGTGTTGATTGGGCAACGGGGAGGGGTTCTGGATAAAAGTGGTTCTTTAATTTTAGAAGCACTTAGTTGTGACTAGAACATAAGCATATGCTCTTTGGTTTTCTATGAAAGAAAGGTGTTTTATATATAACTGCATCCGCACTTTTAAAAAATTATTAATAAAGTAGGTACATAGTGCACTGAATACAATATAATTTTAAAGCAGCCAGAAAAGGACAATTTTTTAAAATATATTTTAGATAATTCTATGCCATTTGAAAACATCCCTCAGACAAACCAAGCAAGACAAACACATGTTAACTAAAATAAAATCATATCTTTCAACCAAGAGAATATTGTAAGGGGATATAATGATGTAATAGGTGAATATTTAGATGGAATGCCGATGTCTTGTATTTGTAATTCAACACTTAGTACCAGAAAACATACTATTTATTATTCAAAACTCCCAAGCGTACACCCATTTGGGAGCTATTTGTGGCTCGAGGCAATTAAAATCACAACTCACTTCTCATCCGGAGGCGGGGGCATCTCGATCCCGTTGGGGGTTCCCGGGGGCGACTTCTCACTGACCCTGTCCATGGCCTCCTCCATCGGAGGCAGCGGGCTCACCGAGTTCGTGTCCATGCGAAAGCAATCAATTTTGATGCCGCTGCTCTTTCCACAAAACTGCTGAGGGGGAGAAAACATTTATGAGGCTCGGCATTCAAATGTGGCACTTTAATAGAGAGAACAACAGAAAAGCAGCAGGATTCCGATTCTGATTCGGATTCCAATGCCACATCCGCAACTCCATGAAGAGCGTGTAGGAGGGCTCATCTGTTGATGAATGGCGGCGCCGCTATATGTCTGAATGTGCGATATATATACTATATATGGATATATATGTATGGATGGGCCTTTTTGAAATGCGGGGGTAACCAAACATAATGAGCATTCATCGAGGGGAGTACGTATGGAAATGGAAATGGGAATGGGAAATGGGGAACGCTTTTGGCATTTATTTTTGGCGACTCCACAAGGTGGCAAAAGTGCAGCGTCAACTGAAGTCCAGGGCATTGCACTTGGCTCTCTGTTCTCTGTTTTGGTTTCAGCCTCTATTTTTTTCTTTTTAACTTTTTTTTTTCTGTTTTTTTGGCTTTCTGTTTTTCTTTGGTCGCCGCTTCTGCCATGTGTGAAATTGGCTCATCACACGTCCGAATGCGTTCTTCTGCAGAGAGCGCCAATTTCCGATTCATGTTCCCCCATCAAGTAGAAGATATTCCAGATACTTCAGATACTTTTCGATATGTGTGCGGGTTCCGTACTCCCCTCCCCTTCCCTTCTTTATTTCCCCCACAAATCAATTATTATCGGACGTTCTAGTTCTTGAGGGGTTCAATGAACTCGAGGCGGAGACACTTGATGGACACATCAATGCCTGACATTTGCTGATGCCGAAGCCAACTTCCTTTGCCCAGTCAACCGGCAACCCCGATCCGCCCCTTCATACGGAAAATTCCTGCGAATCGTTTGCATAGCCCCTTTCTCTATCCCCAAACACATGTGCCCGGTTCCCACGGACTGGACAGTGGGGATTGACGTTCGGTTTGCTCGGATTAGGTTGATTATACAGGAGTCGCATTGGGAGTATTATTAGCAAATGGGACAGAGACATTTTCGGTTGGCGGGTGCATTCTGTTTCGATTGGCATCAGCACACGGCAATTTGTATGCCACCCAAAAGGCATTTAAAAAGTGAAAGGAAATCATATTAAATTTTGGAATTTATAAGGAGTAAGCTACTTTTGCTAGCAAAATTAAAAACTATTTCCTTCCTCCCTAATACTTTTGTCATTTTCTGGTATATATCATTCAGTTTCGGACAACCTATATTGATAAACTAAGAAACAAATGTAGGAGCTAAAAAGCTCGTTAGCTTCATTAAGGCAATTTAGTAGTTTTTGTATGAGTACATCCAATTCGTAAACAATGTCATACGTTTTTGTTTAATAAAATACACTTTAATTTAATCTTCTCATTCAACTTTTTTGGATATTGTAAGATACCATATTTTGATGAGCCATAATATAGCTAATTAACAGCTTTAGGATTTATTAGCAGATATCAACAGCTAAGTTCAATCAACTCACATTTAAATTTGATTATGAATGGTTAAACTAAAAAAAATTAACATTTATTCTAAGGGGAAAACTTTAAAAGCATGTGCAATTTAATTTCCGACTACTTGAGATTTTATAAGTTTAGATTATATCATTAAAAATTGGTAATACACCATATTGGTCTAATTGCCATATTGAATTATTGAAAACTTTTTGAATTAAAGACTATTACTTATTTTTTGAAGAAGCCTCTTTGATTTGTGAGCTCAAGAAACCACTTTCATTTTTTTGTAGTTATGAGACTTGTTTTTGCCAGGGGACAGAACTGTTTCCCCAATCCCAATGATCTACTTTCTGGAGAGGAAGCTGGACATTATGCAATCCCACAGCTGCTGGCGCTGCACATATCTGTGCTAAATGGAGGAAACAAACAAAGCGAGCGGCCAAAACCCAATCACAAAGGAAGGCCCCAAAATTTTCGAGGCCCGGATATGCAGCGACTTGTGCAGAGAGATTGTCAATAAAGCGAACTGATGGAAGAGTTCCAAGGGAGAGAGGGAGAGAGGGATGGAGGGAGAAAGGGATAGGGATATATGCAATCCCTAGTCCCTCCACAATAGACATCCTTTTTGTGGCATGGAGTTAATAATCCGATTTGGGTTTGCCGAGTTCTGTGCTTTGTGCACTCTTAAGAGAAAACCACTGGACAAAGCGGAACCGGAAACGATGCTGCTGTTGATTTTGTCTTTGCCACTCTCGTTTTAATGTCTTCGAACCAAAGCGAACTAACCGAACCAACTGAAATAACCGAACCTACCCCAAGTGACTTCGATGTGTGCGGTGTCAAAAACCCTTTTTGTATGGAAAGCTTAATTACTCAATTATGCACAACGCTCCGCAAACGGTGTATGCGCTTAATTGGATTTGTGGCCGCTTCAACGAGCTGGAATTTAACAATTTTCCACAATTAATTCATCTGCCCGGCGGAGATGGCGAGGATTGAAGATGAAGAGGAGCCGCTGGACGATGGTGGTAACTCCGCAAACAAACCGGCACGAAAGCCACGAACTCCGAAATGAAACACCCACGTCCGTACTTTTCGAATGCTGCGAGGCAAAAGTGAACAATCTCGCACTGGGAAAACCTTGCCCATGGTGGAGTTACTATGGTGGGTTACGTATATGGTAGTCTCCTCGGGTGCGTCAGTCCTTAGAGGGCCACCCGAATGTTAACGGACTGAACTGAACCGACGATTCAGACGTCACTTTCGGCCGCTAGAGGCGCTTTTTTCAACTGAACAACAACATCGTGAGTGTGAGTATAGTCGGTCTCGTCGGTCCGTTAACTATACCCAAAATGAGTGCGAGTGAAAGGGTGTTTTTTAAAAAGTGCGAAAGAAAAACCAACAAATTATGTTGTTTAGCCCTTATGCGGTGCTTGGAGCTCAAAACAGCCAATCATATAAACATGGGGTAATTATTTTTTTTTAATTGTTGATTTTTGCAGCATTGGCGAAAAGAATTAGCTTAAACTGCTCGTCTTGAAAATCATTTTGGAGCATTTATAAATTTTTCGCCTTGCACATGCTGGCTGTCATAACTGCAATAAGTTAATTTTCTTTTGCACATACATAAGGGCTAATGTTCAAATTAAAACTTAACAATGTGGCTTCGGGAAAACTGGCCGTTGATATGCTTTAATGCTGCGATAACCGAGAGAGCGAGAGCGCTCGTGGTTTTCACTGTTTTCTGTAGATACACTGAGAATAAGAGGTATTACCCTAACGAATATTAATATTTCTGATTTTGTTTCGAATTGTATGCAACGAATTGTTAGAATACTGTTCCCGAAAAAAATCGTTCTTCTAGCTTGTAGCACTTTATTTCCCTGGATAGATATTTAAAGCCTAAAGCCTTGTTCGTATTATTTTGATCTTGAAAAAATAAGAGTTTGATGTCTTTTTTATTATTTAAATAAAAGAGATAATATATAGCAAAGTTGAATTGTGCCAATTTATTTAACTTTTTAATTTTACAAAGTAGAAGGAACATCAATATATAGTGTAAAATTTTAGAAACCAGACCATCGAGTTTAAGGTAAAGATAAGTCATATATTCTGTTGTTTTTCAGCTAACTATATATTTATATTCAACTGAAATCAAGTGTGCAGGCACATAGCTTGACCTTTGGAACAGGTTAATTAATACACTTACAAACGCATACACAAATATCAATTGACAAGTACGAATGCAATACATTTGGGCGGGTCACAGACCCAAAATTGTGGGTTAGTACATAGTATATGTTAAGATTATTGTCATTGTTTCGTAGGATACCCTGGAATATTTGAGGCTAACTAAGCACTACAAGTGCAAGTACAAATGCCGCTCGTGCAGCGGATCCTGCGCGAAGGACCACGAGGTGCACGTGGGATGACTACTACAAATCACATAGGACTAACCGGGTAATCTTAGCTTTAATCTAATCGCCATACATAAACTAAAGGGTTGTGCGAATAACTTAGTAGGAGAGATTCTGCGGGGGAATCCATCATTCAATCCAGGCGTCTACAATCCCGGCTTGGTTTTGTCGTCGACGCTGCTGGCACTTCCGGCGCTCGCCGTGCTGCCCGCATCCGAAGGCACCGGACTGGAGCGTCCCGATCCCGCCCTGGATCCGGAATCGAGGGGCGTGGGAATGGGACTGGTGGCCGGACTGGTCTCCAAATCGCTGGTGCTGCAGATTTCCTGGAAAGTGAGATTGGAATTCAGCTTGGGCTCTTGACTCTCTTGACTCTGGCTTGGCTTCTGCCCCAGGAGATTGATGGCCTGGGGACTTGAGCTTGAACCTGGACTTGAACTTGAACTTGAACTTGGACTTGAACTGACCTCATCCGCTTGAGTCTTGGTGGTCACCGCCTCCGGCTGGGACTCCTCGCCGGACTGGCCGGCCTTCTCCGCCCAGGAGCGCAGGAACTCCACCACATGGCTGTGGCCAAAGTTCTCGGCCTCGTCCACGGGCAGGTTGCCCCAGCGATCCTTGGGGTTGTGCGGCACGTGGCACTGCTCCAGCAGGAACTTGACGCACTCCAGGTGGCCCTCGGAGGCGGCCAGATGCAGGGCCGTGCGGCCATCGTAGTCGGCCAGGGTGATGTCCATCCCGGAGAGGCGATGGCGCCGCAGGGCCGTCACATCCCCGCTGGCCGCCGAGAAGAGCAGATTGACTATGGAGAGGCCCTTGGTCTCGTAGCGGTGCTTGCGCGGATCCTTCTTGTTGGACAGATGCTTCAGGTTGTCGTAGCGATGGAAGTTGAACATGGAGACCAGCTCCTCGCAGAACTGCAGGCCGCGCACCGTGTTGCCCAGGTGGTCAAGGGGCGGCGACCAGGCGAAGATGCCCATCACATTGGGGATGACCAGCATCATGCCGCCACTCACTCCGGACTTGGCTGGCAGGCCCACCTTGAAGGCGAACTGGCCGGAGTAGTCGTACGTGCCGCAGGAGTGCATGATCGAGAGGACATCCCGGATCACCTCCGGCCGGAAGACCTTCTCCTCGGTGGTGGGGCAAATGCCTCCGTTGGCCAAACTGGCGGCGATGACGGACATCGCCTCGCAGTTAGTCTCCATGGAGCAGCACTGGAAGTAGAAGTCCATCACCTCCTTCAGGTTGGTTCGCTTGGGGAAGCACTTGTTCTCCCGCATGTAGAATCCCAAGGCGTAGTTCCTGTCAGCAGCTTCTCTCTCCGAGAGGAACACCGCGTTGTTGAACCCGAGGTACTCTCCGCCAGAGAGCCGCTTGAACCAGGACATCGTGTAGTCGAAGATCTCCGCGGAGGTCATGTCCGGCTTGACCAGCGCGTTCATCAGCGAGCAGGTGAGGATCGCCCCTGCGTTGATCATCGGGTTGTGCGGTTTCTCTGCGAAGAAAAATGGTAAATATTAGGGAGATTGCTATAACCGAATTTAGAAACTTAAAAACATATTGAACAGTGGGTATTCAAGCACAAAAGAAATTCTACAATCTTGCATAAATAAATGTTTCAATTCAATGAAGGAATGCCTTAAAAGAGATATAAGTCAATTTCTATGTCAAAAGAACGATAATATTAAAACAAGCCTTTGTGAAAATTATGACTGTATTTATACGAAATTCTTGCCAATCTAGTTAAAGGTAAGTTTTAAATATTGGACCCTTTTTTTCAGAAGAAGTACCAAAATGTATTTATCAATTTTAAAAACTTAATCAGAAATTTTGAAGATAAATTACATTTTTGATAATTACTGTGAGTCATGAATTAAATATGTTATCAAAAATGTATAAAAGAGATCGAAAGTTATATTAGTAAAAAAAAAGTATGCATTAAATAGTAAAGGGGGAAAAATTATTTTCACGGTAATTAATTAAATAGTAAAGGGGGAAAAATTATTTTCTCGGTAATGTAAAGAGGATTTGTTATAAAGGAAACAATAATTGTGCAAAGGATATCAACACACAAGCAAACGAAAATCGTAATATAAAATTAATACCTGATCGCATCTTAATAAATCAGTATCTTAAAAGAATAACACTTTTTTTCAAAGAATAATCCACCCCAATACTTACTGTTCTGATCCAGGACGAGCTCGTTGAAGTTCCTGCCACTGGGCTCCTGTCCCACGTACGAGTGCACCACCTTGGGTCCCAGCTTCTCCAGAGCAATGGCGTAGGTCAGGGGTTTGCTGCAACTCTGGAGGGTGAAGGGCACCTCCACGTCTCCGATGGAGAAGCGCTGGCCATCAACAGTGCAGATGCTCAGACCCCAGGAGTCGGGGTTATAGCGAGCCAGCTGCGGGATATAGTCGGCCAACTTGCCGAGGGTGTTGCTCTTGCAGCGGTTGTAAATGTCCTCGATGTCCTTAACGAAACTGGTAAAGTCGGGGATAACAAACTGCTGGCGAAAGGCCTTGGCAATTAACACAATGTTGGGGGCCACCACACTGAAAAAGTAAATATTATTAAAGAAATATAAAGATGGTAGTAATAAAAGAGGTTAAACTCACGCCTTGAAGGTCTCCCGATTGAGATGCTGGGTTTCCGCCGAAGAACCCGTCTCGTAGTTGTTCAATTTGTGCACCTTCTTCAGGTTGTCCATCAGTTCCCGCACTCTGGGATCATTCCGCCGGATGCCCGTGGTCTTCAGCCCGGCGAGGAACTTGCCCATCGAGATGAGGCCCGTCTCCTCGCTGGCGAACATGTCGAAGAGCACATCCTCCGCATTTCGCTGCTCCTGTTCCCGATGGCTGTGGAATGGAAACACGACCAGTTAGCAGCGAAGGAATTAGCGAAATAAAAAAGTAATTGGGTTTAGGGCACCTGCTAATTGAGCGGCGATCCCCGACTGGATTTTAGCATGCGTGTGTGGAAAAGCAAGACTAAATTCACACTAAATATGGCACTAGACTACGAGGGGTTTCTAAAGGGGGTGGGGAGTACAGAGGGGGCAACTTGGGGGTTTGTCTTTGGCCAACTGGCGCTGTTCTCCAAGTGCTAATTGGCTCACAGACATCACAGAATGCAGCGCGGCCGTTAAATCTGCACAGATCCAGTTGGGCTCCTCTAAATATAGATCTTCGTTCCACGGCCGACTGACTCGATTAATTGGGATTCTTTTCGGAACTATCAATTTGGCAAATCATTTCGCGGAGACCTCAATCAACTTCAATTTAGTTGATTAAGAGTTCTTCGGGGTTTCAATGGTACTCGAGCATGGCAACTGACTCAGATTCTAGTGGGAAGGACAGGGGATTCAAATCAATTCAATTCGATTACTCACGGCCGCATCGAATAGTGGCGTCTCTGATTGCTATAATAGTGATAAACAGGATGATCAGACAGCGATTGTTAGTTAGATTTCCATATGCTGGCCATAAAGATCGTGTGTAATGAGCATTAATCAACGCAATTTTCGTTTTTGTGCAGATATGGTAAGTGTGTAGTGTGCACAATCTAACAATCTATTTTTACAATCCACTCGTAAATACTATATCTTTTGTCCCTGCCCCTGACTGTCTCTCTGATTTGTTGGCTTTCCTGCACTATTTTTACCTGATTATCGCGGAAATAGTACGCACTATAGTGCCACGGCGATTTTGCAATGAGATGCCCTCGATTATTTCCTCGATGATGGCCGCCGTCTCCGTGGTCTCCTGCTCCTTGCCCCTTCTATAGTTCTCCTCCCGCTCTTTGGTCTCCCCATCCTCGCTCTGGCGCTTCAGCGCATCCAGCTCGTTTGTCAGCACCATCGCGGCGTATACGTGATATTTTGTGATTTGGCGAGCTTTGCGTTTCTCAACTGGATTGATTTCGAACCTGAGCGCTGAGCTGTTGCAAGTTTAATGGGAACAACAGTAAGCGCGCCGGCGTTTTATACATTAGCGAAATGTGTGATTTTTGTATGGCTGCTCCCAGGCGAAGCGAACGGAGGAGCACTTAGATAGCCAGGCGAACAGAGAGCCCGGGCACCACGGAGAGTCGCGCCGGAAAGTGCTAATTTCTAAATCATGTTATTGCCAATAAAATAAATTAATTAACTCCTTTTTCTCTATCCAAAGCAATCGCGGGTGGAAGGGGGGCAAACAAAACCCACACGAGCAAACACACAACGGATAGATATGGTTGGCTTTATGGCATTATAATGGCACTGGGCATTGTCTGGCACTTTGTGGAGTAGACTTGATTCACATGGGCACTAGTTTCAAAAACCGATTAAGGGGCAAACGTCACGCGGCGGCGGAACCCCTTTTTTATTTTTCTTATTCTTTCTTTTCTTTTCTTTTCTTTTGATAAGAAAGTGGGCACGTCTTCTGGGTTGAGTCACATTTACCTGATATACTTCGTTATCACCTTGATGAACGTCTCCTTTTGGCTTTTGGTGCAGAGTCCAGCGACCATTTCGGCTATAATCCCTGCATCGATTAGATCCGCATCGTCTTGGATGCGCTCCTTTCCCTCTTCGGTTCCCGAGAGAGGTTCCTTGGTGGGAGCTTGTGGCTTCTCCTCCTCCACTTGAGCGGCATTCCTCTTGACCAACTCAATGAGCTCCTCACCCGTCATCGACTTTAGATCGTCCACAATCTTCTGCCTGATGCTGTCCTTGAACTGAGCCGCCTCCTCGGCGGTGTAACCATCCAAGGGAAGTGGCGCCTTCTCGGTGGCATATTGCAGCAGATTCCAGCTACGATCGCCCATCATTTCGATGGTTCTGTATATTATATATGCTACTTCTATCTGATTCCACTGTGCAAACTTGCGGCCCGTCACCGCCGAAATGAGACCAGTCGGCGGTCGGCCAATGGTTTTATAGTTCGCCAACATCGTACATCAAAGCCAATACATATGTATATATCATTCAGCGGACCAAAAAGAGTGAGCGAATTCGATTTTTATCTTCGTTTAATAAACGTATGTTAATTTATTTTTATGCGCCTGCGATTGCCGGCAATTAGCGCGTTTTTCGGGCCAGAAGATACCTCCCCTTTTTCAGATCTCCCAACCGCATTTTCCCCTCTCAAAAGGGTTAAAAACAAAAGGGGGAGCCCGCAAAATATTTACCCCAAAAAGTGCCATCATAATATTTTTCGCCATTTCTTTGGACTTGGCCGAGATCGTTAATTGTGAGTGTCAACGGATTCGGCTGTTGTTGTTTTCAAAAACAATATTTTCCGAGCCAAGAATAGGTCTGTAAAGTGCAGCGGATCTAAAAATGGATCCGTGGGATATGAAAATGCGGCCTGGCAGCAGCGAAACTATTGACCCAAATGATTCTAGCCACGTGGAAAACAATGGGAAATGGGAAAAGCAACCACAGACAAGGGCAGGTGCAAATGAGTGGACAAATATTTTGTGATTCGAGCGGTTAGTGATTGAATGCAAGTGCTCTTCTTTTAATTATTGTGCGGTGTTAGGTGATGATTAAGCAAAGTTTAAGGTTTATCTTTTACTGATATACTCACAGCTTGGCATTATCCTCCTTGGTTTTCGGAGTGGAACTGGTGTCGTAGAAGGACAATTTCCGATTGGCAAACACCAAATTCAGGAGCGGTGGAGCGCGCAGTTTCTTCTGAAATGAACAAAGAATTGAGGTTTATAGTAAAGCTGAAGCTTAGGTCAGGAATTCCCGTGTAGAATCACGTATTCGCGGTTATTCAAAGAGCCAGCTATTCGGCACGTACTAGCATATTTTAAATGAGTATCCAATGTATACTGCAACTGGATCGAAGTGCAAATAATGGACAAACGCCATCAACGATCACCTTTTATAGAACGAAGGGGTAGCTCTTCCTTTAAAACTTTTATAAAATCCCCAAAACTCTGCAACAGTTTTAAAGCTTACAAGGATGGTAGTAACTATCATATCGTTTCGTTATTCTTGTAGATATTTCCCTAATAACTGCAAAAAGTATCCTTTCATATTATTAATTTTGAAAATGAACACAGTGTACACAGTTTTCTTGGCCTACTTGCCATTTCTAATTGCGGTAATGGAAAAACTCCAATCATTTACGTAACTGAATACTTCTTGACAGGCCTTGGATCCTAAGTACAATTGGATTGGATTACCTAATCGCATGACATCAGCGAAACAGATGTCCTTGGATTTTTTATGTCTTGAAATTTTTCCTTCCTCTTCTCTTGAAAGAAATAGAACATTTTTTTACTTAGATAGATTTATTCTCTAACTTCTTATATTATTTGCACTTGCCTATATACCTATGTTAAATCTTTATTCCCAATTCGAGAAAGGTAAATCTCTGCCAGCAAAATCTGTTTTCATTGTTAAGCTCTTTTCGCACTTGCTGCTTATTTGCATATTATTAAATACATACTTGAGCAAAAGAAAGTCATGTGAGGGGGAATATCTCGCACAATAACAACAACAACCTGAGGTGCGGCATTAAAAATAAAAATAAAAAGAATTTAATATTTGCCAAACAAGTTTCCGTTCAAGGGGCCTGTCACCATTGGCGTGGGACTTTGGCACCTTTCAAATTGGCATCTCAAAAGCTAACGGAACATTGACGCACAATTTGCACGGAAGTGCAGAGATAAAAATTATCAAAGAGAAATTTTCTTGGGGGAAATAAGAGAACTATTTCTATCTTCCGAAAAAAAGAACGGTAAACGTCAATGTATAAAGTGTATGACTGATTATGTTAATGTACCGTTTGCAATATACAATTAATAATGTATATGAAGAAAGTATTTTTTTTGCCAGTTTATCAATAACTTTTAAACAGGTGGCTTTTTTTGCTAATTTGCGGGAGACTTTGACTTTTTATAAAAGGGTTTAATCTATAAATTAGTTGGAAGGGAGCAACCTTTAAACATTTTTACTCCGGAAATGCATTAAATTCTCAGCAGTTGAGTAAGTGATAAGCAATCTTTATCGTGGCAATATATTTTTCTAAAGATTATTCCATGGAGCATTTTTATATTATTATTTATGGGAGTGTTTTACAAAAAATCAGAAACCTTAAAATTTTATTTGAAAATTATTGTTATCAAGAGATATTCAAAATGTGTGATAAATATTTGAGAGAATTAGTTAGCACTCTCTTTGCTATTTCTCTTCTCTACAATTCCTTAGCAACCAAGTGAGAAGTGAAGGGGCTTGGTTTTGTGTTGCGGCAGCTGAAATATTAATACGAACGCGCGTATGCTAAATATTTATGAATGTGTGCTCGTTCATTTCTCCCATGGCAACGAAAGCACCGCAAACAATTTCGACTGCTGATGGCCTTTTGCCAAATCTTAGCCAGCTTAATTGCTACCTGCTACCCATAGTTCTGTGCATTAAGAATACAAGCACTGCCTTTATTTGTACATTAATTTATATTTGTATTTTTTGTGTTGCCATGCTCGCTCACGTTTTCTCTATTCATTTTTGGGTGACAGTTTCGCGTGATTTTGACACTCCAAGAGTATATGAATCATTTGCACATAGAAAAAAACTCGAAAATTATAAAAATAAAAAATGTATACGATAAATAATGTGAACAATTATTTATTACAATTATAAACAATTTTAACGGACCAAAATTGTAATAATAATTTCGTAACTTGGTATCTTACAGATGAATTTAAAAAAATCATTGTAATCATTATCATTTAGATTGTAACATTATACAACTTTAAAAACATAAAACCGTTCATGATATGATAACTTTAAACTAACAATCAGATAACAAATTTTTTAGGGCCTACTAAAGCGTTTTTTTTAAGCAAATCACTGTTAAGTTTAAAAATAGCACAGATATTTTTAGCTTTTAAAACTAAACAATTATCTTTTCATGTTATAAAGATAAAGTCAAAAAATTAAGCGGAAAAGATTAAGGTTGTTTTGGAGAACTGAGATCATATACAATAAGATTAAAATTGTAAGAACAATACTTTTATTTATTGTATTTTTCTGCGTGCATGAGTGTTTACTTATTTATAGTCCACGAGTATCGCTGGTGTTTAATGAGCGAAGAGATTAGTAATATGAGGCTGATTTCGAATAAACATTTGATGCCCATTCCAAATCTCACAATCAGCATTTCAATGTCTCGGTCGGAGTCTCGCTGTCGTCTGGTTTTTGGCATTTTAATATACTTGTTGACAACAACTACTGTTTATTCGGGAGTTCCACATGTCACATGTGATTTTTCGGGGATTAAGGATGAGTGTGTCAGTTGATTTGCACCTGATTAGCACCTAGCTCCCGATTTGTCATGATAATTTCACAATTAATTTGCCCGGCAGTCTAGCCTCCGCAATCCCAGATGCGATAAGATAAACTTCGCTATCTTCTTTTTTGGGGAAAAAGACAGGACAGTGGGCGTGTTATCATTAGATTGCGTCAGTCACGCTCCGCTTGCCATTTATCTAATTAAACTAATACGCCGGCGTCTTCTTAACAAAAAAAATATAGCGTTGTCAGGCTGAATGAAAGGCATAATGCCCTTACGTGCTCGAAATCGCTTCCAGACCAGATCCGATATCTTGGTTTTTGTTTAATTTTGAAAATCTATTTTCGGATTTCTGCAAATTGTTTGCTTTGTTTCCGCCAGCATTTGCGCATCAGTGGGGATTATGCGATTCACTTGTGTGATATCACATGAAAAATCAATAGACGGTCGAAATTAAGGCCCAAAAAGTGTACATACTTAGTCAGTCAGCTGTTTTGGATGGCGCAACCCCCTTTTCTGTGAAAACCGCGGTGCTTCACTCACCTCATTGCATATCTTCTGCTGCAGCTGTTTGCCCGTGTGTCCAAACTTGGCGCGCTTCAACAGATCCGGATCCTGGTCGAATATCTCGGCCGGCTCGGCGGCGGATGCCTTGGCGCGGTGATGGACCAACACCTGTCCCTGGGTCGTCAGAAGACGGAGGTTTCGACCGGCTAGCGTGGGAACACCTTTAAGCATTATCACAATCACTGACTTGGCTAATTGCTGCCCTAATGACGACGAGTTCTTCGTTTTCGATTTGTCTTTTCTCGGATTATCGGATTGATAACGGGGGGTAAACCTTAATGCTCGTACTTGATGACTCGTTCACGTTGTTGCGTATCCGCTCCGTTGTCCGCACATGCGTTCTGTCGCACCAACCGCTGGGAAATAAACGGTGGCCAACAGCGGCAGGCCCATAATCAGCTCAGCGCTGCCGCAGATTCGCTGGCAGCGAAAGAAGCAGAGACTTCTTCGGCTGAGGGTAAGCATACTTTTTCTCTTTTTCGCTCTGGGAGAGAATCCAAAGGCGTGGGAGAGTCTTCCAGCGGTGGTTACTCTTTTTAAAAAAAGAAGAGGCCATGACGTAGCTGGGGGCTTGTCTAAGCTTATGACGTCACTCGCACACTTGTGCAAATTACGTATGTACACTGGGAATAATTCTAAAACAATTTATTACTTTAAGAACTTCTTTAATTTATAGATTGATACATTTATCAGGAAGTATAAATAAACATATCAAAAAAGAAATATAACTTCCCAGTTTTAGTGCTTTAAGACTTTAGTAATTTAGAAATTAGTTGTTGTCACACTGATATAAAAATTTCTAGCCAACTACGAAAACAAATGAAATACAGATCACATGGTTAGTTTTATTGTACAAACTTTATTTTAAACATTCACCGACCACTAATCAAGAAGGAACAGTTCAGTCGCAGTGGGGCATCACGTTAAAGAGAGCCGACATCAGTTGCAGATAATCCTCTTCCACCAGCTGAACCTGCGACAATTCCGAGTAACCGTGCTCCGTGGGCGGGGGGAAGAACTGCTGGTCGATGGCAGCCAACTCTTCCTCCAAGAAGACCTCACCTGCCTGCTGAACGGGATACAAACGCTTACGACAATCTCTAGTTTCCAAAGTCGAAGACATGGCGGCACCTTGCAGTGTGGAAATGGGGCTCAAGTCGCTGGTCATGTCAAAGTTGTGCGGCGGTGGAGTGCGCTGCTGTTGCTGCAGGTGCAATCGGCGGACCACATTAACTCGCAGCTCATTGGCGGCTGTGTTGCTGCGACGCACAATGTCCGAACTGCGGGCTGAACTGGGCGATCCTCTTGCCGGGTCCACACACTTCAGCTTGTATACCCCGTGCTTTCGTCGTAGCCACGGACTGCGGTTCTCCTTGAAGTCCAGTATCACCTTTCGGCGCACGAACTCATTGAAGATCACCATCTCGTTGCTGATGTCCCGGCGAACAATTTGCTTCCAGCGTGGTTCCAAGTCCGGCGCGCGGATTATGTGGATGGCCTGCGAGGCCACCAACATGAGCAGATGTTCCAAGGCCAGCAGACAAAGCTGCCCGTCCATGTTGGAAAGCAGCTCACTGGCAGGACAACTGGCGGACGAAATCGAGGCGGTGGGCAGAGATTTGGAGAAGGTTCGGTTGGTCTGGTTGCCTACGCAAACATCGTCTTCATTCTCGCCGGAATGCTCCACATTGGGCAGTGTATTCAGGGGCACCTCACTGAAGCCATGGTTTTGCTGGGTATTAAAATGTATAAATTAAAAAAAAACTTTCATAATGGTTTTAAGACTACTTACCATATTTAAAGCCTTCACGTATATGTTTACCAAGTTGAGAATAATCCCAAATGTGAGCGTGAGATTGTCTTCGTTCATTTTTGGTGCCCCAAACTTTACGTCTAGCAATGTGGAGTATTTCAAGGGCTCGTACACGCTGCAGCACAGCAATTCCATTAAATCGGGACTGAATCTCAGCAGAAACTTTACGCAGGAAATAATGATGTCTGTGAGGCTATGAAGGTATGTTAGCATTATTAATAATTAACCAACAAATATATTTTGTTAAAGGAAAACTTACTCGTTGCAGGCGGAAATGAGTTCGTCATCAATGACTACAGCCTCGGTGCTGCGGAGGATTTCAAGCTGTGACCGTCGACCAGCCAGGAGACACTTTAAGTTTCTTTGCTGGTGAAACAAAGATGAACTGTGACACAATAAGCCCTTCACCGCACGCTGTAAAACAAAAATAATGGGAATTAGGAAAAAATTCTGACTTCTATTAATATTTTACCGACCGTAATATTGGCAAGCAACTTCTCGTTATCTTGCCTCCACTCCTTGTGGTGTTCTGTGAGACTTGCCACCAGGGTAACAGCTGCCTTTATTAACTGCATGGCTGCCGGTTCCAGAGATTGCTTGCTCAGCAGAAGGGCATCCTCCAGGTAGACGGCATGAATGCCAACAAACTGGAAAGCTTCTTGCAGGAAGCATTTCTTGTGCTTTTCGTAGATGATAGTAACGAACTCGATACCCCTGGCGTAAACGGGCCACCACTTCTCCACAGTCCAGCGCTCTGCATCCACCGCCGCCGGCTTACTAAACTCAAATTTGGACTGCAAAAGTTCCCGTGGCGGCAGCAGATTTAGCCACAAGTGTTCTCCCACGTCGCAGTGCAGGAACTCCACGGAACAGTGCCCCTTGGCGAACACGATAAGCACATCCAGCAGCTGGACACTAAGCACCTGCTTGCTGTACAGGGGCAAGGTTCTGGAGACGCAGCGCACGAGGCGTTGGAACAGTCGAACCGACACAAAAGGCAGATCCCAGTTTCCGGGACCGTCATTGTGGAATATGGTGGCCACGGCTTTAAGCAGGTTGAGGCACAGAATCAGTGAGTTTGTGGAAGCCTTGCTGTCTGAGCTTTCGGAATTGTTTAGGCATTGTGACTCCAGGCTCACCGAGTTCTCCATGTGCTGTAGCTCACTGCAGATTATGCTTACAACAGAGTTGAGGAAACGCAGAGCGATTGATGAATCCCGAATAAGCAAGTCGTTGTAGAGGTGAGTGCACTTGGTCACAATGGCGAGGCAGGCTTCTTTCGCTCTGACATGCTGATCCTCGTAGCAAGAGCAGATGCGGCTCATCAGTTGCAGCAGCAGCTCCATCAGTTCCTGCTCCTCCTCCGCGCTGTTCGTGTACGAATGCTTGAATTGGAGTAGGAGGAACACGTACAGTTCTGCCAGAATAATAAACGGACGCATATCCTCCAGATAGTGAGAGCGGTCGACCAAGACTTTGATACACTTCTGGGCCATCAGCTTGAATTGTGACTCTGGTATGGTCATAAACTTGGGCTGTTTCTTCAGCAAAATTACGATCAGATCCTTAAAGGCCTGTAGGCAGCAAAGCCAATCGGGCAGCTCGTCTGCACAACTCAAATTGTTTGCAGCGGGAATCTTCGGCATGTTGAAAACGTAATTAAGCCAAGTCGCAAAATACTTGGGATCAAAGAACTTATTCATCACATCCAGAAGAGCAGCGTTGCTCTCACTTCCAGTGTAAATCTCAATTGATATGATGTTCAGAAGCTGCGTGTAGATCCTCACATTTGGCTGAAGTTCCGTGAAAAGAGGGGCGCAGAGCTTTTCCCAAAACAGTTTGTCCTTGAGCAGTTCGTCTACCAGCATCTGCAGGTTGTGCTTCCACAGCGAATGGAAGATGTTCATAATCTTGGCGGGCAGCGCTTGCTGAATGGTCAGTGGCTCCACAGCCAGGGCATCCAAAAACTCTCTCATATAGGTCACAATGCTCTCGCCAATGTTGGGAACAATTTCCTTGCCGAAAAAGGAACGAGAGCGTTTGTCCTGGGCGTAGTTCACCTTGAAGAAGGCCTCAGTTACGCCTGGTTGCTTGGCAATGCAAGCATCAACCAGCTCTAAGATGGCCAGCTTGATAGAATCGCTCTCCAGTTCGTCAGGCAACTTCTGCATAAAAGTCAATCGGATTTGATCCGCCTCCATGTCCAAACAGGCCAAAAGAGACATGTTGAACTCTAAAGCTATTCTCTTTAGCAGGCGACAAGATAGGATCGGTAGCCACCTATCAAATATGTTGCTCATGTAGCTGCATACTGTTGGAATGATTCGCAGTGTGTCGCGCTGTTTTGGTTGTGTGTATATCAAAGCCTCCAGTGGAGATAGGGTTTGGCTGTTGCCATATACCTTGTCCTTGAGCCTGAGCAACTGCATCAGGATGCGCATGGACAGGCGCACCAGCATCATCAAACCATGAGGCTGCTGTTGCATCCAGTTCGTTTCCAGCTCCATGGTGTACTGCACATATGCATTGCCGACGCTTACAAATCTGAATAAAAGATATTCATTAAATAAAATAAGTTTCTGATAAATTACAACACCCTTACCTTAGTAGAATCAAACCATTATCCAAATTCATAAGAGAGTATACGCACACCTTTAGCAAAAGTTCTCGGTGCTCGCATTGGGCTCCACTGCTCGTGTTAAACAAATCCAAAATGTCACAAATAAAGCTCAGCAGCTCGAAGTAGATCTTGTTCCTTTCCAACTGAGAGCGAAAGTGCCAAGCGTGCAAATGCGGAAATACATCCCTCAGCAGGAATATCAAGCCCGGAATCTCAACCTGCATGTGGCGATTTCGCTTTAGCTTGGTGTACGTGCGCAAAAAACTGAGGTAAGAAAGCAGGAATTCGTAGCGCTCGCTCTTCTTTTCAACATTGTCAATTACGGAGCCAAGGAAGCGCGACTCGAAGCCCACTCCACTGGCATTGGCGTACATCTTAAAGTCGTATTGTGATCCCTGGCTAACGGTGGGTAGGATGTGCAGGTTGCTGATCCGTGAAAATATCTCCTCGTCTACCATTGGCAGCAGAGCCGTGCATACATTCAGACAACTGGACAAGAGTCCGACAGGAGGACACTGAACGCTCTTGAACTTGTGCAGGAGATCAACGCACATTTCGGTCGGATGCACCATTTCGGCACTGATGCCGGAAATCGACTGACTAAGCTTGATAGCGCCCTCCAGGAATCTTAGGCCAGCTTCTACGTGACGAATGCGCTCGCTGGATTCAAAGTCTCCATGTAGGTGGCCTGTTTCCAGCAGCAGACAGTTTATCTCGTGGTGCAGCGCATCGAAGAAGTTAACCTGAATGCGAAAATGCATAAAGCATCCGGAGGGATGCTGAATGGCGGTGCAACTGGTTCCTGCGGGTATGGTAAAGTCAATCCGTGGAAAGGGGCGAACACTGGCAACGAGCTCGAATTCATCTGTGTCTACCTCTCTGAGTTTGTGCTGATTCTCATCGTAAAGAAGAGCCAATATGGGCAGGGATTCTAGCTGGCTCTTGACCTAAAACATAAATTAAATAAGACTACGACCTTTAATTGTAATGATGGTTGGTTGGCTTACAAAGTTCCCTTGCCCCGCTTTAGTCAACGACTGCGCAAGTTTAGACAAATGCGTGAACTCTAGTGGAAAGTTCTCCAGAAGAGTTTTATATAGCGATCGGGGTCCATCATCTGGATAAAAATAAATGTCTTTAATTAATATAAATCAAAAATATATGTGTGCCGTGTTTTACTGACCGTCCCGACTGCAGAAGTCTTTCGCTAAGTGAGGCCAGGAAACCAGTTCGCAGAGCAGTTCGTAGATACCCTCATAGCGGGCACAGCTGCCATCGCCATCGAAGAGGTTGCACATATATGCCAACTGGTTATAAATGGTTTTCCGCACTATTCGCGAGAGCATGGAGTCATCGGCGAACATGGTATGCCTGACTATAAGGTGCAGTTGGACAAAACACTTAAGATCCACGGCCCGCTTCCCTAGCTGCCGGCAACGAAGCAAACTGGAGGCGTCGTCTGCGTCGTTGGTGCCTCGCAGACGTAACAGCATCCAAACCAGAAGCAGTGGGCCGTGCTCCGGTCGATGGTGCATGCTGGCAATGTCCACCTGCAGGTCCTCTATTAGTTTTTCAATCAGATTGGTGTGCTCCTGAGGGTTTTCAAAGTCCAAGCACTTTAGAATGAGCACCAGTTCAGAGTAGGTCAGGCAACGGATTAGCTCCTGATGATATGCTTGCTTGTCGTCGAGGTAATTCTGCATCTTTCCGAATGAGTGTTGCTTGCAAGCCGCGAAAATCCGCTTAATGTGCTCCAATCCCATGGGTAGGTGCTCGGTCAGCAGGAGTAGGATGTGCAGCACCTCATTGATCTCGCGGGCATTTCTCTCCGACCACGCAATCAGTCGCTCGGTGGAGTGGAAGCACTCGCCCGCCATCAGTTTACTAGGTGGCAGTTCGTTAATTAGACTCTCCAACTGCTCCAGGTACGAATCCCTTAGGCGAGGTAGTGTTATTTTGTCAACCACAGCGCGATATTCCTGGTGGTATGGGTGGTTAGGCACCCGGTGGAAGACAATCAGATTTTTGACAATCTTCAACACGATCATGCGCTCCAGAGAGTAATAGTGCCGGATGTCCTCGTGCAGCTTGGCCATGTTTGTTTCGGTGGAGATTAACTGGGTGAGGAGACTGGCGGAGCCACGATACTCCTGCGTGAGGTAGTAGCACAGGATCTCCCAGCACTGGGCGGATTCCAAGTCCAGCAGATCTTGGAGTCGCTCGGTAAAGGGCAACAGCTTCTCCTGCTTTTTTTCCTTGAGCAGCGTGCCCACCTGGACATTGGAGGCGCTCTTTGGCCGGAACTGGAGAACGCCGGCCTGTAGTTCGGTGGCCACGTTTAGAAGCTCCTCGCGTACTGTTTCCTGAGGTGTCTCATAGTGGATTCCGGAGACCATCTGCCATAGGCGCTTCCAGTCCGTGCTGCAAAGACCCATGTATAAGACTAAGATACTGACGTTCATTACACTCGAACTTACATTGCGCACTTCTCCACTGCAGGCATGGTCTTGGCTATATCTTAGCAACTACAGTGTAGAATTATTTAATAACAAATTTCTGTTCCACGCGCAAAACCGCGGCTTTAGAGTTGCCACATGGTACAGAAAATGCCGGCACGATCAGCTGGCAGCACTGACAGCCTATCGATAAGACGATAGGAAAATTTTTCTTAAATAATCCGTTATAAAATCCAGCAACAGTGGATACTCCGAAAATGATAGAAAGGCTTTTTAGACTAATGAATTTAAAGCTAACCACCTAATTTTAAAGTAAATTTTTTAAATGGATTAGATTAATTTAATTTGTATTTTAAAAAACTTTTTTTATTTTATTCAAAATTGTTTACTTTGTGAAAGTACATACACAAATGAGTAAATCTAATTCTCTAGTGCTGTCAGTTAAGAGACTCGTCTGTGATTTCTTATCATTAGTATAACCTGACCTCTGAAAACTCTAGTGAGACCTTATCAATCCTTTCAACTGCAACCGCACTAGAACTATTTAGGTTAGACTTTCCAGCCGACCAGACGTTTCCAGTGAGGCGAGGCTGTGGCTAACAGACCTGCGAAGTCAGAGTGCAGAGTGCGCAGATGCTGCACTCCTCCACCCACAGCGCATCCTCCCAGCAGTCCAGCCACCCACTCGCCCCGTTCTAGAGACCTCTCCCCCTTCGCGGAAAACTAACGGCACTACTCCTTTGCTAGCCGCAGCTTCCCTTGCATTCCAGATCTAAGAGCGAGCGAGAGAGAGTAGAGGTGCGGAGTAAGCGAGCGCGGAGAGAGTAGGCGCACAGAAAGTTCTCGTCGCCTGGAAGCTGCAGGACGAAATATCGTCCTGTTAGAACGAAAAACTATTGACAAGCGAAAGGTCTACAATTCACACCTACTCTGGCAGATAAGCAGGTTAACACCTTAAATCCGTCGGGCTAATGGCTCAAGTTCAACTAAATGGAAGCAATGTCCAAATCCAAAACAATGGCAATACCGTCGAGGATAATGAACGTAAGTCTAAGCTAAAATAAAACCAAAGTGGGAAATTAAGACTGGCAGAAAAGTACACAAGTGTTGGTGTGCAGCTAAAGCGAAGGATATAGTGTGTGTCATGTATTAGGATGTATGTATGTATGTATCATACATGATGTATGTCAGCAGCAGCTAGCATCTTTGACATAGCTAGGATGCTTTTTGGCCTGGCGTTGGGTGGTAGCTTAAAGAAGAGAGCAGGATAACAGAGAGTCGGAGAGAGAACTTTGAGCCGGAGAAAAGACATTGCGAGCGTACAGGGTTGCCAGCGCCGCATAAAAGCAACAAGTTTTGAATTTTATTTTTACTTGACTTTTATTCCATCTCGAAAATTTTTTTAGCCTATCAAATAAGTGACGATGACTTGGATGACCTGGATGACGATTGCCTGCTGGAGGAGGCGGAGACTTCAGGAGTAGCCAATAGTCTTGGGCGGGGTCCGTACGAGCGGGCTTGGACCACGGAGGCCACCAGAGCATTGATCCACATACGCGGTCCCATGGAGGGCAGCTTTACAGAGGGCAGGTTAGTAGGTGTACGATCCGAAAGCATTCCAAACTACTATAACCAACTTAACCTCTTTCAGACAAAAACGCACAGCTCTTTGGCTTCATTGCACCCGCCAATTGCAGCGATTGGGATTCCGCTATTCCGCCGCCAAGGTCCAGAAAAAATGGCACAACATCCTTATTACGTACAACAAAAATCTGAGCAAGAAATACGTATCCGGCTACGTCCACTGGGAGTTCTTTGAGGAGATGTTCAAGTACTTGCAGGGCAAGAAGGCCGACTTCGATATGCAGTTGCCACAGCAATCCTCCAATGCGGCACAGGCTCCAACTCCTGTCAACGGCCTCAATCCGAATCAAGGTCCTCCCCAGCAACCTATGCCACAGCAACCTGCTCCGGTGAACGTAAAACCAGGGACACCGCAGATGCAGCTGCAGATTCAATGCCAAGCGCCGGCTAAGGAGGCTCAGCCCTACATAACTCCCGTGGACCAGGTGCTGCTGCAGGCCCAAATGAACCTGGACAGCAAGTCCAACGACGAGTTTGACGAGGACAGCAACAGCCTGTCGGAGGTGGTGCGCCAGCCCAAGATGGAGTACGATGGCGATCAGATTCCAGAGGCGGAGCGCACCAGCGATAGCAGCCAGCAGCACCTGGAGGCCAATGGCAAGCTCTACGATCTGGCGCGTCCAATGCCACAAGCTCCTGGGATTCCCGATGACATCTGGTGGAAGGACTACTTCGAACGCAAGCTGGAGGTCGAGCGGGAGAAGATGGAGCTGCAGCGAAACTTGCAGCGCGAACAAGTGCAGATCCAGAAAATGTCGCTTGTGCAGCAGGAGCGGATCGAGCGCATGAAGATCGATGCCATCAACAGCCTGACGGCCACGCTCCAGAAACTCGTGGAGGCCAAGTGCCACAGGGCCTTAAGATGAATCTGTTCCTAGCCCCCAAACCCCTTCCAGTAACTCTTGAGAATTTTAGGCTTATATTTCTGTGTATCTAGTTGTGTGTGTAAATACAATTTCGGCCAACTAAACGCGGGATTCGATGACTACTGCTGCCAGTCAATTTCGAAGACGCTAGCCAGGGAACTCTGCTTGGAGTGGGGTTTCTCCAATCCGTAACTGAGACTCCAAATATCCGTGGTGAAGATCAGACCCTCTCCTGCATTCAAGCGCATCCGCAAGCTGGGACATAAGTCCTTATCGCAGGGATCCTTTGGATGGAGAACTACATCAAAATGACCACTGAGTTGCTGCATGATAACCAGGCCACGAACGTAAATCTCCGCTTGCTTTCGCTTTTGCTGATGGACTGCCAGCAACCAGCTGGAGTAGTATGGAGCCAGGTGGAAAGGGTAGTAGTAGGGACGTTCCAGAAACAGGCGAGAGGACTTCACCGCCTTCTTTTGGCAGTTTCTCAGTTGAAGATGCCAAGGCCCAGAGAAGTGAATCTTCTCCACAGCCGCCTGCAGGTTAAACAATTTTCTCAACAGCAAACTACTGGAGACATCACAGGGTTCACTATCTAGCCACTGAGGTGATTTCTTATTTATAACCTCCAGGAGTTGACGGACATCCATTTCCAATCCTGCATCTGTTATAATAACTGGCAATCCCCTTTCTAAATACTCAGACTCCAATGTTGAGTAGGTTATATTCGAAGCAGTGGAAATTCCCTCTGAATAGAAAAAAGATCTAAGACTTTAGGGTTAATCTTTAACCGAACACAACTTACCCAACGTTTCACAAAGAGCACAGTTTTGCCAAAGGGTTTTATCTTTTCCCAGTGGAGGTGGCTTTTCCTGAACAGATTGATCCCTTAGAATCAAACACTTGGCATTATAGTAAGGTGTCCAATCCCAGAGAGGGAGGATCTGGATGAGCAGCAAACGTCCTATTGCACTCAACCACCAAACAAAAGTGTCGCTCAACAGCCAAAGCAAATAAACCAAGACCAGGGGCAATAGGATTAAGCACCATTTTCTAATTCTAGCCATCCGAATTCTCCAAATTAAGGGCTGACATATATCCAGCATTTCCTTGCTGGAAAACTCCTGTCTTCCGCAGTCCTCAAAGAACACTTTAAGCTCCTCCTCCATGTTCTTAACGCTTTCCCAACCAAAACCTAAATGAATCGTTTAAGCCAGGAAATTTAACGGTTTCTGGCTTCGCACATGCGCGCGATAAGCAATTTCCTTCAGGGAAAACCTAATTTTCTAACTCATTGCGCGCCCAGATGTGCATCTGGGTGATAAGTGGCTCAAAAGAAGTTTCTACCAGAGGAGGGAGTGCTACCATATTGAGCTTTAAGTATTTATTGCTTGAAATTGAAAAAAAATTGAAGGAATGAATAGGAGATATGTGTGTACGTTCATTGCGGTTTTCAGGCAGAAGGGAGCACCTTTGTGCTTTAGTTGTCCTCTCCGGGAGGAGGAGGTCCGCCACGAGGTGGCTTGCACTTGGTGAAGAACTCACGCACCTCGGTGCACTCTTGGGAATCATTGCGAATGGAGTCGGGGCAGTTCTTCATCAGATTCCGGAAGACACATCCCATTAGATGACCGGCATCATGAGGACAAATGGGCAATCCGGGAGGTGGAGCGGGACGAGTAGAGGGTAGATTGGCCTCGAACTCCGCAACCTTGGTGGCGCAGGTGGTGAAGGCTTGCGTGGCCGTGGTCTGCAAATCGGAGCTGTCCTTGTAGACCACCTCCAGGTAGCTCGTAAGCTTGCCCTGATCCAGATTCCGATTTTGATAGATGCCGGTTTCGTTAAAGATGCAGGAGAAGAGGCACTGAAAGGGGGTAATGCGGGTCATTTGGTTTCAACAAATCCATCCCAGAGGTATTCACAGGTGGCGGGTGAGGATGATGATGGCGACGCTTGCTCTCCATAGATCCACTATCCGTCGGCGGCGACGGGGTCACATCGAACTGAAGACACTTCTGCTTCAACTCTGCGGTAACAAATTCCGGCATGGGACAGCAGGTTTTAGGATTCACAAACGGTGGTCGCTTGCTGCAGTCCACATCAGCCGAAAAAGCTGCATTCTGTTAATGGATTAGTTGCAGTTGAACTCGGATCGCGTGATACCAAATAATCATACCAGGCAGAACCCGAAAACGAGCAAGAGAAGCTGCGATTTGGAAGGCATTTTCGGTTCGGCGGCTCAAAACGAAACTGATTCCGCAACCGACATGGAGCCACAATTTATAGAACGAACAGAACGCTCGAAAAAACTCAGTCATTGATATTTGATTAATATTATGTAAATATGTAGTGTATGAGCAGCGTGTGCAAGTCAATTAACTTTTTTTTGCCCATTCACATTAGTTTGGTTGCAATTATTTCAATTATCAAGCAACTCGGCAAAGGGCTCACATACGTATGTTTCTTTTATCTTCTGATCTACTTTCACACTCAGTTACAGTTCTTTGAAAATTATCTCAAAATTACACAGAGGTAGCCAACTTACAATACGATTTAATTTCCACAAAGCTTCCCTTCAGACAGAACAATGGATATAATTTGAAAATGTTTTTATAAAACGAATTAAGCCAATAATTACAATTAATGTGACACTAAAAAATTGTGAAATACTGATGAGCGTGAATAATGAGTAAACAGATTAAATGGTTCTATTTTCGGGGTTGTGATTGTTAAATCCCCCAATTCGTAGAAATTCGTATAATTTTGCGCTTGGTACTACCAACAATTTAATGTACAGAAAGCACTCAAGTCCTTGCTGAAGCTTTAAGCCACGTTTAGTGCCAGTTGAGTTCATCCTTTGAGGGTCAGTTGTTGGACGGCCTCTTTGACAGTGGGATATTGAAACTTAAAGCCGGAGGAAAGGGCTTTCTGGGGCTTCACCTTGGCTCCACTTAAGACTAGAGCTGCGCGCTCCTTTCCAAAGATTGCGTGGACCACAAATTCGGGAACGCCAAAGAGGCAAGGTCGATGAAGCGCTTTGGCAAAGGCCTGACAATATAAAAAGTTGTTATATAAATGGTTTACAACAATATGTCGGTTATTACTTTGCTAAATTCCAAATTGCTGGCTATTTCAGGTGCCACTGCATTGACCACTCCTGGCACAGGTTTCTCTATGATGTGCTGTATCAGACTGCACAGATCTATCATGTGAATCCAGGGCATTATCTGCTTGCCGTTGCCCAACGGACCGCCCACTCCCAGCTTGAAGGGCAGCCACATGGACTGAACCATTCCACCGCCATGTCCCACAACAGCTCCGCACCTTAGGATGGTCTGGAAAGGATTATAATCTTGCATTATTGGCTTTTATGGATGCATTTATTACAAGTAACTCACACTTCTACAGTCTCGTTCGTCGCCAGTGCCGACCGCTTCCTCCCAGGCCAAGCACAACCTGGACATGTAGTCGAATCCCTGCACCTGGTCGTCCTCGTTATAAATCTTCGACTCCGACGGCTTATAGTGGCTCACCCCGCAGAGATTAACAAAGGAGGTAACCTGGGGTGCCGACTTGATGGCCTGAGCTAGAGTTTTCGAGGAATTAACGCGGGAGTTCCAAACGTTTTGCTGGAATCCTGGTGTCCACCGCCTTGTTGGATCCAAGGTGTTCTGACCAGTGGCGTTTACCACGGCATTAACGGATCCAGGAATCCCATTCTTCTCCAGTTCGTGCCAGGTGATGCGCTTGGGACCAGGCATCCGGGAGATCACAGTCACATCGTAACCCTTTTGGTTCAAATGATTCGCCAGATTGCGGCCAATGAAGCCGGTGCCGCCACCTGAGCGAGAGTCCTGGTTAGTTTGCCTGGCCAGGGGCCTTGGATTTCCCCTAAGAACCTACCTATCAAAGCGTGCCTCGACATTTTTGGCCGAATCTTAAGATCTCAGAACCGTTTCAAAACTTTTGCGAATTACGACACTCTCTGCAGAACGTAATGTAATCAAAAAACAGCTGATTTGCGGAAGGTTGCCAGAAAGTTACATTTGATTGGGCGGGTCTGTGCTGCCACTTATCATATGATTTCAAAACTAGTGCGCTAAAATACAAAATGTTGTCAACGAATAAGTCCTTTTAAAGAACCTTTTCTTAATATAATGTAGGTTGTAGTCATGTTCTCCCTAAAATCAATTTACATTTTGAAAGTAAAGGGACAACTCGAGTGGCTGATGATTCAGAGGTAAGAGTCCTTTACTATAGCTTTACAAGATATCAAAACCGGAGCGTAACGGGATAAATCTAGCCAAATTGGCATAACTGTGATGTTTATTTAATGAATTTAATTTTAAACGAATAATTACTATTTATATTTTGGATTTCGAGTTTTTGAGTCTTCCGCATGCAGTTTTGAAAGTTAGAAAAAGTAGAATACAAGTTAATCAAAAATGGACTTGAGTGTTTTACTATCGTAATCGTTCAATGAGTTTCGGGCCGCCGTCTGCGAAGGCTTTTAGTGTCACTCCCGCGCAGCATTTAAAGTGCACCGATAAGCGGAATAAAGGGCAGACACTAAACTTAAATTGCACGGCGCTTATCGCTTTAAGTTGAGCGTTAAAAGGAGCAGACCCCGAGATCCCAATAAAAGAGCAGAGTTAGCATAAAACGCCTTTGGCCTTAGCCAAATAAAACACAAGTGGCTGTGACGCTTTCACTCCACAGGCCAACTTGTATAGAGATGCAAATACATATGCACATGTAGAGTGGCAGACGCATGTGGCCAAGTTAATGGCCAAGTTCAAGTGCAGCAGACGACATAACGTCATATCCTTCGCCTCGCTTCGCTGCCTGGTGTTTTGTTTTCGTGGCAAGTCATTGGAAACTCATTTGCATACACAGTGCCGGCATTAACCAGCCACCACTTTCTCCTCCTCCTCCTCCTCCTCTTCCCCTTCCTCTTCCTCTTGTTCCTCCCCCGTTGCCAAAATGGGCGTGGCTGGCTTTTGGGCAAAGAATTTGCATTAAGCACTGCAATTATTGCGCTTCATTGAGTGAGAAAGGCAAAGTGATGGCGGCATAAAAAGGATCTGGAGCCATAATTACGAGCTCTGTCGTTTTTATCTAGTCCTGCAATCAGGCAGTAATCACGTACCGCCAACTGAGTAACGGCCAACGAACGTGCATAGTATGTTTGTAGTTTGAGGGAAAAAACTAAATATCGGGCTGATATTACTATCTGTGTGTTTTAATTTCCACAAAGGCTGTCTGGAGGTTTTGTAGTAAAATTTAAAAATATGTATGTTTACATTTATTGAAACCAAACATGTAAAGAAGAATCCTAAACAAATATGATTTTAATATTCTGTCTTTACTAAGAATTTAAATTTATTGAAATAAATACAGATGCCTTTAAGCAAACAGATTAAAGTAAAAATTAATCTAATTTTATAAAATATAAATATCAATGAAAAATCATACCGCTAGAAAATTTCTTACATTTATTGTATTAAATGCAGATGCATTTTCTTTTGTTAAAAAACTTTATGTTTGTATTGTTACTCCTTTTTTTCAATGACAGTAACCATCTATACTTGAATACATTGGATACTTTGGTTAATGGGCTCCGCCAATGGAACTTTAATTTGCACATCGCTTTAGCTTCTGATAAAAGCAGGAGTGGAGTGGAAAAACTTTCTAGACAAAAGGAAAATATGAACACGATGATGGAAAGGATCTGTGGAAAAAGTTGTCTCGTGTCTCGCTGTTTGAGTTGCACTTCCGGTGCAAATGCAGATACACAGATACGGATACTCGGATACTTGTATCTTTTGCCCACTGTCGGTTTGGGGGACAAACTTCTTTGTTTGTTTTATTGACAAACCGACAAACAGACAGACCGACGGAGCCGCAACAAAGTTGCAAAGTCAATGGCACAGCGCAGACGAAAATCGGAATATGTGCATATATCCATATAGTATCCAGTTTGCACCCATCCATCCATCCGTTCAACCATCCACCCACTGGAGTGATTTGTGTAACATGTGGGTGGTGCTGGCATGGATTGTATGGATTGCATGGATTGCACGCCACATCTCACTGGCCATTGACACACCGCACACTCCATGACAGTTTTATGTGCGGTCTGTGTCTCTCTTTTTTGCCGCCTTGTGGTTGTCTTTTCCGGGGATCAGGGATCGGGATTGGGATTGCAAGCGGGTTGGGACTCGGATTGGGAGAGGGACTAAAGGAGGGATCTGGGATTAGCCGGGTCTGACAGTTGGTCACCTCGGTGGCACCGCATAAAACTTAATTCTGTCATAATTGCGATGCAGCTAACAAGTTTTGCAATCCGGACTTGGGATGGGACTCACAAAAACTAAGGTACATTTACTTATATGTTGTATTAAAAAATAAAATTGAGGTTTTTAAAAGGCATCTATGTTTTTATTATTATACATTAATGGGTTTTCATTTTTCATTTCAATAATAAAAAATCTTACGAAAATCTTAAAGCAGTATTGCCTTTCTTTTTTGCTTTAAGTAAAATATGTTTAGATATTTCTTATAAATGTATCTATTGGTTTGTTTATACCACTATTAAACTCCTTTTTGAAGTAAATAAGAAAAACAAATATTAAATTGTAGATTATAGAAAAAAGTATTTTCTAAAAAAATGTAATTCACCGTTTAAAAGGAAGAGCGAATACAGAAATCTTTTTAGTGTCTTGAAAAACCGAACCGTAACTTATGCAACTAGATGGCAGCTGGATTTCGGTTTTAAATAATTGAAAATCCCAGAATGCAGGAAAGTTCAGGGTTCAAACTTTTCCCCAGCCGGCAAGAGGAGACAAACTATGTGGAAAGTTTCGTTGATTGCTCTTGACGGTAATTGAAATTTGGCCAGGTCAGGCCGACTAATTGGCGTTGGCCAAGGTGGCCAAGGTGTTGCGATGCTGCGGTTATCTCCGTTACATTAGCTCGCCAGCTCAAACCACCAAGTTGGCCATAATTGAATTCACAGTTCGGGGTTCCTCTGACCTCCGAAGTTTTTGCGTCGTTTCGATGCCTTTTTTTCTGCGACTTCTTTAAAGGAAAGTTCAAAAGCATCGTAAACTATCTGCGAGGCGCACATATCGCGCAGACAATTTGTCTGCCATGTAATATAAAACTGGGTCAGACGAACTGGCGGCGCCGCCAAAAGATTTCGGCAGACAGCGTCTTGGTGGTCGCCAATCCCCATCCCCATCCCCATCCTCATCCTCGTCCTCCAATCTCGACCAATTTAACCCCCTTCCAATGCTTAAATTGTGACGCATCTTTACTTTTTTTTTTTTTTTTTGGCGAAGAGGTAAGGCGAGAAGTCAGGAAAGTGGGTCAAAAGTCGTGTAACGCCAGTTAGTCTCATCAATGTTTACAACGATGTTACCTCGCTGGAATCACGGTTAATGTTTGTTTTTTTGGGGAAATGTTTTCCCGCTTTTCCGCCGAAGTTGCACCATTACCCACCAAAAATAGATGTGCAAATAAGCACTTCAAAAGGCACTATTTTGTCAACGGATGCTGCTTAAAAGGATCTGCTCTGTGCACTTCTGACAGTTGGGATCTCCCAAACAGCAGATCAAAGGGAAAACTCTGGAAAATCGAAATTAGATTGGACTCGGCGACTCGTGGCCGGCGTTTTCTCTATATGAATAATGCAGCCGGACGGGACGGTCGCATATCAATTAATGGAAAAGCGAATTACGCTGGCGAGCTACTTGGCGTTCACCCACTTTCCCGGCTCCGCAAACTCGTTATCCATCAATATCGCTGATAGCCACAAACGGTGAATGGCTAAGATTGAAAAGCCCAAAGACTGAAAACAAAATGCACCTGCAACGCTGAACGGCAACCCGGCGGCCCCGTCGATTTCGATGTGAGTTTAAAGCGATTGCGATGCGCCGCAAGTGGGTCCACTTTTGCTGCCCCAGACTCACCTGTTTTACCATTTTACCACTGGCAAAGGTTGCTAACTTGCCAGGTTGCCAGCTGACTCCCCAACTCGGGTTCCATCTTCGGAGCTACGGAGCTATGCAATGCAGCACTCATCAATCAAAGGTAATCGAAAGGACCAAGTCGAGCTGCTGGAATGCCTAATTGCAGCTTCAGCGCAAGTGTCGCCAAAACTTGGTCTCAAATGCACAGGGAAAAATATTGTAGGGCCTCAAAGTTAACAAAAGTATAATTAAAAAATTTAAAATACATTTTTTGTATATTCAAGTTCAATTCAATTTCTTTCGCTTGTTCATTGTTCACACAGAAAAGGAGAATACTTTGCGTAAATAGACATTTTAAAAGTGCCAAGTATTGTGTAACTTTAAAATATTTAAGAAATAATTTCAGTAAACATTGAATTTAACTGTATTTTTCGGATTGGATATACAAAAAAAAAAATTATGTTAAGTGTATCTTTTAATTAAGTTAAATTATGAAAGTTATAAGCAAACAAGACTTTAACAAATAATATAATAATAATAACTCATTTAAAATTTTTTTACGTGTTTTAAAATTCGAATTTTGTAACCACCGCAATTATTCAGAATGTTTCATATACTCGTAAGAAATATATATATGTTAAACACGATATTTTCCCGTGCAGCAGCTGCTCCCTTGGGAATACTTGTAAATTGCTTTAATTATTTAGGCATTTTTACGGCATATTCAAGTGACAAACCTGCCTCCTTCCTAAAAGCGACTGCCAAGGCAGGTGAACAGGAATAATTCACACCTGCAGCCTGCCTACGTGCAATTATTGACGTTCAGTTTTGTAATAAAATTAAAGTCCCAGGCCGGCGACCTAAAATTAATTAGGCTTTTAATATTTATGCTTTTTATGTTTTGCATTTGGTGGCGACAGGTCGCCAAGGACGCGAGTGACAGGGAAGCCAGGTCGCAGGACCAAGGACCAAGGACCAAGGACCAGAAACACTTACAGGATTCGTGTTCGTGTGTGCGGGCAATTAATAAGCCAAAAAGGCGACCGTTAAGTCGGGGAGTCCGAAGTGCTGTCCTGCGAAAGGGTGCCAGATAAGTATCTATTATAAATATTCATACTATATGTCGGCGGCGGCCACAGACGACATTAAGCCATGTCCGACAAGTCCGACGATCCCATTTCAGAACTGAACGCTGTCGGTATTTCATTCAAGGAGCCGCAGTCTTTCAACCGATTTTACTTTCCATGTTGCCGGTCCCTGGGGCTTTACTCCTTTAACGGCCTATGCTATTCTTCATTCATATCAAACTCGACAGAAGAAAAGGGGTTTCTCATTTGCATCTGAGGCACCCAATTCCTGGGGCTCAGCTAAAAATTAACCACAGCTGAAAAGTTGAGTTTATTGGGTGCTATGTTGCCTCAATAAAAAGCTACATAAAAGCAAACATTTAATTACCATTTTATAGTCAAATACAAAGAAATATTCTGAAAAGGTTTGTTTTTTATGGTGTTAGCAAATATAATTTGTTTTTAACCAATAGATTTTATTTAATTTCACTCTTAAAATCTTACCTTATTCAGTTAATTAACAATATTTTGTAATCTTGGTAGGGTATTTTATTTTTAAATCGATGTACATATGAGTGTAATTATTTATTTGAGAATTCAATTATAGTCTTTGTTTTTTGGGATTATGCTTATTATTTTTTTTGCTTTACTCGATCTCATAACTAGTGAAGTAAACTAAAATTGGCTGAAAATCAAGAGACAAAATCTTGCATTTGAAACCTATGTAGGATATATACGTTCCATGATCAAAATTAACGATAGACCTTCAATTATTTGGTAGTGACATGGCCTCATCTGATCATTAGGTAATTCCAGAGCGCGGCAAAGTGCAATACTGCTCCCTCAAAAATGTGTTTTGGCCAAAAATGGGCGGCGACTTTCACTCGTCTCGTTTCGGTTATCGATACACAACAATCGCGGCAATCGCCTCAATCGCCTCAATCGACGTTGAAGCAGCGAAATTAGCGAACCGCAAACAAGACTTCAAATTACCTGCATTCATCCCGCATCAGATACAACCGATGGATATTCGCACCAGGCTGTCAGATTTCTTGGCGAGCGGGGAGAGTCGGCGGTGCTAAAGAAAAGTATATATTATATGTACGGAGTATGGATCGTATCGATTGCAGTCGACAGCCGTTCACAATGGATCAGCCAGTAAATCAGCAAAGAAATAAAAAGAAAGACTGCTGAATTCGAGAGGAGAAAGAGGGAAAGAAGAAAGAGCAGTTGCATTGGGGCAAACATCCGCTTCTCCGACTTCGCCACCGCGTGGCACACTTCCAACTGTGGCGCATAATTAAAACGCAACATAAATAAACATAAACACACATAAAGCCGTGATAAATTGGCCAGCGACGCAGCGGAAATGTGCGTTAATCCAATTAAATGGGCCATTTGCATGGCTCAAATGCGAAAATGTTGTTCATTAAAATTGCCAATACTTGGCATCTAATTCAATTTGCTTACTGGCTGCAGCTGCAGTTTCAGCGCTTGGCAAAGGACCCTTGTTTTGTCGGGGGTCAGTGCCGGATTTGGGACAATGTCCTGCCACCAACTCATCGTCTCTGTCTAGTCTCTGTCTCAGCCAGCTTGTTGTTTGTTTTGGCCTCGACTCCCGTTCATTGTTTGGGTGCTTTGGCCTCAGACCGCTTTTCTTATCACAGTGGTTGCTGCGATTTTTTTTGCGCAGAGAGGAAAATGATTTCTACGAAAAGAAAAAGTAAAACATAAATACATATTTGGAAAATAAATAGTAGTAAATAGTAGTAAATAGTAGTAAATAGTAGTAAATAGTAGTAAACAGCAGTAAATAATAGTAAATAGTAGTAAATAGTAGTAAAAAGCCTCACGGGACAACCATTGGGCTCAAGGACAAAAAACAATACAAAAATGTGGACTTATTCGAATAAATTCAGAAAAAGAAATGTCCAATAATTAACATTAATCCCAGTGTATTATTAGTATGCGTATATCTACATAAATAATTTTTTGTCTGCATCATGTAAACACCCATTTGAACAAATCAAAGTCAGCGGCAGGCGAGAGTAGCAGTGGGACTCCCAATTCATTCCCCCAAATGCGAGTGGCACGTGCCGCTTGGAAGATAACACGGGCACAGAGGCCGAAATCCTTGCAAATAAACTGCAGCGTAATGGGGCCCATTGTACAGTGCAAACTCTGTTTGCACAGACGCCAGCCACCCTGGGGAATATGCTCCTTGAAAAACAGAAGGGGGGAAGGGGGAGGCGAACGCGACCCCTCAAAAGTTTAACTTGTTCAATTTGCATGAGTCGCGGACCGAAGTATAAACGATACTTTGCCCTAAAACTTTGTCCATAAAGCAGCTACAAAAACAGACAGAACCACATGGACAGAGGGGAATAATGAGCACGCGTCCCTTTGTCACCATCACGACACACATTCCACGTCCATGTCCATGTCCTTTTGCTGTTAAGCCGCCACCAAAGCAAACGGACACGTGCGCCCAAGAACAGAGAGGTAGTTTATGAAGAAAGGGGGTTCATGGGGGTTTAAGGACCACCAAGATGTCACCTTAAAAAGAACCTTTTGATTCTACATTTTTTTTTTTAATATTTCACTGTTTAATCTTGAAATACTTAACATTTTTAGTATTCCTAAGATATCTCTGAAATCAAAATTAGTATTTCAAAGAATACTACACCCCTGTAAAAAATATTGGCTTGCAGAGGAGATTTTTTCTTTGGGGTGAGACACATTTGCTGATGGATTGTTTACAAGAAGCCGAGTCCTTTGAAAACGCTTTCTAATGGCCGGCTTTCAGTTTTTGTGGGGCTTCCTTCACTGACCTTGGCTGCAACCCTGGCAGCGGCCGAGAATTTGCATATTACGCATTCGTTGCGAAGATGGCAACCCTCCTGTGGTGACAATTAATTTCGTACAGCTCATTAGGCCATGAGAAACTTTCGCCGAGGGTGGCTTGAAAATATGGATTTGAAACCTGTCATTCCGGCAAATGGGGGTCTGTAAAAGTTAATATTTTGGGTCCCTTCTGTTTTGGTAGAATCTATTAGCCAGGTGGCAAGGTCAATTAGGAGAACTCCAGCTGGCAACTCGTATCTCATAGTAGTTGCAACTCTGTGGGTGACAAACAAAGTAAACAAAGCCCATTGAAAGTTGAATAATTTAAACGAAAGATGGAAAAAGAGCCCAAGTCCATTAAGGAGGACTCTTCCTTCGAGGAGGCCCTGCCTGAGACCAAGGTGCAAGAACCGGAGGAGAGCGGCAGTTCGAACGGAGAAACCGACGAAGAAGGTCAGCAGCAGGATCAGAAAAATGTGGACTCCATCATCGCGGAGATGGACGAGAAGGAGGACAAGGAGCAGGAGGAGGCAGGTGGCCAGCAGAAGCAAAGCGAGGAGGACCTTCGCAAGATGTATGGTGAGTGGCTTGCCCAGGTGATAGGTTCATAAATATCCCGAAAACTTCTTCCCCAGAACTTAGTCTCCTCTCGCCCGCTGCCATGGCAGCTCACATCCAGCGCTTGGAGAAGGAGGTGTACGAGCTGAGCCAACTGGAGGCCAGGGAGCTCAACCGGAGCAAACACCTGCGCATCTTCTGCAATTCGCGTCGTCGAGCCAACAAGTGAACGAGTCACAGGCAAATCTGCTTACCGAGTGTTCCACGATGACTTTGATGGTATCGAATAAAGGGTCGTCAACGAAAGTGACTCCGTCTGCCATCCATTTCCATTTCATCCATTTCCAGTGGCAAACACATAGCTTCACATGGCCCAAGTGGCCAGATGGGCAATAGTCGGGAGTCGGGGCTAAAGTCCCATGAAAGCCGCTTACAGGGCTTAATTTCTCGAAATGGACATGCCATCGACATTCGCCCACGACTCTGCCTCCATCCACAGTCTACTACAGTAAAACTTATGTGGCATCAATTTTATATAGCCCTTTTTGTATAGAAAAAATTATTTTTCTAGATATCTATCCATTCTATTTGTTAGAGTTTTAACAGATTTATTTTTATCACAATATTTCACTCTTTATTGTTTTATACTATTTGCTAATGATGAACGCATCTTTTTTTAGTTTTATCAAACTATACTTTTTAAACACATAATTAAATTGTTTTTTATTTAACCTTTAGGAGAGTTTATCTGTTAAATTTTTAATCAGTATTTTAAAATGAACACTCGATAAGTAGAAATATAGTTATTAAGAAAGTAAATCTAAATTTCCGTGTTTAAAGAGGCAGATAGAAATACCGAAAGATCAATTAACCTTTAATTACAATAGTAGTTATAATAATAGTTATAATAGTAGTTATTGGTTCGTGTCTATAAGGTTTTCCTGTACTAACTAGGAAATGCATTAAATACGTGGATGGTGTGAGCAGTGCGTCTGGGATTGGGCATTAATCGTGCATTAGAGTCCAGAGTCCAGTTTTCCGGAGTTGTGGCATCCGCTCCGATGGGCTTCCTGTGCGCTTAGTGGCCGCTCCCTTCGGTCCTCCTTCGGTGGAGTTCTGCGGATCGGGGGCTTCTGGGGAGTAACTCAATTCAAAGCAAATAGTAGCCGGTTTATCACATGGATTTGTGCTAATTTTTCCATTTCCTCGCTCGCCTGGGGAGTTGTGAACCCAATCCGCATCGGAGTTTGTGAGCTGGGAGTTTGCCCGGCTCTCGAGTTTCCCGAGTTCTTAAGTTGATTAAATTTCACGCGATTTGATTCGATTTTCAATTATACGAGTGCCGAACACCGAGTGCCTTAAATCCATTATGCTAAACAAATACGTCTCCCGTATTTTCGGTTTCTACTGCGTGTCAGTTATCAATGTTCGACCAAAAAAAAAAGGCAAAGCCCTGGAAAACTGGAGGATGGGGTAAAGCTTTTTGATGCCCGTCCAAACAACTTCCTGGCATGTCCTTTCGACTGTCTGCCTGCCTGTCTGTCTGACTGTCGGATGATGGTGATGCAGTCGAGGATATCTACTTCCCCTTTCCAAAAGAAAATGCTGTTTTCGCTTTCGGTGGTTGCGGGTGCAAATGTTTATCGGCTTCAAAGGGATTCCCCCCGTTCAGTTTTGGCGATTTGGGGTTTGTCACAACACGGCATTACCCAGACTCCGCCGCAAAACGACATTTGAATGCAACATGTGTCCAGGATTTGGGCTTTGTTAATTTCCAACCCTCGAGACCTTAAGGGTGGAACGCCCCGCCGACTAATAGAATATGCTCATTATGGGATTCCGAGCTGAGTGGGTTTCACTGTTCCGCGCATAACTCAAACTAAATTATTATAAATGAATTCATAATCTTCCTCTGCACATCATAGTAACTCCTCCTGAGCACTTGCGAGGTGAAAGGGGTGGAACCAAGTCCCCAACTCCCCCGAAAGAATGTCGAGTATTCAAATATGACCGAAAGGATTCGCCATTTGTTGGAGTGACTGCACTGATTGAATTCACTGCGCAGTTTTTCCGAAGGGGTGTGATTTTTTGGGGAATTTATTACACTTTTATAACTGCATATTTTAATGGAATGTGTAAGTCGAAAAAAAGAGTCCCGTTTAAGGCAATTCATAAAATGTAATCAGCTAAACATTAAATAAAATCCACCAATAATTAGATTTTTTGCTGAAGGTAGAGTTTTAAATTGAAATTATTGAATCCATTTTAAGTGTAATTTTTTTTGGCCTTGTTACACTTTTATACTTACATTTTAATGGAATGTGTAAGTCGAAAAAAGGGAGTCCCGTTCTAGGCAATTCATAAAATGTAATCAACTAAACATTAAATGAAATCCTCCAATTATTACATTTTTTATTGAAGGTAGATTGATGAAGGTAGTAATTGAAATTATTGAATCCATTTTAATTTAGTCAATATCAAAGGAAATTCCGATGAATGGAAATTGTATACACGCAGACACATTTGTATAGTTCAATGATTTTATTGATTGGGAAAATCAGGCAGGTCTGTAATTGAATTAAAGGTTGCTGTATAGTTTGCTGTTTAAAGTAGATAAAATCATAACCATTAAATTATAAAACTATATTATGAATTAAGTAATATAAAAACTGGATTCCATAACTTCTTACAACTCGTACAATTTAGCTTTTATATAAATTACTAAGTTCCTATTGTTAAGAATTGGGAGGCTATTTTTTGAAGTTAAATCTTTCAGAAATTGAGAGTTGTTTTGTTTATAAGTAGTAGTGAAGTTAAATTGTATCTTCTGGTTTTAGAGAGTAGTAAAGTTTTTTAACTCACTGTAGTTAAGTTGTAGTTGTGCGAAAGACACCTGTCTGGGAATGCGTTTAATTACCTGAAACGAGCGATAGGAGCATACATTTTATTATGGTTAAGTGCCAGCAACTGCTACGCATTGTATGCTAATTTATGCAAATCGCGACACAAATCATATCAATTCCTCTTGCATTTAATTGCGCCCTTTCCCCATGGTTATGCTGCCACTGTGGAAGCATTAAATTAGCCAAGTGCAGCATAAATTTCACACCGAAAATAGAGGGAAACATTGCGCTCCCAGGGCAATTCACTTGGCTGAAGCCATTGTCCCCGCTTTTCCGAGGGAGGATGGAAAACTTGGAAAGGGGAGAGGGGGAAAATGGAGGGACAGACACAAAGGAAATCCCGAGCCAAGTTCGCTAAACTCCACGGCATCATCTGCAGGCCAAACAACAAAAACAATAACAACAAAGGGAGCAGAGTTGCTATATCCTAGAGAGCAGACAAAGGATAAACAGATTCCTGGCCTCAGCATCCTTTTTCTGAGCTGTGTTTATCAAACCGAAGTCGTGTTTATGTTGGGATGTCGGGTTCCACCTGATCCGAAGGTTTCACTTATATTTTCTATTCAAATATTCCGAGTGCTCATTTGGGCGCCGTTTGAGATCCCATCCCGAAATTCTGGGGGGAAATGGAGCTCTGGTCTCCGGGCAGGTTAAAAAACTCATTAGGAAAATCCTTGGGCGACGGAAATTAAATAAAATCCTATTAGGCGCTCTATTTGCTGCTGTGCCAGTGGGAGGGAAATGGGAAATGGGGAGTGGGGAGTGGGGAAAAGTGCGGTCTGGAAAAACTCCGCACTTAATTTATGTGCACGCATCTCGTTCCCGTTACGACATTTCAGCACAGAACGAAATCTAATTATGATAGATAGCTGCTCCCAGTCGACTTTTCCTCAACCCCCTCCCCCTTCTCTTTCCCCTTCGGAAAAACTCGCGTGCAGGTGCATTTTGTCACTTGGCCGACTGACAACCGAAGATCTGCCTTAATAAAGATGGAAAAAGTGTGGAGGAGATGAGCGAGGGATCTGCGGGTTGGAGGGGGTGGGGCAGCATCTCGGAGGGGCGTCACATCTATATCCTAACACATTGCTGATCAAAAGAAATCCGAAAATGCTTTGATTTCACAGCTTTTCGTTTGCGATTTCGCATTTCCACTTCCGCATACGCAGCTCTTTCCACTTGTGGATTATGTGGCAGGAATTATCATAAAATATAAACTTAATATTTTTCTTTTAATTTTGTGGCATTTTAGAAGCTCCAGATTGAATTCTTTTTAACAATATTAAAACGCTGATAACACAAACATTTTAACAACAAATATTAGTTATATATATAATTAAAGAATTATTAATTTTGATAATAAATATTAAATTTTAATTTTAGAGATAGAAAAATATTGATGTACTTTACAGTAAATTAACAGATTAAGTATACGTAGTATAAGTAAAATTATGAATTAGGAATATATGAGTAATGAAGTCAACATAAAATGCCTGCAATTTTTTATACAAATTTTTATTTATTACCAAATGGTAAAGGGTAAAGTAAGTTTAAAGTAACTGATATGTTTATATTTATATGTCTGCCCTGCAAAGGCAAACAAATGGAACTCCTGCAGGATGAGTTGGCCAAATGAAATTTTCGACAATTTGGCAAATGTTAACTTTGCTAATTTGCATAAACCGCAGCCGCCACAACAAAAGAAGAAGAAAAAAACGGAAAGCCGTCAAAGCCAACCCCCAAGAAGGGCAACACAAATTATAGAAAACTGCTGGCGAATGCAACATTTTCGAAAAGGAGTCCTCGTGGGGCTAGGAGCGGTGGAAGGGGCAGGGGTTAGAGCCAGACCAGACGACGACCAACTGACTGAGTCCTGTGGATCCTGGCGGCTAACTTTCACTGGACGACTCACCAGTGAACCGTAATCCCCAGCGAAGGCTGCCAGACACGTGCTCACGACCCGGCAATTTGCGTGTCTGGGTGTGCGAGTGTTGCTCTCCCTGTGTGTGTGTGTGTGCTGTGTCTGTGTCTGAAGGCTGCTGTTGTGTGCGTCTGTGTGGGGGCGTTGCAAGAAGGACGATCCAAGGAGACCTAGACTAAAAAACAGCGCCACAATCAGTGAGAAAAATATAAAGTTATACAGATTACACTCGGCAATCAGAACTGCATTTCCAGAAATTAAATTTCGATTTAAAAATGATTTAAGTTTTGAAATTAATCTGGAAAATTGTTTGTTGACCGGTGTTATTCCCGAAATACATTTAAGTAACTAAACTATTAATCGCACATACATATTTGCTTCAGAAAAAGGTTTATAAATTAAATTTTAAATACAATTTTAAAGCAATTCACATAAAAAATCTAATTATACAAAAATTAATGTATTAGAACATTTACGATTTTCCATCAGATAAATAAGTTCTACCTGGATCTATTCACTTAAGAAAATTTGTATGAGATCGTATTTCATTTATTTTGTAATGATGCTTTCCTAAATATTTAAAATACAATCTTAAATTTAAATGTGTTTCTTTTATTTTAAGTGCATATTGAACCACAAATGTAAATGCAGTGTTGGCACTCCCCGCGTTTCCTTTTCGAGCGGAAGTGTATGCGATAATGATGGATTGTGTACAACAATGCAAGGGTCCTGCGCCAGCCACCACCCCCTTTTCCACCCAACCCCCTCTGCAAGCCACGAATTGTGGGCATTTGAGCGTGTCGCTATTGTGAGTTTTGAATAAGTTTTCGGCTAAATGATTTGATTATGTTTTGGGGATAGTGGCAAAAGAGAAATAGTGAAGGGTGGGAAAAATTGTAGTAGTAGTGAAAAGGAATTATTTTTGTGTGGTTTTCAAGTCAGGGTTATTAAAACCGACTTAAATATTATTGCTTTTTGCTCGGACTTCCAGTCTTATACAGTCTTCTACACAAACTAGACTTATAAATTTAATGCAGTTTTCAGCTTTCTCTTATAAAAACTCCCCCTTCACCAGAATCTCTCCAACTAGAAAGCCGGCAACTTCGCTCTTGCTCAATCAGCTGATGCGGCGAATTCGTTACAGTTCGCTACAGTTCGGGCGGCTCTCTCAGCGCTCTCGGGTTCTCTTAGAGAACTTAACGGACGTTGCTGGAGAAAACGTTCGCAATCATTGTAGTGCTAAATAACGGACTAAAGGACCCGACGAGACATATAGCCAACATCCATTCTACCATGCGAGGCAGCCACACTTTGCACGTCAATCGTCAACGAAACTTCGCCGCGCGCGGTTCACTCGATTTCCGGTCCGCGTTCGCTTAACTCAAACTGTTCGCCGGCATCGTTTGTTGTTGTTTTCGAATGTGGTGGTGTGTAGAAAAACGCGAGTGTGTGCGTTCTGCTGCAGCGGCACATAATTTTGCGCGTTTTGTGCGTTGACAGCTGCAAAAAGCAAGAGGCAAAAAAAAAGAGTGCAGAAAAGTGCAAAGCAAACGTCGACAGCAAAACAAACAACAAACAAACAAAGCAGAAGCCAAAAGAAACAACAAAACAGGCCCACACACACCTGTCGTTTTTGTTTGTGTTGGTGTTTTGGTCCCGGCAGCCTAACAAAAATAAAGATGCAAAAAGTGGCAGCAGGATAGCGAATCGAGATTTTCCGGCGAAATAGAGGAAGGAGCCTCCGAGAACACAAAAAAGAGAAGAAGAAGAGTGAGTTCCTATCGCCCAAGTTCAATGACTGCGGCCAGACTTAATGAGTTCCACCCTTTTGAACCGCTCCGAATGTCTGATAACAACAGGCGACAAAAACCCATTTACATATAATTATCTCGTAGTGCCCCCATCTCATCTGTTTTGCTTCCCATACAGTCCAACTTGCGTGAGAAACTACCGAAAAGTGTTTACCTTTTAGGGCTTTTCAGCAATTTGTTAGCTGCTTTTTGTTAAGAAAATTTGTCTACATTTTGTTGGTGGTCACAACTTTACAACTCTTTAACTTTCAATTAAGAGAATAATTATTTCCAATTGAAATGCCTTTAAAAAGTTTTTAATTTGTGTTTCGTCTTTAGCAATACTTAATTATCTCTTAAAATGCATGAAAACCTAATTTTGCTCATAAAAATAAATGAACCATCCTTGCATTTAAGACCTTTTTTATAATAACATTAATTTAATTAATTATGTTTATAATAATAATGTATAATAATATTATTAAAATAATAAAATTATAATTGTAATTCAACATTTTTAAAATGTACTTTATATCCATGTTTGAACATTCCTTAAACTAAATGTTTGGCTTTGTCCAAGTATTAATTTCCGAAAAGGCTTTTTTTCACAATCCTATATGCATTTTTTGATCTATTTAAAACGAAGTTGTAAACAATTATACCCACGAAAAAGTCATGACCGAACCCATAAACGAAGTTCACCACAGAAGCTGGAGCTTTTTCTTAAAAAATAACCTTTGTTGCGTGTCAAGCTACAGAAGTTTGACTGTGGTTATCAGTGCGGAATCAACCCTCTTCGACCATCAACTAATATGTAAATTCGAGCAGCTGTAGGCGCCGTTCGAAGATTTTCGCTGTCTATATTTGCTTTGTCCCTTAAATGAACTTGTCAATTGCTCAGTGATTGCCGTCAATTATCAGTGTCATCGATGCTATCTTCGGCTGATAAGCGTGCCGATAACGATAACGATTGGCAGGTTACGTGCCATAAACATTGGACTTCTTGCGGAAAGGAAATCGCCGTGCTGATTTCTATTTCGGTTTCGATTTCCATTCCACTTCCACTCCGCTGCCTTGCACAACTTTCTGGGGATCGGGCGTATGCGTAATATTATTGCGCATACGCCACATGGCGCCCCATCGATAAGAGCTCGCTGGTTATTGTTTATTGAATTTCGGTTTGTCATTGATTCAATTAATAATCCCAATGGGAATCGAAGTGGAATTGTGCATGGGAATGGTAGCTCAAATTGCCACCGTCTTCTGTTCGAAAGCGATTTCGCAACCCTAATGGCTCAATGAGTAATGGAAAGCGGAGAATTGCCTCCCCTGGCGCGTCGGAAAACGCATTTCTGATAAGATTAGGGCCGCATTTGTTCACTGGAAATTATTAATGAATGCTCCCCGGCCAGCTAAGCGAAATTCTGATGGTTCATTGCACAAACATTCACCCGAAACCAAAAAACAAAAAGAAAGAGGGGGAGAACTCTTCTCCAGCCTTGGAATTATGCAACCTTAGCGCCGATTGCCATAAAGAAAACTCGGTACAAACAAGTCAACACCGAAGACGTGGCTCTGACTGTAATTTCTAGCATTTTAATAACGGCTGTTGCCACAACAATCATAATGGGTTTGGGCCCTCCGCCCCAAAAAAGCCAACTGGCGCAATTTTCACGCACGTGCTGCTGCCACGAAAACCGGAAGCAGAAAGGTGCGCCTGCGTCCAAAAAAGTGTGCGTGTTTTTCACAAAACATGGCTACACATGTACAAAATTATTTGATTTGCATAATGAATGAAGACAGGCTGGGGAAAAGAGTTACTGGCCAAATTCAGTTTAAACTCAAATGAAGTTAAGCTCTGACTGCAATTACTTACGGTCAGCAAAGCCACAAAAGTCCACCACAAATCAATTTTCTAGGTGAGAAGCCACAGAAAAACCCTTTAATAAAAAAATTTATACAAAAAATACAACCATTGTATGGAAAAGAAAAGCTTAATTGCCAAAGGCATTAAGCAATAACAAAATTGAAACCATTTAAATATTAAATAAAACTGAACTGAAACTGGCTTTATTACGCCTTCTAGATTCTTGTTTTTATATGACAAGAAGATGATAACTAAGCAAAAAGGCATTCAAAAGGATTTCAGAACAACAAAAACAAGCCACAACAATTGTTTTGCTAAAAAGAAAATAAACAAATAAATAAATTGGCAAAAGTTGCGAAGGCAGTGAAACTGAGAATTTATGTTTTTCGAAGCGCTGGACAGGAAGGGATTAAGCTCTAAAAAAATATAAAGAAGAGAAACATTTACTAAAAATGTGGCTGTCAACAGAACCACAGGAATTTACCCAAAAAAAAAAGAGGTACTAAAGAAAAACTAGAGGGTGGAGTTGAAAAAATACTTCTCGTGTCGGCGGGAAATAAATAAAGCCACAGCTAGGGTTGCTCCACATAAGCTGACATTTGCATACGCATATGGATGAAGGGGAAGGGGAGGGGGAGGGGGAGGGGGAGGGGTTGGAGCCATTGGGGATGGAGACTACCCGTAGGTGGTGGCGCTATCCCAGTTGTATATCTTAACTACCCAACTTCCCTGCGAGTTTCGGTCTGCCCAACTGTCTGCCTATTCGAGTTGACAAACGCAAACACATCAGCCATAATAACCATATCTCATTCGGGCTCATATCATAAATTCCTTGAGGCAGACCAGGGTGATGGAGATATGGAGCTTAGATCACATAGCACATAGCACATAGTACAGGGAGCACCGCAGTTGTTGACTCTTCGCAATTCCGAGGGGTCCAATCTCAGGGCAAAATATTTTCAGGCACGCACTAATTTTTTCCGCTCTTCGCAGCGTTTTCTCCACTTTTTCATTTTGGTTTCTTGGTGCTGCTCAAAAGTTTTGTTTGGGGCACGTTTCGCATTTTATGGTGACTCGTTTTATGTCGTCTCTCGGCATTTAAATTTAAGTTTTATATGAATTTCAAGCAGGGCAAGGTTGGCTTGACACCTTTTTTTTTCTGTTGTTGTTATTTCTCGAGCCCATTTTACGGTCAACAATTGAAATCCACACTCGTCTTTCTTGCTCTGTCTGTATCTCATACAGACTGTAGTATCTTTTCATTCGCATCTAAGCCTTTGTTTGGCCTGTAGTTCGGTGTGTTAGCCAGCAACTTGCCGAACTGGTTCTGATTCAAAAATTCATAACACAAACATCGGCAACATCCTACTTGGCAACACCTTCCCCGAAAGCCGCTTGGCTTTTTTTTAATTTTTGGCAACAGAACTTTTGTCGCCTGCGACTCTTGAAACCGGTAACTGGCTTACTATGCCATATACTACACACTATACTATATATATCCGACTCTTTTTAGTCAATGATGGAGCTAATGCCGCTGGTGATGGTGTCATGTGTGTTTTTTTTTGCCTTTGTTTGCCTTGCGGTTGCTATTTTCGGTTTTCGGTTCTTGGCCACTTCCTGGGGGCTCTCTTAATTGGTTATTTCAGTTCATTATTCAATTTGCTACTTAATACAATTACTCTGTGTCCACCATTCACTCAGTCTTTTGAGCCAGCTTATGTTACTCCAATTTACGCTAATTACCCAGGCGAATAATGAGGCTTCCGCTTCCGAATTTTATGACTTCTATTCCATTCCCTCCTCCACTTCGATGCTCCAATATCTTGGGCTAATCTGGCCAGAATCCACGAATATAATGTATACTTTGAGGGCCCCCGAATGGCGGAATATTTGCCTTGGCATAGTTTCTGCTGACTGCCGCAGTCTATGGAAATGGAGGCGCAGAGCTCAAGATAAAGCCACTCGGAGATTTACAACATCGAGGTCAGTGGGTGGGGAAGTGGGCTGGCTAGTGGGTGGCACTGCTACCCACCGAATACCCACCAAGTAGTAGAAAAGCAGGAAGCGCGGAAAATGTTTGCCCAGCATAAATGTGTTTACATTTCCGCGACGCTCTACAATTGAGACTTTGGCTTAGACCGGGAACAATTTTCCATCAATTGATTGGGCCCGACAGGCGAGATAGTGAGTAGAAATACCCCAACCGTGCTTTGCCAGGCTATAAATCTATGGGGAACGGCGGTGGGCTTCCAGCCGAGATAGTGGGTTCGATAAACCCATAAAAAAGAGGAGCTCACCAAGTGCTTTTTGTGAATGGGAGCACAACAAATTGGTCGAAAGAAAAGGTAAACTAAATTGCTGATATTTTATGCAAACAGAGCTCTTATTTATTAGGTTTATTTGAGACAGTTTAGCAAATTCATGGAACTTAGCTGAGCCTTTAAATAAGCAATTATTCTATTCTTTTTTAATAAAGAACAATATTTAAAAAAAAACCAACAAAGTAAAGAAGAAATACAGATAAACATCACACAACAAATGATTTTTTCCTGCCTCATTTTAATAAATTGTTAATTTAATTCTATATAAATATAACTATATGAAATATGTTTCTAAAAAGAATTCCCACTTTCTAATTAGTGGTTTAAATTTCAAGTTAAAGCATATCTACATATGTATTACCAATTTGGTTTAATACCTTGCGAGAAATTAAAAGAATTTAACATTACTATGAGCAAAGAAAAAAAGGAGGCATCTATTTACCCATTCAAGCATCCCAAGTAATTAAACATCATTTTGAAAGCGTTTCCATCAGTAATAGCAATCTAATCCGAAGGAGATTGGCAAATACAGCATTTTAATTGGATGGCAAAGGTAGTTTGTGGCACATTGAGGAGCTCCCTGGCTTCGAAGTTCGAGGAGCGTTTCCCGTTTGCGAACACACCTGTATTTCCCGCCCTTTTACACCTGTCATCGAGAGGATTTCCGTAGTTGTTTTTGCACTACCCCACCTGCTGGCACTTCAGTAAAAGTTGAAATTGAGCTGAAGCCAGAAGCCAGCAAAAAAATAAAGAGGAGAACCATGAGCCGTGAGGTAACAATTCCCCGATCGAAGTTTTATGGGTTAAATGTGAACTTTTATTGGCATTTATTATGGCCGGCACTTGAAGGGGGCGAATAGTTTGCTTGTCAGTTTGGCAGGGAATGTAAATTTGATTGCATTTCACTCGATTAACCATCAGGTTGGTGAAAAACCAACGAGCAAACAAGTGGAATGGGGCTCACGTATTTACACAGCCATTTTTCTCTCTAATTGGACGCAAAATAAACGAGTAAAAATTCAGTTCGAAAATGCTGACAACACACGAAAGTATCTATGCATCTGCGGGATACACAAATCCAATTTTATATTTGCCCACAGAGGAGAAGGCATATTTTTGGGTGGTCGCGGTCATGTACACAGCCATAAAACATATTTTCCACAGATTTATGATTTGTTTATTTTGCGCTCTCATTTCTCGATATTCCCGATGCTTTTTGCTTTTTGCTTTTTAGCCAACTTGGCGACACATTCGCTGTCAGCGTAATAAAAAAAAAGTATCTAAAAGGAGGGCCGTTCGAGAATCTTGTTATTTTATGTTTTCATTTTTATTTTTCATCTTTCTGTTATTGGCATAAATGGACTTATGCGTGCCTTTGGCGAGTCGCTGAGTCTGCCGATCCGCCGGGCTTATGTTTAATTATAAATCCCGTTACTCAAGATATTTTTGCAAGAAGGAGGAAAAGGGAGGAAAGGCGAAGGAAAGGAAAGGAAAGGAGTTTTTGCGATGCAGCTGCTGCTTCGTTTATGGGCAGCCAAGCAACTCGAACCGATTTCAGCCAGCCATCCCCATCAGCGACTCGTCATCGGCGGCATCAGTTGGCTTAAGCCCCCCACCCCCCTCCTAGTCCACCCACCAACCCCTCCGCAACCCGAATCCCCCCTCATTTTAGCAAGCAACGCCCCTGCCACAGCGACGTGCCCAAATTGCATTTGCATTCGAGTTATGTGCGCTAATTTCACGTTATGAAATTTTTATTTTGCACATTTGCTCGTCGCAGTTTTCTTGCCTTGTTTTTCATCTGCGAGTGGAAAAGATTCTGTCTCGCGTGCAAAATATCTCTAAGTTGGGCAAAACATGCTCTTGCATTTTTATTGTCGAAAGCGCTTCTCATTGGGCTTTAAATAACATTAAGTGGGTCCCCTGAAAGTGTTTAATTGTTATAATTTTATAAAGAAATGAATGGTTGAATGTAGATAACAATATAAACAGTTCTAAAGTACTACGTTATTTGTATTTAATTAAAAGAATATGTACTTAATATGCAACTTAAATCTATTCATTATTTCCTACCTAATAAATCAAAATATAACATACCTTCATTTGTAAAGTATTAATACAAGAAATTTCAATAATAACTTAATTTTAAATTGGTCAAAGGGGGACATTTTAAATTTATTATAATTGAAATTAGTTAGGAATGTTTATAATTTATTCTTTGTAGTTCCTTATGCTATGTTAACCTATAAAGTAATATTTAAATAATACTCGTTAAGGCATTTTCACTGCAGCAGTAAATCTCTACTTTGCTTTGGCCCAAGTCAAATGAATTCTATTAAGAAATCATCTTCATTGCCTTAGCTTTGGGTCAACAAAGGCGATCTGGCGAATTCCTTAGCCAGTTGAGCTGGGATTGTTCTCTAATCTCGAGATAGTGGCATGTGGGTGACACTCCCCCCCTCAGTTCCCCCTCCCCTCTTCCCCCCTTTGAAATTCCCTCTTGGGAAATGCGAGCAACTCTTTGTTGTTCAATCTGTGGGCGTCGAGTCTTGGATTTCACTTGCTGAAGAGTGCAAAGTAATCAGTAAACGAGGACAGGGGGCCAAAGACGAAAGGGGGTTGAGGGGGAAAGGGGGAGAAAAGTGCAGCGGCAGCCACTTGTGGACCTCAAGTGTTGGTAACAGCGTTTTGTATCTGTCGGATACAATGGGCCATAAATCAGAAGAGTTCCACTTGCCGGCGAGATTGCACTATTTTTGAGTTTGAGAAACTTTTGATATTCGGATTGTTGGATGGTGTATTCCTATGGTGGATGTTGGAGAATGGATTCGTATTCGGATTCGGATCTAGAAGCACTGTTTTGCGGTGGTAATTGCATGCTCGCTGAGGCGTATCGTATGCGGCAGGTTTCCGTTGTTCATTCAGGGGAAAATGGGAAACCGAACCGGGAAAGCGGGATGCAAGAGGGAAAAGCGTAAAAAAAGGGGGAACGACCCGAAATAGCGGCACAGCCAAATGCGGAACACGAAGCATAACAAGGGCGACACAGTAAAAAATAAAGTAAAGCAATTTGAATTTACTAATTGGTTTGATTTACTTAGCTGCACCTTAATTTGTTGCAACAGTCTTGCTTTAAAGTATTATTTAACCATAGAATTTATCTTTCAAATGAGTATTGCCTGTTAGATCATTAACCATTTAATAGGCTTTACAATGCCAATAAAATTTATGTTGTGGTATTAATGAATAGTTCCACATGTACTAATATAGATATTTATAATATCACGTGAAGTTTTTGTTACTCAATGTATTGTCTCAATGTATTATTACTATGTCAAGCAAATTAAAAATAATTTTTATAACATTGTGAAATAAAATAATCTTTATCTTATCTGATTCCCTATATATCGATTAATAATGCAAACCTGTGAAGTGTTGCTAAGCCACAACCACAACCTGTTGTCATTTTCTCTAAGTGTTTCAACAGGAACCGAGGGAAATGTGCACGTTTAGTACGTGTTGCAATCTCCAATAGATACAGTACGCCGTTCGTAGATGCACAGTCGCAGATACAGATACAAAATGCCGCCGCGTGCGTGAGAAGCTCCAAGTTGTTGCGTTTTTGCTTTTTTCACGCTCTCGCTGGCAAACCTACCAACTGGGTAGGAAAAGTGGAGAAAAACACTGGAAACACACAGGGAAAAAAAGCAGCATGTTCTTTGTCACGGGTGGGTAAATGTATCTGCAGCTCCATCTGTTGCCGCTTCTGTCGCTTCAGTCGCTTTAGTGGCAACTCGGATGTGAGCCAAGTGCAGGGCCGAAACTGTAACCAAATACGCCATTAGCACCGAAAAGGGGGCCCAAAAGAACTAAGAGAGAGGGAGAGGGAGAACACTGGGCCATAATTACATCTGCATCCGTTCTGGCCAAAAAGGATGGATGGGGGTCACACCCAGATTGAGGCCATGATTGATGTGCCCCGTTCCCCCTTTTCCGCCGGAGATCGCTGGCCCGGCTTATCAGTGGGTCGCCATCCGAAATGCCAGACATTCCCATTCCCATTCCCATTCCCGATTCTCAATTCCCATTCCCAATTTCCATTCTCCTCCGCCAGCAGACTCTTCTGCAAATTTCCCTCGCTTCCATCAAATTTACAGACCATAAATCTTCACTTCTGCGGGTCGGAGCACTAAGTGCCTTCACACAGTAACACTGGCTTGCGGCCCAAATGGTTTAAGGAAGTTTTCACGGCACTTAATTGCAAATCTCGTTAGGCCGAAACATCATTAAAAGTTGGCCAGCACAAAGAATAGGAAATGTAATCTATTCATTAAAAATACCAATTTGTACAGGTATATGCGACCATTATTTTAAGAGCTCTTTAAATATTCAAAGTTGTTTAAAATAAATTTAAAAACAAAATAGTCAAATTTGCACTGTACGAAGTATTATAGTAAAGGAAATACTTAACAAATTGTTAAAATATTTTATGATTCCCATATACTTATTTTATATTTATTTACAAATAAATTTAAGTTCAGAAGTAATTTTTACAATTTTTCCATTTGGTTTGCATTTCAAGGAATTATGTTTACCCGTCAAAAAACGTGACTCTGTCAATATTTCGTATTTTCTGAAAAGTTTAACTAAATAGCTTTGGGGTTTCATAGCTTTACAAATAAGTCTGTAAACTTAAAAATATTTGCCTTGCGAGAGTTACGCAATTTCTGCTGATGCTGTAACTTCTCATAAGCCGGGCCCTAAAATCCGATTCGTTGCGACTTGTTGGAAGCAAATGCTTTGAATTTGTCACTCGACACGTCAATTATGTGAATCGCTTATGCGACCCTCCCGAAAAAGTCCCCTCTTTTATTTGGCTGCCTGTTGATACAAACACAAATGAACTGAAAATAAATTTGAAAATAATGTGTGAATTTCTCTCTGGCTCATTTCAGCTCCCCAAAAGAAAGGAAAAAGCAAACAAAAACCCAATAAGATTGTCAACGTGGAGCAAAGTGAATGAAAATATTGTGTGGTGCATTGAAAGTGTTTGTGCGTTGGGAAACTCCAGATCGCGATCGCAGCTGAGGATTATTGATTCCGTCGAATTACGATTTTCGAATAACGAATAACGCATTACGAATTACGAATTACGAATTACGAATTACGGATTGCACAATCCACAATCCGTCCGCACACCGAAAAATAAATCTCCGGCAAACAGTTGCAGCTGCCTACTTTGGCTAATTGATTTTCATTTCGGTTTCTGTTTTTCCAATTTGTTTGTTAGCTGGTTGGTTGGTTTGTTTGTTTGTTTGCTCGCCTCTTGCAATGAGGCGTCCGAAAGCTGCCAATCACAACAACAACAACAACAGCATAAATACCAACAACAACTACTCGCCAAATGAACAAAAACAAGCTGAAAAACAACAAGTAGAAGTACATGAAGTGAGGCAGCACGACAATTGCGTTTGCGCTTTTTTGCTGTTTTTTTAATTAATTTTAAGTGTCGCCGTATTCCGTTGCCCTTTTTGTTCGGGAGTGGGAAACGCTATCTTAGCGCTGGAGCCACCGGCAAAACCCCCCAGGAAATCGGCAATTTAATTTACAATACAACATTAGTACGGACATAAAGGCGGATAAAGGCGAGCGGCGAACGGAGAACCCAAAATGTTTGCCGGAATAAGGAAGCGACTGGCACGCAAGTAAGTCACCAAAAGAACTCCAAAATACACTGTAACTTATTTAATATTAAAAAAAAAAGTTCATGCAATTTAAACTGAAACTTATAAGATAAATAGAAAAACTAAGTATAATGTTTTTTAAGTATTTAAAAATTTAGGTTGGCAAAAGTTTTAATTTAACAATATTTATGGGTGGTTTTAATATGTATGTTTTTAAATCGTAAAACTTTAGATATTAGTGTACTTAATGGAAATAATACATTTGATTGATTTTTAATATTTAATAAATTAATTATATATTTACGACTCTGTTTTTCTAATTGAATCAAAAGAATTAAATGAAATTTATTGTGAAGAGCTTATAAAATTTCATTGAAAATTCTAGGTGGCTCAAATGAAGTTAAAAATTCAATGCAGCAAGAACATTTTTAATAAATTTCAATCCCCTTTATAAATTTAAGCAATGGTTTCCATAAACATTCTGGAATTGAGTTTTAATGTTTCCTTGGACTTCTTGGCTAGAATTTTTTCCCTGTGTGGAGACCACCCCCATTTGCCCCAGGAGACGATTATGTCCAGCAGCTTTTATGTGTTTCCTTCCACTTTATCAATGTTGTCCTTCTTCGTCTTCGTCTTTGAGTTCTTCTTCTTTCTTCCTCCTTCGCCATGCCCCAATTCCTTCGTTAATGACTTTCGCGATAAAGGTCATTGGTCGAGGAGCGAACTCTTTGGGGGAGGGGAAAACCTTTTCAATTTGCAAAATCGCCAACAAAAAATGGGAGAGTAACCAACGACAAAAAAAAAATGAGAAACAGAAACGTTGCAATGGCAAAACTTACTTTTGTATAATTAATTTCTGGCGACTTGTTGTACAATAGCACACCCTCTCCACTTTTCGAAGGCCATGATTTTGCGACTTATCGGTGGAGTTTGCTTTACTTCACTACGACGACGACTTCAGTCATCAGTCAACGTCATCATTATTATAATGATTTTTTTTGCGTTAAATGAGCCAATTAGTTTAAAATCTTTATTATTAGCTGATTGCTGACGGCTGGCATTTTCGGTACCGGTTTCGTTTGGCCATAAGCGAAAATTGAATTATGCTCCGGTGCGATTCGAATTTCGGGTTTGCCTCGCAGGCGATTGCCTCTCCAAAAATTAGCAGTCGGAGCAATCAAAAAGCCATCTGCCAAATGATTTTCGTGGGAAAAGCAATCGCGATGTGAAAACAAATGAAAGTTTCCGCCAAACTATCGAAGTTTTTGCATAGATAATGGAAAATCATCAGCAGAATGGAAAAGCTATTGAGGCAATAAAAAAAAGGGTAATTTATCTCTGTACAATGATTGTTTGAAATATTGCGAAGGGAGAGCCACTGAAAGTAATAGTTGAAGTTAGCCTAATTGAATTTGAATTAAGTTTATATAAACTACATTATCTGTTGTTCATATCTTATGGTCCAAAAAGATCAAGATTGTCATTGAAGACAGGAAATCCTCATTTGTAATTTGTTGACTAATCAAATAATCTTTATTTGTTTGTGAACCCAAATTAAAAAGAATTTTGTGTTGTATTTGAATACAAATTTGGGAAAACATTTATTCCCCTAAGAGAGTTTCTCAAGCAGAGCAGGTAAAAGTTGGCTTACAGAGAACAGAATGATTGCCCATCACTGGTGGCCTCTATTTACCAGTCATGATGTGCTAATTATTACAGAAAAGTGCAGTCGAATGCCTTTTAGCACTTAGCAGTGACACGCCCCTTTCGGGAGGCGGGGGCGTACGATGATGATAACTAATGCCCCAAACACATCAGGCACCCATGAACCCAGGTGCTAAAAACACCTGTGCAAATAGAAACCCAAAAGCCCAAAGCACCTTGTAGGTGGAACTCTCGCATTTACATACTTTTCGGTAGATACATTTTATGAGTGGATTCATGAGTGGATTCATGAGTGGAGCGGCGGGGAAAAGGGAGGGGAGTGGGGTTGTGTTTTCGGTGTTGGGAGCGAAACCTTTAAGATCTTTTTGGGTTTCAAAAGGGGGCCCACACACGAAAATGCTCGCTTAGAAACGCCTCTCCCTCCTTCCATTTTCCGTTTTCCTCTTTCCCAAACATGGCAATCAAGCGCGACTAAAGCTAAAAATAATTACACAAAAGACATAACACACTTTATTAAGCACTAAACATTTGATGTGCTGGGATGTGGGCTCCAACACTCGGATGAAGGCAAGTGCAGCTGCACAAAGTACACTTGGAGAAATAAAAGAGCTACTTAAAATCAGGAAAGCATATAAGATTGCTTATTTTTGGAGCTCTTAAAAAGAAGCACTTACATTTTTATAATGTCGGAATATAAAGAGTCTTTTTAAATCAAGAAAAAAAGAAATTTGACTTTGAAGATATATTTAAACGAGCTTTGTTCCTTTGTTTAAATTTAGGTTATAACATACTTACTTACTTAACTTAGTTAACGATTAATTTTACTGTAGTAGATTAATAGTAGATTCATTTTAAAAGTATAATTATTTCAATCATTTTTCTAAGTGTAAACCTGAGTTACGAGTATGATGGATTCTCACGAGCGTAAAAACTAAAGTCATGGGGATTTATAGAATGCCTGTATCAACATGGCTGTGGAGGAAACATTAGTGTTTCTTAAAACTTACAGCCAGTCTTCCTAATTATGATTGATACGGGAAGAGCATTCTACCCACAACAGTAACGCCAACAACAAAAACAACAGCAAGAGCAACAAAAACAAGAAGAACGATATTATCCGGCGGCAGTGTCTTCATTCGTTCTCAATTTCAAGCTCATTTCGCCCTGTTCCCATTGTTTGCCGCCTTTTGCCCGCCGTATCCATCAGATGTATCTTTTACATCTCGACGCTGCGCATGTGCCTGGTTTTTATGGGTTAAAGGAAATGTGGAAATGTGGTGCAACAAAGCGTGAGGCAGTGGGAACTTACAGTTACAGCTATGTAGGCTATACAGTGCCCCCCGGCGTTTTCCAGCTTAGATTACGCGCACAAAAGAAAACGAATAAAATGAAAATTAAACCAAGGCAAACTTCCAGGGCTGTGCTCTTTGTCAATTAGCGGAAATCCAAGCTCAAACTTTTCGTGATGATAAAACAATTTGCGCCGAGGGTTTGTTCAGCTGTTACGACACAATGTTTTTAGTTTATTTTGGCAAGGGAGAAGAACGAGGCTAACAAATCGATTGACAGATAGACCACACACCCCCGAGCTTTTAAATTGCAACCCTGTGGCCATAAATGCGCCATTAGCACTAACAAACGCATCTCCAAACTCCACTTGCCCGTTAAAACCCATCTTCCCCCACTCAACTAAAAAAAAAAGTAAGGAAAATAAGGAAAAAGAAAAACACCCACCATCGAATGAAAAAGCATTCATTGCACACACAAAAGAAATGGCATTTTATGCATTTCAAGTGCGTCTGCCTCCACTATCTGGCATCTCTATTTCTGCCTGGATGGATGGGGGGCCGGGGCATTATACTTATGTATCACTGCCCCGGGCCTGTTTTTGATGGGCGTCCCGCACTTCGTGTGTCACAGAAACTGAAGTGTCAATTCCATCATAAGCCAAAGTGGCGCACATATCGCATAACGCATCGCATCTCGAAAAGGGGCCACAACCATCTGACAGGCCAAGAAAAAGAAAAATTATCGAACAATTTCACAATAACGAAAATGAAATGGGAGAAGAAAGCGAGAAAATTACAATTGCACCTCAACGAATGGTGTAGGTATGCTTGCAAGCTCATAAAGAAAGTGGGATACCCTTACAAATATTTTAAAATAAACTAAATAGATGATGACAAAAACACACATTTTTTATATTCCAAACATCAATTGAATTTGATGTGTAATGATTCTTCCTCCAATTGTAGTAACTAGTTTTTTATTATTGAAATACAGAACCCAAAAACAATCTTCTAATTTAGTATTCACCTTTAAGTGATTGCCATCACGTTTATTTTTAACAACTACTACCGTCTGGTATTATACTAAGCTAAACAATAATCATTTACTGCAATTCATTTGCATAACAACACGTTTTGCATCATCAGCATGATTTATGCGCAACTATTAATTCGCCACCTTGGCATCTATACTTGGCTATAAATCAAAACATAATAGCTCCTCTAAACGTTATAGTCGCGAAATTTAGTTTGAAGTTTGTTTTTAGCCTTTTACCAAAACATCTTCGCATAACATAATCTATAACATCGATCAAAGTGATCATTACTTGGGATTACCACACTGGCCTTGATTTTATATACCTTTTCTAAAAACTCAAACTTGAAAGTAAATCTTCCATGTTGCGAAAATCCCTACAAGATACTCTACATTCACATCGATCACTTTAGCGGGGGCTTACCGTGGTGTCCCAGTGAAATTAATAAAAACATCTGAGGGATTTTGACAGCGAACACGCCGCCGCAGAAGATATAGCGACATATCCGAACCGATTCTCGCATCTTGGCGGCGTTTTCACTTTGGGGAGCGACAACTGCGCGGCGGTCGCGATAATGATGAATACCTTTTTAATGAGCAGCCGACACATGCAGATGCACAGGGCGATGTCAGCCAGCGATTTATTATCCGGTGGATATTTGGGGGAGGAATGGGGCGATTGGGAGTGGAATCCAGACTGGGATCGGGAACTGGAACTGCTGCTCGTGCAGCTCATGGAACTCGTGAGGCCGTTCCCTGATGCGTGGAATGACCCTAACCTACCCCATCTCAGCTCAACCCGCCTGATTGCCAACTATTGTGCGTTCGGTTCCCTTATTGGGCTTTGACATGCAGAGTTCGCTGGTCCGGAAAAGTCACTGCCACCAGTCAGACACGCATGCACTGTTAAAAAAAAATATATACCTTATATATTACAAATTGGTAGTTAACACTTGTAGTTACCATCTGATACCTTATATTGTAAATTAATCTTTAATAATGGATTCAATTAAAACGCTACTAAAAGTACTTGA